GGTGACGATCTCGGTTGGAATCTAACCAGTTACTTTTAAACAAATTGTATTAAATCGTTTTACTTACCAAATTTACTAGCCTATAGTGTATAGACAGTCCAACTAACAGCAGTATAATATTTGTTATTTGAAGTCATGTCCATTTAAACAGATTTATTCCTGTATTGTATTGTAAATTTGCCCTTCCATGTGGCTATAACATTCAGTGATCACTGAATTGCGTTTATAACTTTTGACAATAAGTTGTTGTTTCCTTCCATCTGTGTTCCGGCACATCATAACACTATAACAGTGACGATTCATAGTGCTGTTTATTAATTTTGCACGTCAGTAATATCTCAACAAAGAGCATCAACCGGATTGTGACATAGCCTACAGTATCACGTTTTTTTTTTGCGTGTTATGCACTGAGCCTGTGCCCCGTGGGTCCGTTGCCAGGGCGCGCCGGCGGCGTATAGCGGTTCCGTGACTGTCACTGTTACTGTCCCACGGTCACTTGTACACTTCGCGTGCCGAATATTGATAACAGGATTCTTTGTTCCTTGCGTCACTTCATTACAGCAGCGCATACTCCAGTGTACCATGTACTCAACTACGATTGCATTGTATGGCAGATAAGTTTGTTTGGGCTACAGCCATACATACGATGAAACAGACCCACATACTTCTGTGTGCCACAGTTGACTATTTTTGATGGCACTACCACAGAATAAATAGTGACGAAGAGTATAAGAGAGGCATTTCTCTTTTTCTGCGGTGCCAAGTAATACAATGACAAAATTTTGTTCACCATTGTTTGTAGAAGAAGTGTGTTGGCTTCTGCCATGAGTAAGTCAACGTAACTTATAAACCTTAAAAACTGTTGTTATATAAACAAAAACAGAAGATAATCAAGTTTACTTGTGCTCTATCTATACTTATTATCTATTTATTCTGTCATATAATAGTTTTGCACCCTCTTTTAGCCGTTGTTTATTCTTATCAAAAAACTTATGCTTGGACTTTGAAGAAACTAACACACTAGCTAGGTTATTACTCACATAATAATGTAAACAAAATGTTTTGTATGCAGTTAACTGCGTGTTGGAAATCCAAGAAAATGAGTCTATTGATCCTATAGTTTTCTTTGAGTTGATAGTCTTTTAAGTTATAATTATTACAGTACTCAATGTGAAGACACTATAATAGAGCATCAAGTTTTGATGAGGACGATACAGCAAAAGTAGCTTTCCCTTCCTCCACAGGTCATCAACATAGGTCACCAGATGATGTCAGTTGACCCCAATTGTGTCCCCCTCTCCATTACTCATCTCTGTCTGTCTGTCTGCCAACTCCATTCCCTGTTTTCATGCTTTGGCAAATTTTAAATATTGGATTTGCAATTTCACAACCAAATTTTCTTAGTCACATTCTAGAATATGTGTACTGTATTCTTTATGTGATTGCACTGTATTATCTTTCCCTTATAGTTGTGTGGTTTTCAAATCCTAACCTCAGCATATATTTATGACTTCAAATATCTGTTGTTTATGATTATGAGAATGTTTGGGTAAAACTTGGTGCTCTTTAAACATCGTAGTACCTATAAATAGTCAGTTAAAGGCGCAGCACACTTGTCTTAGGCCCCGGCCACACGAGGCGGTTTAACCGCGCGAAGTTAAGCCGCGCGAAGTTAAGGGCTTCGACAACACATTGAATCAAATGAGAGTGGCCACACGAGGCGAAGTTTAGCCGCATGTGCGGTTGAGCCGCAACATGTCGTCCCCCGACCGCGCGAAGTTAAGCCGCGTTGGAGGGGATGACACACGTAGTCTTATGAGAGTGGACCGCGCGGCAGCCGCGCTTATTGGAGATATTCTTCGGACATTTCCAGTGGTTTTTGAGTTTGTTTTGTGTATTTTTTACCGGTTGTGTGGTGTTCAAACAATGTTTGATACATATGAACTCCGAACTATGGTTTCGCATGTGCTCGTAAAAGGTTTGGAACACAAAAAAATGTTTTCCGTTATGAAGGGATGGACCCAATGATTTATGTTAACGTTCCAGATCACCACACGCTTTTAATGCACAAACTAACATAAGTCAGGGTTGCCACCAGCCATGAAAACCTTGAAAAGCTTGAATTATGCATGAATTCTTGAGACCATGAAAAAAGGCATGGATTATGCATGGATTTCTCAATTGGACCATGAATTTTCAAAATTAGGAACAATTATTCAACCAGTACCATTAAATTTTCCAAATAAAAAATATTTCATATTTTAAAACAGTTCATAGAAACGAACACCATAAAAATACTGTGTGGAGATGATTATTAAACATGTTCCACGGTCAGAAACAATTGCTCATTTCATTCCAAGAAGTCATTCAAAGATGCTGATGTCAGCTGAGACTTCGCGAGGACTGTATATGGTTTGAAAAATCATTAGTAGGCCAACCCCTGCGTATGAAAAAGGGGTATGGGGACTTAAATCACAAAAACAGGAGTTTTAGACCATGCACGGAATTGAAACATGGTGCGCAATAAAACCGAATTTCCGACTCTGACACCTGATTTTTATTAGCTTTTTGGATAAAACCACCATATCTTAGTACGTTGTGGAATAAGATAAACCAGAATGCACATTTTATGACAATTATGTAGGGGGATAAAACTGGATGAAACAGGACTTTTTTGGCTGGGTGAGTGGGATTTTTGTTTTATTCCGGTGGAAAGACTGAATTAGACGTAGACTTAATATATTTTACAATTCTTTTCCAATATCTCATATAGAATATGAGCTGGACCAGTTTTGTTGTTTTCAACTTTGTTTTGAATGTTTATAAATCACTCTAAAAAAGTTGTATATTAAGTATGAAAGGTTATTCAAAAGCAACACACGAAGAAACTGCCTCTTTAACGTCAGTTTATGAAATCAGCAAAACTCAATTGTGTTGAAATTGTATAAGCGCATCGACCATGAATTGTTTGTAAACTACCAATGAAAACCATGAATTCTGCATGAATTTTATCATCCCACTGTGGTGGCAACCCTGTAAGTGTTTCGCCCATGATTAAAAAGAGTGAACTGAACTATGTTTTAATAGAGTACTGATACTGAGAAAACCCAACAGGAAGCGGTTCATCCGCCCCGTGTGGCCAGGCACTTCGCGCGAAGATAAGCCGCGCGGCTTAAATTCGCCTCGTGTGGCCGGGGCCTTATTGAGTTTCGTGTAAGCGGTTTCCAAGGCTGCGTATCTAATGCGCGTGCATCTAATACGCGCGCACCAATAGCTGCGTATTTGACCGACTGCTTTAATATTTAATATTTAATTCCTTTATTAAATGTTTCCTACAATTAATTTGTCCTCACATATTTTCTTATTGTTTTAATTTGTAAATAAACCTAATGTTGACGACTATTCTTTTCAAGTCAGCACAACACCAACTCCCAAATATAAGAGCCCCCATAATTATTTTAAGAACCCAGATCATCTTAGTAATAAGCCTATATTAATTACTAGCAGAGTGCCCTTCCCTCTTACGGGGTTGGCGTATACCAGAAATAAATAAAATAGAGATAAATAAAATGCTTATTGCAGTTATACTCGTAAAAGATATTTTCATCTATTCTGTATATCCCGAATAGGTAAATATAATAACAGTAAAAAAAATTGGAGAGGGTAAATTAAGATTTATTGTTTACATTTTAAATTGACATGTTTGATTTAATACTACGGTTAAATCATCCGTGAGGGCCAAGTACAGTTCCTAATCATGTACTTTTCACTGCTTACGCTTCTTCGAAGCTTCTAATACCAAGGTATCCGTTTCATTATCTAAATGATCCTATATAGACATTTCTTGTGTATTGGAGTCGGAAGTAAATGTTGTCCAGAAGGCAAAATTCTCCAACAACGATGACGAAAAATTGATTGAATTTGTCTCTTCAAATGACATATTATGGAAGTACGTTTTTCATATAATTAAATTGTTTATAGTAGGCCATTACGTATGATTCATTGCGTAGTGTTAATTTGTTAATTTCCCCATAATGTGTTATTTAATATTTCATTCCCTTGTTACATGTTCCCTACAATTAATGTGTCCTCTTTCTTATTGTTTATATTAACGATATTCAAGTACTTATAAATAGTATATTGTTATATTGTAAAAGGTATTTTCAGTGACTAGGTAAATCACAAGTAGGTAAATATAATAATGGTAAAAGCATTATTAAAGAGAGTAAATTAAGATTTATTGTTTACATTTTAAATTAACATGCTTTCTTTAATAATATAGTTAACACACCTGTTAGGGCCACATACAGTTCTTTATCATCTACTTTTCACTGCTTACGCTTCTTCGAAGCTTGTAATACAGTACCAAAATACCCATGCAATTATCTAAATCATCATATAATATTATAGCAGCCGCTAGTGATCTCTACCGTAAACAATGCTACACAATTCGAGTGTATTGTTCGCAGTCTAGGAAACCACTGACGGCGGCTGCGTTTTGAGATCTGGATAAAATCCGCAGCGCATCTAAACCGCAGCGCATCTATTACACGTCTAGGAAACCACAGCCTTAGTCTGAAGCATGTAGTTCAAATAAAACAATTATCATATTAATCATCACTAATTGGTACAACATATTATGATCAAATTCAACGTTTGATATGAATGTGCACTTAACCCGTGTTTTGGCTTGCAAAGATAAACAGTTATATTTTTGCATTATTGTTAATCCGAAGTCATGTATAAGTTGTGACAGTGATACTGTATGAGTATTGCAGTCCCAAACCCAGTACAGTAGTCTGATTCAAACATCCATTATTATTATTTGTGTTAAGGGTTGGTTAGTGCTCGTGTTTTTATACATAATAACCCAACACGCACACGCACAACGTTTGAGATGTCTTTGAGAGAATATTTTTTTAGATACAAGTTACGTGATTAGTGCTGATTTATTTACTGAGATTGATTATGTCTAAGTGGTGTGTGTGTGTTGTCTGCAGGGAAGACGTATTGTCAGGCGTGCAAGAAGAAATGTTCTGGGGAGGTGCTGAGGGTGCAAGACAAGTATTTCCACATTGCTTGCTTCAAATGTACAGGTGAGGAGCATAACAACAATAGTGTATGATTACATTTAGGATTTTTGAATTATTACATTTTAAATAAAAGGTCAGCCTCAGCCCTAGAATCTCTTGATATTTCAGTTTTACCATGCATTTGGATACCAGCAGATTACAGGTCAATTAGGAACTCACGGTATTTCAAATTTTTGCCCGCTGAACTCTATAATTCCTTTGAAGGGACGGGGGTAAATTTATATATTCATTCCAGTCTTAACAGGAAACTATACTTCCTGTTAGGCACAGTAACTTTGGTGTTAAGCTAGAGCTGTAATTAAATCATCTGGTTGGCAGTGTTTTCCCCATTGGAAAAACCGCTAACCCCAAGTGTTTTAAAGTCATTCCCAGTAACATATCGATCAAAACAAAAAAAGCTTGAATGACAACTGATTTGTTTAATGGGTGGCTAGTATTATTAAACAAGGACATGAACCCAAAATCAAACAAATATCCTGTTTCTTGACGAATGTTTGGTCCACAAAAACCTCTTTATTTATCTCTAACCTGAAACTCAATTTTTCCGCCATATTTATGTCAAAGTTGTTGCCTCTTGACTAAGGCATCATTCAAAATTTCATAAAGAACCTTACCTATTTAAAAATTTTCTCTGTTATTCAAATGGTTTATTTTTCTCCCAATAGATTCAACCTCTTGATAGTTCACAACTTTTGATGATTCCAATTTATTTGCTTGGCTCTCTAATTTCTAATTATTAAGTGTCTACTGTTACTAGATCCCTTACTCAACTTAACTTTAGAACATTCACACAGTCGTCTTACCTTTGACTGTACAAGTGTACTTACACACTAAGGTCTAAGGTGAACTCCAAGTACACATGTAGTGCTGTATACACTCACTTTAAATCATGACGAATAATGAAAATCAGTAGGCTTAGTGACTGTAATAAGTAGGCTTTATTGTGAACTATAAAGCTTTTTTATGTCTCCAGTTCTTTGTCAAACAGTTCCAACAGTTATTTGACCATAATAAACTAAAATTACAACTTTATTAGTAACACGCCACTCCAGGGATTATTCGTTGAGCTATATTTTAGTAAAACACTGGCTAAAACTGATCGCTCTCGACATGATGTCTATCTCAGTATCCAACCAATAAGTCAATGGTATTTTGATTATCAATTAAATCAAGCATTGTGTCCCACATACATAAGTGGTGCATAGTTAATGTAAATACAAGTATTCTTGCATGATTTATTTGCCTTTACAATGGTGGTATCTTTATGACTTGTCATTAGTTGATGGAAGTGCCTATTACATTTTGCACATCTATTAACATTTTGCTATCTTACATGCTGATAAGAGTCATTAGCTTGTGCCCTCTGTTTTAAAGTATGATGTAATTCTGTCATCTTCTATCTCAATATATTCTCACTTGGATCTTACAGACAAATACATTGAATGCATTTATAGATTTATATAAATAATTTAATATAATTGACATTATAAATACAATGTCTAAGATAGCTTTTTGAAGTTACTTAGATATGTTTTTAGAATTTTTTAGAAGACATAAACTATAAATTGAAAGCTATAAAATATTATTTAAAACATACCCTTTGTAAGTGTAAAAAAATGTTCAAAAATAATTAGGTAGGTTGTAGGAAATGTAATGAAGAGGGCTGTAGATCAGATGTTAATTTGGGTCAACTTAATTAGAAACATAACTTTGCTTCTATCTCTTGTTCTCTCGAGATATTATATGCCAAACTATACTACTGTACTATTGATAGCATATTGCAAATTGCTTTCCCTTTTCTATTGTCCCACATGTATGTATTATTTAAACTAAATAATATGAATATATGTATATCCGATATGTGTTTGTTAATGTTCTCCAAAATTTAATAAAAAATGAGGGCCATGAATTAAAAATGACTAGTACTTCGTTTTTAAAAAAAGTGTAAAATATCACTGCTGACATTAAATTACATGTAACAATTTCAGTTCTCTTTTTATTGGCCCTTAATTGAAATATTGTCGACTTTGTTCTCTCTCTCTTGTCAAGTAATTTATCACATAAGTTGTATACAATCAAACATCATGTAGTAAATTAGAAACAACAAGGGAATTTAGCTTATTATTTAATTACCGTATCAGATATTAAAATGTTGCTGCTTTAGGGAGGTTACAAAATTGTATTACAGTTTGAACCTTAATGTTTTACTTTTGTTAGTTTATATGTAAAATTGTTGATCCCATACCAAGCCGACTTTTTGAAAATAACAATCATTATTACATGTGGTAAAACCTCCCTGACTAGAGACGGCTTGACCCAGCCATAAGCACATTATTATTACTTTGACCTTCTATACATCTAAAGATTAGCAGGTCAACCAGTCCAGAATCTTCTGCAGGTTGATGGTTGATGAAATTCACTGGACATCAACTGGTGAGAATTTCATCAGGCTTTGTTCAGTAAACGTGTGCCTTCAGGCCTTTCATTACAAGTTTAGTGTCAACCACATGTAGAAACACAAAATAAAGTTGCTCTGCAGGTATTTTTATTTAATTTTTCATTAATTTGTTTTTTAATATTTTTTAATTTTTTCAACTTTTAATACAAACTCTAGGCAACCCTCGCTAACTCAAACTTAAATTACTTATGATATTCAAAATCTTGAATTGATTTGTGACCCTAGGAAAAACATTTTAGTAAAAAAACAACTATAAACTTACCTCAATTAAAATATAATAAAAGCTATCTTTCACTTTTGCTTAAGTAAAGGATGTAACTTAATACATAAGAATAACTTCTATAACAATAAAGTATATGAGTTAAATCTAATAAATTTGTATTCAATTAAATTTGGTAAAATACTTGTGCCCTTTCATGTTAATAATTTTAAACATGCCTAAAATCTCTTGGCCCAAATGAGAACTAAATTCAAGTTGGAGGTTTGAAGTGCCTTAGAAGTTACATGATCATTCAACATTAGTATGATTGGGTATTGTCCATAACTAACTTTAGATACAGATAATATTAGTGGACCTGTGTGCAAATTGTGCATATTAAAAGGGTTAAAATTTGTCTGAGGCATAACAAATAATGCAATACCTTTTTTATCTTTCAAGGATGACTTATTACATAATATGATCATGATATGAGAATACTGTAATATAATCTGAATATTATATAAAAAACACTACTAATTTTTCAATATTTAAAATATTGTAGACCTGATTTAAAAAAATAACAATTTATATACCCTAATCAAGTTTTAATTATAATTAAAAGTAGCCTATTTAATATTAATTTTCATGATCTTTTTTTTAAACGGAGAAAATCCTTATTTTATTAAGTAGGTATCTACAAGGTGGAAAGATTGCATAGCCGTTCAAAGATTTCTTGAATTTTCTATGCAAATGATTCATTACCTCCTCAGAGGAGTGCTTGCTAGAAATTGAAAGAAAATCATAAAATGGAAGCATGGGTTGATATGCACTTTAAATTAAAGGTCTTTATTATGCCACAAATTTGAGCTCAAAAGAACAACCAATAGTGGTTGACTGAAAAAAAAACAAGTCAAACATGGCAGCCGTTCAAAGCTTCAAAATGGCAAATTCAAGAAATCTAAGAACGGCTGCCATTTTTCAATTAATTGTTTATTTGAGTTTAGTTTTGCAGCATTTTATTTTACCAAAAATGACCTTTTAACATCTGCTGACATTGCCTTTTTACTCCTAGCAGGGTGTACCCCTGAGGAGGTAGCGCATCACTGAATAATGTTTAGTGGTTTTTATGACCAGTAACTTTGTTCCAAGTTTGGAAGCTCTATCTGTATTATTTATATACCTGTGTATATATATATATATATATGCCCTTTTTTCACCCAGTGTAGATAAAAGATTTGATAGACGAAAAGATGAGTATCAGCAGTGTTAATGTGTATGTTACAGTATGCAAAAACTCGCTGGCCCAGGGAGGATTCTTCTTCAAGGACGGAGTGTACTATTGCACCTCAGACTACCAGAAGCAGTTCGGCACCAAGTGTGCCAACTGTGGCCAGTACGTGGAGGGCGAAGTGGTCTCGGCCCTGGGCAAGACCTACCATCAGAAATGCTTCACGTGTGCTCGCTGCAGGTATGTACCCTTCAACCTTGAATCTCGTTTATTGATGTATTTATCAACGTTTGTTTTTTTTAAACTTACGAGGGCTGTTTGTGTGTATAGCTTCTTAGTTCGAGTGTACGCCGCAACGAGGTTCCTCGTCTGTAACTAGTATCATTTGAGAACAGAAAGGTGCCATTTACAACTTTGTAGCTTATGTGTACACTTTGCTGTGTGTCTAGAAAGTTAATATAATAATTTAATCTCCCCCGCATGCGAGATAAGGTCAGCAATATGCTTTTTTTTAGTGCAAGACAAATTTTGGCTACATACATTAATTGACATTATGTCTGAAGGTTAGGGCCCAATGAGTAAGGTTAAATGCAGAAATTGGTCAGGGGGTTTTAAATGTCCGTTAAAACCTTTTTCCATTGTGGTCCAGAAGTGTGGTTACCCACCAAAAACACAATTCCTTCCAAAAGGACATTTTCACGTCAATTTTAAAACTCCCTAACCCTAACCCATTTTTACACTTTACCCGCACTAACACAGACTAGAGACCTATGCAGACCTGGGTTTAGGGTGAATACCATAGCTCTGGGCTGCATACATGTTTGGCAACCCACCACCAGAAAACTTTTTTTAACAACAACATTTTAACATTTTTTTGCTGGCTATTTTTGGAGGTTAAACAAGTGATTGAATTTTGTGTGCTTTGTGGGTTTTTTTTGACAAACCATAAAAAAATGCTAAACCTACTTTTTTGGAATAATGGCACCCCCTGAATATTTGGGTCTCTGAGCTATACCCTAGTCATCCCATAAACAAAGTGGGGCCTCATGATATGTAAAAGATCAAATGCAAGGTTAAAAGGGGCTGCCAACCTCGCTATAAAAAGTCTAAGCCTTCACCAAAATTTAGTAATGTATGATCTATGGTGAAAAATCCTTTGCACTTTACTATTACTTACCGTCAGGTATGATGGGTTTTCACTGATATTTCCACATAAATAACTTTTGCTAAAATATCTAGTTTCTGGATTGTGATTGTATGTGGTTGTTTTACAGACAAGTGTTCCCGGGTGGTGAGAGAGTGACTTACACGGGCAAGGAGGTGCTGTGTACCAAGTGTATTCACATCCCTGTCAAAGAGACACAGTCCCTGCAGTCCAGCCCTACCAGCGCTACTGGAACTGGTCAGAAGCTAACTATAATTATTATATATACCAACAACTCTTTCCCATTGGATTGATTGTTAAAGATTCCATGACATTAGTTGGCTTCAAAAGGGAGTGACAATGAGATTATTTGGGGGTGAGGAATGTAAGGAGTGTGACTTAATGTTACCACATTGCTATCCCAGGAGGCCAGCAACTATAGTTCGGCCGCTTAGAAAGCGACCTCCTCCAGCATTGGTTTAGCATTAGCGCGCAGGTCGTTTTCTAAGCGGCCGAACTATATAATCACATTGACATCCATGATTGTAGGATTATTGTTATCAGCTGAGTTATAAAGTCATGAATCATCTGCTATTTCATTTGTTTACATTATTGTTTTGTTTTGTAAATAAATAGTTTTGATTGAGTTTACTTAAAATGAGTTTTGATAATTAATTATTCTATATTGGCGACGAGAAAATGCCTAGGAAAACAAACCAGTCTCAGTATAAGAGTGTAATTGACAGTAGTAACATGTCTTGCATACAAGATAGAATGAGCAGATTTTAATTTAAAGAGTATAATAGTGAACAGTTGTGGGAAGACTACATAACTTGTTTTGAGTTGACCTGCAGAGTTAAGGGACTGGGTGTTGCTAACACAGAAGAACAAGCGGCTCGGCGAGATCTTCTGTTGGCAAATATCGGAGAGGAGCATCTCAGGGCACTGTCGGACCAGATGTATCCAAGGGCCTGGGAGGAGTGCACCTACGACGAAGTCAAAGAGGAAGCCAACCGGGTGTTCAAGCCTACCATTTTTGCAACAAGGTTTGAGTTTGAAAGAGCAATAAGAAAAGATGGTGAGACATTATTTTGTTTTATAACAGATTGAAGTCCTTAGCTAGAAGTTGTAAATATGGAGATAGCTTAGATGAAAGAGTACGAGATAGGTTTGCAGTAGGAAGCAACTGTCCAGAATTTGAAGTTGAAGTCAGACAAAGATGGCCCGAGGGAGTTAATAACCGAGGTGAGCGTGTTAAGTCAAGTAGTACTAGAGTTAGCTCAATCTATGGAACGCGCAAGAGAAGAAGTTTCCAAACATTCGTATAAAAATGAGATTTTCAAAGTAAGTGACAGTAAGGAATAGAGGAAACCAGAGGTACAGAAATCTACTGGTTTCAATAGATGTGGGTTTACACATGACCCTAATGAAGATAGGTGTCCTGCTGTTTCTGCTGTGTGCAAGAAATGTTCGAAGAGAGGCCACTTCGCAAGAATGTGCAAAAGTAAAAATAAATAATTTTTTCAAGAGAACAGACGGTAATTTGAGAAAAGTACTAGATGATTCTGGTGATCAAACTTATGAAAATGAGTGTAGTTCTGATATTGATGTTAGCGGAACACAAATTAGGTCAGTCAAGAGTAAGGTTCCCAGAGCTACAATAGATGTAGAATTGAACGGGTGTAATGTTAGAATGGAGTTTGATTCCGGGGCTTGGGTAAGTGCTATAAGTTTGTCTCTTTGGGATAAGATCAATTCAAGTGGTGAATCTCTCAAAAAGACGTCTGATGTCATCACTGGCTATGGGAAAAAATAAACTAGAAGTCATGGGTAAGGCTTTTGTGGACGTTACTTTACGTAATCGTACTAAGTGATTGCCAGTTATTGTATTCTAGAAGATGATGTTCCATTATTTGGGTTGCCGTGGAGTGTAGCTTTCAATCTTAATTTGCCTAGGGAAGTAAGGGTTAGGCGTATTGACAATGGAAAGACAAATAGTAAAGAGACAGGTAAGAATGAAGAAAGTTATAGAATAGAGTTACAAAAAGAAGTTGAGGCATTAACCCAGGAGTTTTCCGAACTCTTTCGCAATGTTCGATGCAGCAAAAAAAGGATGTTAACTTTGTTTATTCCTATCACAACATGAAGGAAGGTGGGAAGGGAGATGGGTTCTCTTGAAAGTATTTGAAGACTGTGCATCATGGATGCCGTTGTGCCAGTAATAGACATCGGCATTTGTGGAGTTTCGTATAAGTAGTCAGGTTCTTACCCGAGACCGTTCTCAGTGAGCAGAGGTTGATGGAATGATTTCTCAAAGAGAGCCAATAGTCTAAGATGCTCCCAAGGATCAATTTCGGGACCAATTCTGTTTCTGCTGCATCTCACTAACATAAGATGATGCAAACGGCAGATGACTACCATATGTGTTAAAGCAAGAAAAAACTTCAAGACTTAGAGGCAATGTCTTTTATTGATTTGAATTTTTGTACCAGAAATTGCCCTAGTAAAAATTAAAAACTAACAATACTAAACCTAAAATAGTCTTATTTTGGTGCACCCTGTACTATGTACATAAAATTTGAAGGGTGTATTGGGCCCTTTTCTTTGGTGTTGCAAGAACAGTTTGACACCATTCACTCAACTCCATTTAACATCACTTTTTCAAAAGTTTAGGTCAGAATAAAATAACTATAGATGTAGACAAAAGTTAGATTATAAAATAAGTGATTGGTGTAACTTATGTTTAAATCAATGTCAATGAATTGAGAACATGACCTTCCTTCCATTGGAGCTACTACAGGAAGTTACAGCCATTAGGTCTAATGACGCTATTGTAATGTCTATAATGACATGTTTTAATGTTCCTTTTAATTCTTTCTTTTAGATTTAACTGCCATTTGTTTGATTGACTTGTTAAATTGTTTACGGTATAGTATTGTGTTTTAGAATTTAATGATTATGTTTTAGCAAATTAGCCATTTGAAGAAGCTATAATTGTAGGTAGCATGATATGTGTGTGTCACAATAACTCGAGTAATTGAGGTCCCATTTTGATGATATACTGGATAAACTTTGGTGAGATTGCAAATCAACTTGATCGGGTAATAGGAATCAGGTGTTATGGTTTTTTTATTTTCAAAATTTTGTTTAAACTGTTTGACTCACAACCATTGTGTTGATCTAAAAAGCAGATAAAACAATCAGTTTTGTATATAAAACCGTTGCTGTACACTTAATGGTTACAGTAAAATCTCAAAAAACTGTACACATAAAATTCCTACGTTTTTCTTTTGTGAATAAATACACCGTTATTAGCTTGATTATGATACTTTTTTTTGATACTTTTATAAAATTTGGTAAATTTATTTATTTATAGTTAAAACATTTATATTTTCTGAAAGATTTCTTTTTTTCCTTTACTGGTAATAGCAAACCTAAGTACTTGTTGACCTAATCTTATGCTTAGTGTATAAAATCCAATGGATGCCTGACTGCCTTGTTACTATATTGTAGGCAATTGAGGACAAAATGTCGAGCAGGACACAGACCAAATACTAAATAACTTTAATATAATGTACTCATATTGTAATGTCTTTCTTGGAAAAACGCATAAATAAGCGTTCCAACAACCGAAAATTTAATATCGCTTTTACGTTGAAACCTTTCCTTTTTCGCAAAACACAAAGGGGCGGCCGGCCGAACGGGCCTTGGGGCGGCGCCGTAGGTAAGTCCGCCGCCACTGGTTGGTTAAGGTAACCAGACTATGACTAGGTCTACTGTATGTATATAGTACATTATAAATATAGCTTATATAGGCTGGGCACACTCCATCAGCCAATCCCTGTCTCTGAGACCGGAAGGTATGGTTATCTAGAGTGTGGGGAGTTCTCCCTGGAACTTCAATTGAGCAAAGGGTGTCGCCACCTTTGGTGGATAGGTTCATCCGGGTGGGACCCACTTCTATTCCTGCCTCCTTTTGGGAAACCCTGATGGCCTGGCAGTGATGTTGGGCTGGACGGGCAAACGAAGTAGATCGGGTGCCGGGTTCAAGCCCGCTAGGGGTGTTCAGGGATCTATCGCCTTGGCCACCTCTGGTTTCCCAGCAACTGGGTAAGGCCTCGATCGGGTAGTGGTGCAAAAAGGTGGTTGGGGTTCCCCCCATCAGCTTGCTGGTGGTCCCCTTCTTCCTGGCTTTGATGGCGGGCTCTGCCTGTCAGGGATGGGATAGGTCCCGAGTGTTGCTTGCACTAAATGCGTCAGGGCATTCCACTATGGTCCTTCTGGGTTTTATACCTGGGGGAACCCAGGTGGAGTGACGCTTAAACAAGTAGCCGGTATCCCTGGTTAGGATTGAGGGGAAACCCTCTCTCTGAAGGGTGTGCTTCGGCAGCCGGTGAGCCTGATGACCTTAAGTCATCCTCCCATGATGTACCAAAGGTTGGTGCATTAGCTTCGGCCTACATCATGGGGCCCGGGTATGTTTAATTATAGGTACCGGGTTTGCAGTCAGGGAGCTTCATGCTCTCATGACAAAACAAAATGGAAAATGGAAAATGTATGTATATAGTAGTGTGACGTACTTTCGGAAAGGAACGGATTTGCGGCTTGCACACTTGTCCTTGATAGCAAAGTCGTAGCTGGGTTTTTGATTCCAGGGGTCGATATTTAAAAGGTTTTGGTATTGGCTCAGAATATTGGCAATGAATCACAAGATTCCCAAATGGCCCTGACTCATCACAGCCAAAGGATAAACTTGGATTGTTCGGATTGCTCTAGCACTCAGGACGGATTGCTCTGATTTCTCTAGCAATAAGGACGGATTGCTCGGATTGCTCTAGCAATGAGGACGGGTTGCTCGGATTGCTCTAGCAACAGGGACGGATTGCTCGGATTGCTCTAGCAATAGGGACGGAATGCTTGGATTTCTCTAGCAATAGGGACGGATTGCTCGGATTGCTCTAGCAATAGGAACAGATTGCTTGGATTTCTCTAGCAATAGGGACGGATTGCTCTAGCAATAGGGACGGATTGCTTGGATTTCTCTAGCAATAGGGACGGATTGCTTGGATTTCTCTAGCAATAGGGACGGATTGCTTGGATCTCTCTAGCAATAGGGACGGATTGCTCGGATTGCTCTAGCAATAGGAACGGATTGCTTGGATTTCCCTAAAGGACGGATTGCTCGGATTGCTCTAGCAATAGGGACGGATTGCTTGGATTCCTCCAGCAATAAGGACAGATTGCTCGGATTTCTCTAGCAATAGGAACGGATTGCTCTAGCAATAAGGACGGATTGCCTGGATTGCTCTAGCAATAAGGACAGATTGCTCGGATTTCTCCAGCAATAAGGACGGATTGCTCTAGCAATAGGAACGGATTGCTTGGATTGCACTAGCAATAAGGACGGATTGCTCGGATTGCTGTAGCAATAAGGACGGATTGCTTGGTTTGCACTAGCAATAAGGACGGATTGCTCGGATTGCTCTAGCAATAAAGACGGATTGCTCAGATTGCTCTAGCAATAAGGACGGATCGCTCGGATTGCTCTAGCAATAAGGACGAATTGCTCGGATTGCTCGGATTGCTCTAGCAACAGGGACGGATTTTAGGAGAGTGCACCTCCCATGAAGTGTCCTGGGCCACTACCCGGGAGCAAAAGAGACTGAGGTCCCGAGCTGCCGCGGTTTTATGCGAAAATCTGGTCCACCTGGAGGGGGAAAGTCGCGCATGCGCAGGAGTGCGTTTTTGCTCAGTTGCAACCCAGCTGTCATGGAGAGCTGATCGGTTCCTAAGTTAACATAGAAACAAATGGGGATTGAAATTGAGGTGATGTTCGGCGGATAGGATCAGGAACTGGCATAATGGTATTGGTATCGATGGTTTCGGGCGGCGGAAGGAGATGTGGAGCGGCGGAAGGTGCTCTTGGACGGCGGAAAGGAGTCATAGGGTAAGGAGATGGACGGAAGTCGTGGCGGAAGGCTAGGTAGGGCAGCGGAAAGACGAGTTGAGGCGGCGGAAGTTGACTAGGGGCGGCGGAAAGGATACGTGAGGTAGGGAGATGGGCGGAGATCGTGGCGGAAGGATAGGTAGGGCAGCGGAAGGCGATGTGGGGTGGCGGAAGCTGACTAGGGGCGGCGGAAAGGAGATGTGAGGTAGGGATATGGGCGGATATCGTGGCGGAAGGATAGGTAGGGCAGCGGAAGACGAGTTGAGGTGGCGGAAGTTGACTAGGGGTGGCGGAAAGGATACCTGAGGTAGGGAGATGGGCGGAGATCGTGGCGGAAGGATCGGTAGGGCAGCGGAAGGCGATGTAGGGCGGCGGACGTTGACTAGGAGCGGCGGAAAGGAGACGTGAGGTAGGGATATGGGCAGATATCATGGCGGAAGGATAGGTAGGGCAGCGGAAGGCGATGTATTGCGGCGGAAAGGAGACGTGAGGTAGGGATATGGGCGGAGATCGTGGCGGAAGGGTATATGGTACGGCGGAAGGTGGTGTGGTGCGGCGGAAGTTGACTGGGGACGGCGGAAAGGAGTCGTAAGGTTTAAGGAGGAAGTAAAAAAGTATCTTGAAAAAATTGGCTCGTTACAGTAGGTTTCAAGTTGGCCATAGTCATGGACATCTGGTAAGTGCCAGCCCCTTAGTGGGAGCCTCCAGTGACACTCCTCCATCCAGGTTGGTGGGGTGTTTAGCTCTCGGAGAGGTGGAAGTGCGCCATCAATCTACCATCTACCTGTGACTATGGTTCTTTGGGCTTCGGCCTGCTTGCTCTGTGCGACCAGCATTCTGTGGGGCAAATCCTCGACTTTGGAAGTAACCTTTCCTGGAGGTGAAATCGGGCAAGTACGGGGACACTCTAGGGGAACGTAACTTTCCGCAGTGTGAGGGTAACGGCTAGGCGCACTCCATCAGCCAATCCCTGTCTCTGAGCCCGAAGGTATGGTTATCTAGAGTGTGGGGGGTTTTCTCTGGAACCTCAATTGAGTTAAGGGTGTCACCACCTTTGGTGGATAGGTTCATCCGGGTGGGTCCCACTTCTAAACCCGCCTCCTTTTGGGAAACCCTGAGGGCCTGGCAGTGATGTTTGGGCTTGATGGGCAAACGAAGTAGATCGGGTGTTGGGATCAAGCCTGCTAGGGGTACCTGGGGATCTATTGCCCTGGGTATCCCTGGTTTCCCAGCAATGGGATGGCCTCGTTCGGGTAGTGGTGGAAATGGGGGGTGGGCGGTCCCCTTCCTCCTGGCTTTGATGGCGGGTTTCGGCCTGTCAGGGATTGGATAGATCCCGAGTGTTGCTTGCACTAAATGCGTCAGGGCATTTGCTGGTTCCAGGTGGAGTGACGCTTAACCAAGTAGCCGGTATCCCTGGTTAGGATTGAGGGGCAACCCTCTTTCCGAAGGGTTGCTTCGGCAGCCGGTGAGCCTGATGACCTTAAGTCATCCGCCCATGGTGTGCTAAGGTTGGTGCGTATGCTCCGGCCTACACCATGGGGCCCGGGTATGTTTAATTATAGGTACCGGGTTGCAGTTGGGAGGCTTCGGCTCTTTCGACACAAACAAATGGAAAAAATGCATGTATATAGACTAATTACTGTCTTGTTTGAAATTTGATTAATTTTCTTGTCCGATGTGTGAAGTGCATTGTGTTATGATTGTTTGTGTGTTGATGTTGCAGAGTGTGCAGGCTGTAAGGAAGAGCTGAAGGAGGGACAGGCACTGATAGCTCTAGACAGGCAGTGGCACATCTGGTGCTTCAAGTGCAAGGCTTGTGGAGCAGTGTTGCATGGAGAGTACATGGGCAAGTACGTATCTTAACAACAACATCCATCACCACAAGACATCTTAACACAAATTTTCTTTATTTTTAACTTTTTACTACAAAAACAATTTTATATTGATTTTTATTTCCTGTTAATATAGTTTGATGTTTTACTTCTTTAAACTTGATAAAATATGTTATTAGTTCAACCAATGACTTTGGATACCTTTGTTCAAAGTTGAATACTTACTTATATTTTTTTATTAATTGATATATATGATGATGATCAGTTTATCTATAGTCAAAAACTTCATTGTACATACTTATCCATCTAATTTTCTTTTTACATTGTGTGGGAAATAAATTTTCCTGGGAAGGACTTGTCAGCTTAGGGTGCTTACAATAGTCATGGTGATTAGTGTTCTAGCTATAAATGCAAAGTGATGTTGGAAGGGATATCATTCCTTACCTTGTAACCACAAATGTTTAACTCTGTGTATTAGGTACGTTTGTTTATGAGTTAGGTACTGAAATTTTCCCTATTTGTTTTTACTAGGGTTTAGGCTTTAAGTGGTTTAGGTGTACATTTTTTTAAATCATATAAACATAAACAAGCTGTAATTATTTTTTGCTGATTTCCTGAAACACAAAATTATTTTGTGTGGCTAAGTATATATATATATTAGTTATGTATATTATCATTATATCATACAATTATTTTATGAAATATAATGGAGTATGTGTTGTGGTCCCCCAGAGATGGTGTGCCATATTGTGAGAAGGATTACCAGAAGCAGTTTGGTGTCAAGTGTGCCTACTGTAACCGCTACATCTCAGGCAAAGTGCTCCAGGTCAGTACAGGCATGTCTGCTGGTCTGCAATCGCTGAGGGCCTAAAATGATTTCTGAAATTTAGAATAGTGTTTTTAACAAAAAAAGAAATAAAACAATGATCATGTCTGCAATCGCAGGGGATGTTCAATATTTTGCCATAATTGCGAGAGACAATGAGGATGTCTTCACAATCGTAAGAGATTATCTCAATTTCCCTGTAGTCACAGAAGGAAATGATGATACCTTAATGATTACGCACAATGTTAAAAGTGTTGTTTCAATAGGGAGATTCGTGGATGGTGTCTTCGCTATCACAGTTGATGTACATATGATTTCTTGGCGATCATGGGAGACGATGATATTCCTACACAATCACAAGAGAGTGTAAATTTCACCGCTACTTTGGGATATGATGATGATTTATTCGTGTTTAAGATTTTCCGGTGGCTACGGGAGACAATGGTAATTTCTCTGTGATCGTGGAGATGTTTATAATTTTATGGCAATATCTGGTTTTGGCCAAGAGCCTCACATGGAATCAGATCATACTTGTCACTATGCCAATGTCAACATATTACTAGTGTCAAGGCTGCATATTCTGTATGTTCAGTGTGTATTGTATTGACCAGTGATGTTTTTACAGGCTGGAGACAACCATCACTTCCACCCCACGTGTGCTCGCTGCACCAAGTGTGGCGACCCGTTTGGCGATGGAGAAGAAATGTATCTACAGGGTGAGCAACTTGTTATTTTAGCTCAAAGTCTCTACTACTACTATTTTTTTACACCCAAAGCAAAAAAAACTTAAAACTTCAAAAGAATTTATCACACACAAATATGTTAGGCCTATATAATATACTTGAATACTATTTCAAACTAAATGAAAGTCGTTTGATTATTACTGATATAAGAAATGTTAAAATATAGTTGGTTCCACCTCAAGATAAGGAACTATTTCCCAAGAAATGCATACTGTTAATAATAGTGGTAAAAATAAAACTAAAGTGACTGTAAAAATAATCTATTCTAAAAGAATGAATGGGTTTTTGTCAATTACCCTTTAAAGTACAATCAATTGTTTGAAATTTGGTACAACATAAAAGCTCAATACTCTATAGATGTGCCTTTTATGTTTAGACAAAATCTGTTATTAGAGTTCTACCCCACATGCATTAAAAGGTATTTTTGCAATAATTAGTAGTTTTGATATCTGACCTTCCCTGTTGACAATCAAGAAACAAAGAGTTCCTCAAGGCATGACCGTACACAGTAGCGAGTGTATTAAGACAACTCCTCATACCACACACATTTTTACTTTAGGAGCCTTGACTGAACTTCCCCTTTATTTTCGTGTGCACACAGTCAGTCAACTCCCAATCAATACCTACACTCTTCTGTTAAATCTAGTTTTATCGTGTTTCAGCAGTTAACTGTTTTACTTAGTTGTTTATTTGTGATGACTGCTCCAAACTTATTTTGATGTGATTATTATATAAACAATTATGGAATATGCATTTTAGATGATGAAACATTTATATTATCATGGTTTTCATAATTTTCCGTGTGGTTAGATTTTTCCGCTCATCCGACCATGCAACAGCTGGATTAGTTTGAATCTGACCGTACTTTACCAAAAATAATACTAGAAAAGATGTTTCAATTTTTTTTTCATCTTTATATAATGTATAAATGGTAGCATTTAAGTAGCTTTATTAGATACCATGCTTACCATCTCTAATAAAAGCTACTGAAATGCTTGAAACAAATATGATCGCATGCCTAAACCAAGCTAAACAATACTGTATAAACAATAACCTAGTCTTAAATTAAAAGAAAACTGTACAAATAGTTTTTAACACAAAAAATAAAAGTAGCACCTCTCCCCGACCTGGAAGCGAGCAACATAACCAAATATCTAGGTATCACAATTGACTCAAAATTGTCATGGAAGCAACACATTGACCAACTTGGAAAGAAACTCTTGTCAGGTACCCATGTAATTCAAAGAATCAAACAAATATGTGGCTTGGAGATAGCTAAAGTTGCCTACTTTGTTTTTTTTTTAACCCACTTAAGATACGGAATAGTGACATGGGGAGGAACATTAGCATCCAATATGGAAAAGATTCTTATCCTACAAAAAAAAGCACTCAGATGCCTAGCAGGACTACACTACCAAGAAAGCAGCCGGGAATCTTTAAACAACTAAAAATCCTCACAGCAACCTCACTCTACATCCGGGAAACCGTTCTGCATGCAGTCACCTCACAACAGTTAAGACATCATGAACTGCATTTATACAACACAAGACATGCCACAAATTTCACCCTATAACTACACCGCCTAACGCTTTTTGAGAAGAAACCTTCATACAAAGGAGCACTTTTCTTCAACCACTTGCCCGACCATATAAGAAGCCAGCCACCCCAACGTTTCAAGAACCAGCTGACGGAATGGCTCCAAGAAAGACCCTACTACCTAGAATCAGAATTCCTGAACACCTGACAAAGCGCTGCCGCCGACGAGAGCTCTCTCTGGAGATCAAAATGTTAATTTTGTATTATGACATAACATAACTATACAAAAAAATTTTGTGCCTTGTATAACTTTGACAATCTAAAATCTCCCACGAATATGTAAATGAAGGGCATTGTCTATTGTCTATTGTATATTTGGCGCAGGTGGTGCTATCTGGCACCCTAGGTGTGGGCCAGGGCCGACGGAGAACGGTACGGTGCTGAATGGCTCAGTCAACGGTCATGCCACGGAGACTGACGGCGAGGGCAAAGACTTTGACCGTATGAGCAGCTCAGCTGTTAGTGAGATGCAGGTACGCTCAAATCAAAACTTCGACTGTAATTTAAAAAATCTTAGAATTCAATTAATTAGTTGGCCTCAGTTTAAAGTGTGATGAATGTCTAAATTCAATTCCCCTAATCCAACAATAAAATTTATATATCCTATTTACAACACAGATTGCCTAGAAGGAAGAATTTAGTGTATTTTCAATTTTCAATCAATATGTTGTTAGGATAACTCGTGTTAACACTTCTAAATTGCTCCTCCATATAACACTGCTCATAAACAATCTAACCTCGTTATCTAAATGTTATTGAAATAATATTTGATTTCTACAACTGGATAAGATGTGGATCCCAAACTGTAAATGTGTTAGCCTATAGTATTGCCATCTGTATATTTATTTTTTTATTCTAATAATTGGTGTAAAATACCTGCATTTTTGTGATCTTGTTTGTAGCTGAGTTGCTACCGGTTTCAACGGAGTCATCTTCAGGCAGTTAAGATGTCTTCTCGCTTCATTTGAAGGTTGTCAATGGATAATAAATAAATAAAGAAAACACAAATACGTACACGGACATAAATAAGAACATTTAAGGCTAGAAAATACTGAAAACTGTAGGCCTACGGGACACGACACGAAGTGATCGGGCGGGAGTTATGTCTAGACTGCCGGTCAGGATCAACATGGTCAGTGATGATGTCGTGACTGGATTTCCCGATCAGCTGATAGTTGTGATAGTTTAATTCACAACTGTCCCTAGCACCAGTATCTTAATAGCCTTACGACCTTCGAATGAAACGAGAAGAAACTGCCTGAAGATGACTCCAATGTGAGTTGAAACCAGTAGCCACTCAGCTACAAACAAGATCGCATAAATCTAGGTATTTTATACAAATTTATAGTATTTAAATGCGATCAGGAGGCTAAAATTCAATATAATGATTTTTTTATTGATTTTTTTGTATTTTTTGTATTGCTTTTAACTTTTATTTTGTATGATGGTTTATTGGAGCTCTTAAAATTGACGCTAATGCTACATTTAACGTCTATTATACACTACTGTTCTGTGTATTTTGACATGGTATGTCAAAGTCAAGTGTATTATGTTAAGTTGTCTCCATCTACTGACTGAAGCTATCAATGTTACTCGGGTTTTAGATAGACGGGTATGAAAAAGAATAAGAATTCTTAGCCACAGAATTGTAATAGACATTTTCTAAGCTGTAACTAAAGTAAAAAGTAACAGGAGTCATGACAATTTGCACAGTCGACCTTGTTTAACATACAAATAAAACTTATCCTATATCACAGTTGTCAAACAAAATTAAGAATTAGGAATATGTTGATTCTCAATACCACTGGTACTTGGACATTGGTATCAGTTTTGAGAACTGATCGTTAAAAGTGAATGCTGATACCGATACCCTGAGCGGTTTATAAAAAATACTTTTTTTTGCAATTGCCGGTGACAACAATAACGTTTTCTACCCCGGGGAGACGATGATGATGTCTACACAGCCGCAAGAGACAATCAAACCTTTTGATCATATTTTTTTTTATTGAAATGTAGACAGCTTAGTATAAAATATTTTAAATTTACAATTTTTTAAATTATCTCCGTAACCATTAGGCATACAACGATTCAATATACAGAATTATTTTTTAAGCTCTACAAATTGGTTCGGAAAGAAATTGGGAAATTTTGTGTTTTTAGGGTACAAATAGGATAAACCAATTTTTACCCCATAAACCCCCGTTCTCATAGTCTGATCATGCTGGTTCGTGAACACGTTTGAATTAATGTAGGTTTACCTGTTTCTACCAAATTTCATCAAAATCGGATCATTTTTGCTTGAGTTATCGCGCTAACGTACACACACACATAAATATATATATATATATATATATATATATATTATGAAAATTATAGTGATTAGGGCTACTATTTTTATGTATAAATATATTATATATATTAATAAGTCAATTAAAAATAAAATATACAGTAGACCCCCTCTTAACCGACCTCGTATTAACCGATAATCGGGTTATCCGCCTTCGATCGTAAAATAATGCAGTTTGTTTTGACCGACCTCGCTTTGAGAGCAGCTTGGTTTAACCGCCGCTTTCTAGGAATCTCGGCATTTCCGCTCCCAAGCTGGGCGATGAGAACTGAACCAAACGCTTATCTGCACAGGATATGACTAACAATAAGTTATTTTGTGTTGATCACAAAAAATATAGCATAGCCTATTGTCAGTTTGTCATCATCGTTCGTAGCTATATCTGTATTCGAGCACATCTGATCAGATTTGTTATCTGTGCGGCAAATTTATAACATCATAAAGTGCGTCACTATTTTGAGAACTGATTATCTTATCGCCGGAGTAAACAAAAAACGCAACTTGTAGGGAAGGCAGGGAAGGGGGGTTAACAACTCCAAGGTCAAAATAGTTTTTGTTCCTTGAGACTCCAGTGAGAGGCTATAAATAAACGTCCTGTCTTGTAACAAAATGGTCGCTTGTATCTAATGTCAACAAAAGGTTCTGTACTGTATTACGATGTATTTGGAAAGCATCAATTAATACATTACAGTACTAAAGTTATTAAAATAGGAATTTTATTGACTCTTGCCTAGTATTATAATATATTCCACTGAAAGTAGGCTTATTTGACTTAACCGTGTTTATTTGTGACTTTTCTATCAATATGAAAAAGGAGATAAGAGTTGTTTATTTTATAAATAATGCAAGTATGACTTCAAAATAATGATTATATAATTCTAAATGAATAGCACTTCATTATGTTATGATTTTAGGGATTGCCCGTTTTATCCGACCTTTTGAGTTATCCGACCTAGGTCCGGTCCCATTAGGGTAGGTTAAGAGGGGGTCTACTGTAAGTACCAAAGTATCCTGAAAACATTTAATTTTAAGAATTATTAAAATCAAATGTTTTCAGGGTACTTATGTATTTTAATTTACTTATTAACATTTACATATGTATATATACATAGGAATTTGAACGGAAGGTGTTTTTAGCCTCTGGAAAAATCAAAACGAAAAAGTAAATCGGTCCCGGGTCTAGGTCTTACCATGAGACCTACGGTAATATCTTATTCCCTATATGACAAATTTGCTAAAAGGGGTATCAGTATTGAGAAGCAATACATTTTTTATCCGCACATCACTACTTAAAATCTATAAAATCACTAGCACTCAAATGGAAAAATTCTTTAACAGAATAAAGAGGCTGCTTTAGAAAACTATTTGTTTCAGCAGGTTCAAAATTAGCAAAGTATTTAATATTGTTAACATGCAAAGAAGTGTATTGTAAAATGTAAGCCCTATAACTTAAGGGCTTTTGGCCATGCCTTGTGCAACCTTTGGCTAACCTTGTGGTGTGGCTATGTAAATTTTGCCGTTTCAACAAGAATTCTGAATGTTTTTTCTAGTAGGACTTTCAGAACATATCAACTTAAGACGGTTAACCTTTTCATAAATAAAAAAAGGCCTACTATCTGTGTTCTAGGGCTAGGTTCTATTTCTGTGTAGTCAGTAGAAGCTATATACAATAGTCAATGGTATTCTATACCAATAAAAAAAAATTATATACTCCAGCTGAATTTCCCCATAAACATATACCATTTAGTAAATTACTTTAAAAGAAACTTTTCTTAGCGAACTTGAGAAATGACTTGCAGTGTAACATATGTAAGGCCAGTTTAAAATACCGAAGTAGACAATTACCAAAATCCCAGAATTGGATTGAAGCCTTGAGATTGAGACCTCTACTAACTTCTTAACTACACTAGCTTTCCTAAACTCCAGTCAGCAGATGGTTTTTAAGACTAGTGTAAGAAAAAACATTGACAATTGTCATCACAAATCAACTGAACGATAAATTAACTGGTGTTTATCTAGTACATTAGTGTATAGTAGACAAATGTAGTGTAGGAACAAACAATACACAAGATAGTGTAAACATCAACTTAGAAAACTCCAGAAAACTCCGTGAAAGTAATCTGTTTGTTCTTAAAACAAGGAATAAAAATACTATAATAACCATTAACATAAATTGAAATACCAAATACAATACTGTTCAAATGATGAGCACATTTATGAGGTACATGAGGCTGTGCCTTAACAGCTGTTGGTTTTCTAGACGCTGCTGACAGCAAGTCCACGATCAGCGAGGTTTTCATCAAAAGTACGAATCTTTGATATAGTTTATCTTTTTGATCCTAACATGGGTTTTCGTTGTGTTTAGTGTTCTAATATTGTTTAACCCTGTAATCAAATACCCCTAGTTTGGCCAGTTGCAATACAATATACCTATTCTAATAGTTTGGTTTAACTGTCATGATGCATCTGCACATAGCACCAATAGATCAACTTCAGAGTTGCTTTTATTATTTAATAATGAAGCACAATGTGATTTACAGTTTCATTTGAAAATGCTTGGGAACATTCTTTATTTTTTTTTTTTTATCAATACAGTTAACTTATATTGATAGCTAATAACACAATGTTTGCAATTAGTCTTTCAATACAAAAAATATATTATTTGTAAATCTCTCAATAAAGTTTATAAAGACCTTTTTTGAAAGTTTGAAAAGTTCTTTTTATATCAAACCTTTTCTGATTTTGATCGTTGAATTGATTGGTAACAATTAATAATGGCATCCATGCAGCTTGAAAATGAACTAGATAACCTGTTGCTTGAAATCGAGCAAAACTGCAACTTGTAATAAAATAATTAAGAACAAAAAACATAGACAGCAATACCTCAATCAGAGTTATCTCTTATGTACTGTAGGCGGGTGCCCTCTATGAGAACGTAGATGTCAACTACACACGTTAAAGTGAGCTTTTTAGACCTAATGTAGCAAGCTAAATCCCTCTCTTGACACCAACCAGTACGATACATAGTATAGCATTGTTAAATTATTTCTACGATATGTTCTGTGGTAGTAAAAGGCGTTTTAAAATTAGGTGCCCCAACCAAATTCTCCGGTTGGAAACATAAGAGTGGATTTAACAACGTATCTAGAACGCATTCACAAATCTTCAAATCTTCTTTGTCACAGCATTCACAATAATTGTTACAATCAGTTATATTTTTACACTATGATAACTTGTATGTACACAATTACTACTTTCTCTGTTAAAATTAACTAATTATTTTTTTAGTTGACCCCTGCATTGAAATTAAATTCTTGTCAAACCGTTTCAGTTTTAAAGTAGTGCCTGAGGAAAATTGATGTAGTAAAGGTAAAAACCTGAGATGAGCAACGATGGCCTACGTATGATTTGTTTTTATTGATTAAAAATAGTATATTTCACTACTAGTCCTGAAAGTCACCCATTTTGGGCAAGATAAGTAGTTTACAAGGGGGATGAAGCCAAGCACGGAAACAACTACCGAGTCCCGGAATGGATCTATTGTAGTAGGGGACCATTTCACAAGGTCCTACATATATATTACAGAAACAGATCACAAGGTACATAATCAGTTTTACCTAATGATTTGCGCACAGTTGACTCGACCGATTAACGTCATCCAATTGTTTTACCAACCTACTGAAGATAGCTTTTAGTATGATTGATGTTGGAAAGGTTTTTGTACGCTGAAGTTGACTTTATGGTTTTTTTATTAACATAATTATTTAAATAAATAAGTTGGCTGTTTCACATGATTATTGAAAAAGTAGTACTAAACAGTAAACAGAACTTACAACAGAAAATATAAAAATATTTATATAGGCACATAAATTTGTATACATATATACAGGGTGTATATAAAGTCCCGCATGGGCTTAATATTTTCTAAACGACAACAGATACATAAATAAGATTTGGTACATCAACACCACACCTAAAAATCTACTTTTTTAACACGTTCACAGCAGCACGTCAAATGGCGGGCGTATCCACAGTGCGGCGCAGCCCTCAGCGCCAAACAAACCCGATTGCCGCGTGTGATTGGCTTTCCAATTTCGGTCTGACGAATAGCAAATAACGTGCGAGGATGTCCTGCTTTACAACGAGAGTCGATGTAGTTCGCTAAACACCCACAGATAGCAGCACTGCTTGAAACGTAGCCGGTCCCATTGGAATTGTATTGCCAAATGGAGGGAAAAAGACGGGACAAAAAGTAGATTTTAAAATTGCCAAACGGGGATTTTACGGAGAAATTTACTACCAACCTACACCACAACAAAATACAGTGTACTTTTGAGCAGTGCTGTGCGAGGTTTCAAGTTTCTAGCTCTAATCCTGGCTTAAAAATAAAATCATTTCGTATCGCATTGCAGCTTGGGAGCGATAGCACCCACCAGGATGGCATTAGGGTTCCGTATGGGAGCGATCGCTCCCATGCCGCCGCGAACGTGTTAAGGAACTATGAATTTTCTGTCATATCATAGGGACGTCCCGTCCCGCAAGGAGTCAGAAGGAAATCTTAAATATAGGTTAGGTCTTATCTTAAGCATAGGTCAATATGCACATCAGTTTAAAGGGCTTAGCCAAGCAGAGTTCAATGCCGGAAACCGCTCCTCAAAAGGATCATCCGTTACAAAATGGCAGCCATTCAAAGATTTCTTGAATCTGCCATTTTGAATCTTTGAACGACTGCCATTTTTTACTCAGGTGTTCTTTTGAGCTTGAATTTACGGCTTTGTAATCTACTAGTGAAGACCTTTAATTTGATGTGCATATCGACCTATGCTTACGTTAACAATTTTCGTCCAATTCCTAGGTCTGTGCCCCCTGAGGAGTAAGCGTATAATAGCAATGCAAATGAAATTAATCTTTGAACAACTTTAATTCTTGGCTCGTTTGTCCGTTTGAGTTCAAATTTGCGGCATTAAACTCTGCTAGCTAAGCCCTTTAAAATGATGTGCATATTGACCTATGCTCCTATTTAAGATTTCCTTCTGACTCCTTGCGGGTCGGGACGTCCCCATGATATGACAGAAAATTCATAGTTCCTTGAAAAAGTCGATTTTTAGGTGTGGTGTTGATGTACCAAATCTTATTGATTTATCTGTTGTCGTTTAGAAAATATTAAGCCCGTGCGGGACTTTATATACACCCTGTATATATAGTATATAAGAAATAGGAATGGAAAGAGAAATAAAAAAAACTTTATATCACGGAAGAAAACAAAAAGCAAGGAACACAACATGTATTTAAAGGCCTTCAATCTAAGAGACGCAATAACTCCTTTTGAATCTTTTGATCGTTGGAACCACTGATTCATTATATTGGACCTTCTGACCCATCATGGATCACAATATCCAAAGGACAGTCTCTTTCATAAGTTTACTTCACAATGTAAAATTGCACTTCTGGTAATAACTGTACTTTTGGGCCTTCTGATCGTTGGACCTTGTGAAGATGATCCATGAGTAGTGAATGATACTTTTCATCACAATGTAAAATGTTACACAAAGCTTCTTGGTTTTGAATAATAAAATATTATTTCATTGTCTAGTTGATATTTCTCAAAATAAAGTAATGCATTCATAAGTGCCCCTGCTGAGTTAAACAGAAACTTTGTTTGTTTGGGTAAGGGAAAAGTTTGTTTGGAAAAGGCGTTTGTTTAAGTAAGGAAAATTAATGTTTAGGACAGCCAAATCATATGTTTTGCTTGTTTAGAAATTGACAATTTTCAAATAGCATAATTAATTGTAGTTTCTTTCATTAGGGTCAAAATACAAGTCCAGTAAACGTGATACCTACTGATCTTGCTATTCGATCAAGGTCACTAGAGTTGTATTATTCCCGAGTAAAGACAAATAAAACTTTGTTTTCATGTGTGTGAAGTTGTTATGCTAAGTAATCATTATCCAGAAAATGGTGTTTTTTTTTTACTCTTTTGTTTTGTTGTTTTGACAAATTTAATTATAATAAACGAGCAATATTACAAGCAATATTTTAACGAATAATGCACAAAATAGGGTATTTAAAATAATCAACTCTTTAGGTTTTTTACAATCTATTATATTATTAAAGTGATACAATCAAATTTTATGTAAACGGTTAAGGCCATTTACCAAATAAAAATATAGGCATATGACATATCAAAATGAAGCTTAGAGTGTGTAGATTTGCCAAAAAGTATTGATATGGACGAATTCCCTAAGGGCTCTGCCCCATAGGCTGATTTCCAAAGGGCTACGCCTTGCATGTTTTGGAAGTTAACGTTATTCGATTAGTGAACAACAGCTGGCCAATGCAATTGACAATATAGTTTGTTTGTTTACATTTTTGTTTACTTATTTTATAATCATAAAATAAGTAACTTAAACAAAAATTTAAACAAACAAACTATATTGTCAATCTACTTTTATGTTCTTAAAAGAGGTGCAGTGAATGGACAGTGAAGCTATTTCTAGCTGTTTGATACAAGTGAGTGATTAAAGGTGTTCGAAACACGATGAATATGAGATTAACAAACTATGTATGTTGTTCGTTCCAAGAGGTTGTCACCGATCTTTAACAGGTCGCCATTTCATTGAAATGTATTTAAGTAAAGTATTAAAGACGCCGTGAAAGAGAGTGGTGAGTTCAGGTACAGCCGTACCCACCTCGGCCACATTAGGACGTAAGGTATGAAGGTTCCACTGCCTTTAACATCTTTTCAGATCACAATTTCTCGAACTTGGACCCTTTAAATGAAATAGGGAATGTCAAAGTTGATTAAATTAATTTAGGCTTCTGTACACCCGTGAATTCGCGGGTTTAGAATTACATTGTACATGTCGCATTATGTAATGAGTTGCACTTAACAGCACCGCATAGTATTCAACTCACAAATAAGAACTACACTCAACATGATTCTGTTAACTATACAGTACAGTATTCTTCTAATTAATTAGTCTGGATGTTTTCTTTGGAACCAATACAATTTTTGTCTAGCTAATCTTTATCCCCCTCCCCTTGGTTGAGTTTGATTAGGGCACAGTTAGTAGAATGAATTGCAATGTTTTTTTTTTTTTTTTGTACAGCTGTCAAGTGTGTAAGTTTGTCTAAAGCATACATTGAACTCAACCAACAATTCAGTTAATGTTTACTTGTTGTTTTACGTAGATTACTATGCATTTTATTATTTTGATTAGTTTTACATTATTATTTGCTCTGCTACCTGCACTATCTGCTTGTTTAGTAGCATGGTTTTGTTGTTGTTTGTTGCTGTTTTGAGTTTGTATTGCACAGTTCTCAATGCGTTCCCGCACTCCGAGCTTGAACGGGTCCCTCTATAGCCCCTACAATAGCCTCAATAGGAAGGTTAGTCACTTTCATGCCTTGTTGCATATTTTTCAATTGTATATCAATAAATTGATTGAAAATAAAATGTATAGTATTAGTAGAGTTTTTGTTACCAATTTTTGTTAATTTGCAACTGTATTGCTTACAGTGATTCTAAATCTCTTTAGTTGTTTGTCAACTTTCAAGTTCAATAAATCATGGTTCACGAGCAATTGTTTTGTAAAAATTATCTTGAACTACCTGTTATCTAATCAATTTCAGATTATAATCATTGTATTCTTTTATACTTAATCTATTACACAAAGTTGTCATCACTACATCCAGTTGTAGGCTGCATGATAAATTATCTTTGCACAAAATAAAAACACTAAATTTACATTATTTCATGTATGTCACTGATATTGACTGTATGATCTACAGTATTCATACGGAGGGCCTCGTGCCGGCAGTCCTGGACTGATCCTGAGGGAGTACAAGACTCACCAGTACCCGGAGGACATCAGTCGTATCTACACGTACAGCTACTTGACAGAGGAGCCCACTCAGGGATATCTGCGACGACCTATAGAACCCTACGACCGACCTCCCACTTCTCCACACTTCCACCGACCCGCCTGTGAGCAAAAACTATACAAATAATTGAAATGTTTCAACACTAAAAGCAAATACTATTATACATCATTTCTAGAAAAAAAATTACGGCCACATTTCTTGATCTAATTTAGAAAATAAGAATCAAAATGTTAACAGGTGTAAAAAAGTAAAAAAAAAAATGGTAGGCCGATAAAATTAATAAAAACAAATGTAACAGCTAACCCATATTTAATTTTTTGAATATGATTAAATACAACCCTTAATTGATTTTCATGCCCTCAGAAGAGGGTTTATTGATAAACTAGATTCAAGATTCAAGATCTTTATTTGTCATTAAGTAATACAAGTATTACAATAGACATCGTCAACTTTTTTTTTATAATACATACAGTTAATTTCCTGTTAGAGAAGGCCTAACTGCAAGAATACACCAAGTGAGTATCAATTACTCTTTAAAATATAACTGTTAACATAGTAAACTCTAAAATAAATAAATTAACAATTTACATATCAATGATCAAAAATAAAATCTGTAAATATAATAACAATAAAATCTTTAAATATAATAACAATTAAATATTTAAATACATTAATATTAACATTGATGTTCTAAAAACATAGGGAACTAATATCACAGGCCAGATAATCGTCTATGGAATAAAAAACATTTTCCTTAAGCCATTGTTTTATAATTGAAACAAATTGTTTAAAGGGTACAATCCATGCCTTTTTTGGCAATTTATTGAATAGTTGTATCTTCATACATATGTGGCTGCTCTTTGTTTTTTCCAATCTTACAAAAGCTAAATCTAATTGATGGTTATTCCTAGTATAGTACTGTTTAGTTTCGTTTCTAGTTGTAAAATTTTTCAAAGACTCCTTAACATCTATTAGACAACAGTAAATATATAGATTAGGCAAAGTCATTATTTGTAATTCTTTGAATATTGGTTTACAAGACTGTCTTTGTGGTATATTCTTGATTGCTCTCAGTGCCTTTTTTTGCCATCCAAGAGCAGTCTGTGCACTGCAAGAGTTACCCCATTATTTTATACCATATCGTAGATGGGAATGAAAAAAAGCATAGTATGCAGTAATCAACATATCTGCAGTAACACAGTGTCTTAGTTTTCTGAGAAGACAAACCACTCTGGCCAGTTTCTTACACAATTGCTCTAAGTGACTATCCCAACTTAGTCTGCTGTCTAAATATATGCCTAGCAATTTCACAGATTTAATATCCTTATAAATAGAGTAGTTAAGAGTAAAAATGATATTTTCAGTTTTCTGGTTATTTACAATTAAATGATTGGATTGGAACCATTCTTGTGCAACTTTGACTCTCAATTTTTTTTAGTTCCTTTAAATCTTTATGGCTGTTTAGGAGTGATGTATCATCTGCATAAAGAACAGAGGTACAAGGAATATTGAAACAGAAATCATTAACTGCAATGATAAATAGTAGTGGCCCAAGCACTGACCCCTGGGGTACACCATTTTAATTTTCTTAAACTAAATTTGTCTTTGCCCTGGATTACCATTTGCTTTCTGTCACTTAAATAAATAATATTTGTCTTGGAAGTTTCCCATCAAACCTTTCTATTCATGTATGCAGTTGATAAATAAAATTCATTACTCATAACTCCTTAAAATATGGAGAGTTTTGTTAAGTTTTCTTTATATATACTTATACTATGTAGGCTACTATGCATGTTTTAGCGGCCCACTCAATGCGTGCCAGCAGCAAGGCGTCTACACTGCGAAGTTCTCGCTCAGGCATGCGTGCTCTGGTCGACTCTATCCGCTCAGAGACCCCTCGACCTCGGTCACCTCACATGAACAACGAGGAGCCTATAGAGCTGGCTCACTACCCAGATGCCCATCCCCCCAACCCTGGTGAGAAATCCAAGATTGAGCGAGACGACTTCCCCGCACCCCCCTACCCTTATACTGACCCCGGTACGTAACACACTAATAGAACACTAACCGCTTTTGTTTGGTTTTCTTTTTCAGATTGGTGAATGAATTACCGAATGTGTTTTTATTAATGTCCTAAAATACCAAACAACATCTGTCTTTACAATATAGTGCTTCTTTTATTAATTCAAAAAAAAATTTTAAGCATTTAGTATTTTTAGATAAAATAGGTAGGCCTATTATAATCCATTTTATTTTTTTAATATCAATACCAACTATTGCAAATTAATTTTTTTTCTTCTTGCAGTTAAGTCAATTCCCAAACTGTGAATAAGATATCAAAATGAAACAATATACATAAATACAATATTTTATCCTATTTTATTATCAAGTAATATTATAAGCATAGATAGAAGTTAAAACAAAAAAAAATCCTGTAATTAATTTTTGGCCTGACCCGACCCAACCCAAAACAAAAAAGTCTGACCCGCAGACCCCTATATTTTGTTATAGCTTTTCATGCAGCAACAAAGTGTAAGGGAATAACAGTGTCAGATGATGAGAACACAGTGGTTTGCTCTAGTAGGTGTAGTGACAGTAGCAGTGATGTATGATGTATGGTTGTAGAGAGGAGGAGGCAATGGTCAGACTCATACAAGGGAGTGCCAGTGTCAGATAATGAGAACACAGTGGTTTGCTCTAGTAGGTGTAGTGACAGTAGCAGTGATGTATGATGTATGGTTGTAGAGAGGAGGAGGCGATGGTCAGACTCATACAAGGGAGTGCCAGTGTCACATGATGAGAACACAGTGGTTTGCTCTAGTAGGTGTAGTGACAGTAGCAGTGATGTATGATGTATGGTTGTAGAGAGGAGGAGGCAATGGTCAGACTCATACAAGGGAGTGCCAGTGTCAGATGATGAGAACACAGTGGTTTGCTCTAGTAGGTGTAATGACAGTAGCAGTGATGTATGATGTATGGTTGTAGAGAGGAGGAGGCAATGGTCAGACTCATACAAGGGAGTGCCAGTGTCAGATGATGAGAACACAGTGGTTTGCTCTAGTAGGTGTAGTGACAGTAGCAGTGATCTATGATGTATGGTTGTAGAGAGGAGGAGGCAATGGTCAGACTCATACAAGGGAGTGCCAGTGTCAGATGATGAGAACACAGTGGTTTGCTCTAGTAGGTGTAGTGGCAGTAGCAGTGATCTATGATGTATGGTTGTAGAGAGGAGGAGGCAATGGTCAGACTCATACAAGGGAGTGCCAGTGTCAGATGATGAGAACACAGTGGTTTGCTCTAGTAGGTGTAGTGACGGTAGCAGTGATGTATGATGTATGGTTGTAGAGAGGAGGAGGCAATGGTCAGACTCATACAAAAGAATGCCAGTGTCAGATGATGAGAACACAGTGGTTTGCTCTAGTAGGTGTAGTGACGGTAGCAGTGATGTATGATGTATGGTTGTAGAGAGGAGGAGGCAATGGTCAGACTCATACAAGGGAGTGCCAGTGTCAGATGATGAGAACACAGTGGTTTGCTCTAGTAGGTGTAGTGACAGTAGCAGTGATCTATGATGTATGGTTGTAGAGAGGAGGAGGCAATGGTCAGACTCATACAAGGGAGTGCCAGTGTCAGATGATGAGAACACAGTGGTTTGCTCTAGTAGGTGTAGTGACAGTAGCAGTGATGTATGATGTATGGTTGTAGAGAGGAGGAGGCAATGGTCAGACTCATACAAGGGAGTGCCAGGTCAGATGCTGAGGACACAGTGGTTTGCTCTAGTAGGTGTAGTGACAGTAGCAGTGATGTATGATGTATGGTTGTAGAGAGGAGGAGGCGATGGTCAGACTCATACAAGGGAGTGCCAGTGTCAGATGATGAGAACACAGTGGTTTGCTCTAGTAGGTGTAGTGACAGTAGCAGTGATCTATGATGTATGGTTGTAGAGAGGAGGAGGCAATGGTCAGACTCATACAAGGGAGTGCCAGGTCAGATGCTGAGGACACAGTGGTTTGCTCTAGTAGGTGTAGTGACAGTAGCAGTGATGTATGATGTATGGTTGTAGAGAGGAGGAGGCAATGGTCAGACTCATACAAGGGAGTGCCAGTGTCAGATGATGAGAACACAGTGGTTTGCTCTAGTAGGTGTAGTGACAGTAGCAGTGATGTATGATGTATGGTTGTAGAGAGGAGGAGGCGATGGTCAGACTCATACAAGGGAGTGCCAGTGTCAGATGATGAGGACACAGTGGACGGAGCTACAGTACCAGAGATCAAGGAGAGGAAACTAAAGGTACAGTACCATCCATCAACTATAGCAAACATATATGTAATTACTGTAGGACTATGGAGACTTCATAAGTCTGATTTAAGGCATTATAACATATTTGGATCAAAATTGGTTTCTAGCAAATTAGTAGAATTTTTAATACGAATTTACAGCCATATATTTGAATTAGTGATGAGTTGGTACTATAATCGGTTCATAATTTTGCCGCGATCGTGGATGACGACGAAAACGTTTCCGTGACCGCGGGAGTCAATGTTGATGTTTAAACGGCTGCATAAAATTATTTGGCCGCAAAAGTGGATGATAACGATGACATTACTGTGATACCGGGAGATGATGATGATGTCTACATAGTTGCAAGAGATGCTCATGATTTTGCTGCGATCGTGGATGATGACGAAGTACTTTCCGCGACGGCGGGAGTTCATCATGTTGTCTACACGGCCGCGGGAGATGTCATGATTTTGCCGCTATTGCGGGAGATGATTATGACGTCCACACAATGACGTTTCCGTGACAGCGGGAGACAATGATGATGCTAAAACGGCCGCGGAAGATGACTTTGCCAGGATCGCGATCGCGGAAGACAACTATGACGTTACTGCAACACCGGGAGATGATGATGACGTCTTCATGGCTGCAAGAAATGTTCAGGATTTTCTGCGATCGCAGATGACGATGAAGACGTTTCCGTGACCGCGGGAGTTCATGATGTCTACACGGCCGCGGAAGATGTTCATGATCTTGCCACGACTGTGAAAAACAGTGATTATGTTTCAGTAATTGAGAAAGATATTTCGGATTTTGCAGTGATCTTGAGTTTGGGCCGGGCTGAAAATATCAGGCTGGCACACCTCTATATAGGCCTAGTGCCCTAAATATGGTAGTTATTTGATGTGATAAGAAGGGTTTACACTTGGAAATTCGCTAGTTAGAATGTTTCATTGCTGCAGACATTTTTTTACTTGAAAAACACCCTAATAGCCTACCTCAAAAATGCTTAATAGAAAGACAAAGACAGGGGCTGTTGTAGTATAACCAATCCATTCAGAAAACTTGGTAAAACTATTTAAAAAATGGTATTTGTATTGAGAATTGTTTTTTTTTTAGGTATCGGTATCGAGAATCAATAAATTTTGGTATCGACACATCACGAATTCATAAAATATTTTCACTTCCATTACATTATATATTATTTTGATTTGAATTTGTTTATTTAAGTGTGTTTTTGTTTGTTCAAATAAGTTTTATTTTCTTAATCCCTTAAGTTTTGTACAAACCTAAAACTAATAAAAATACTGTAAAATTTAAATACTGTATGGTTTTTTTGTTTAAAAATAAAAAATAAAGTAGCCTATCCTAAAAAATGGTACCGCAACCGAGAACCGAGAATCGATTTTGGCTAGGAACCGGTACCAGTACAGACCTTGAAAAAGTGGTACCGACCCATCACTAATTTGAATTAAAATACTTCAGACAATTTTTGTATTGCTACAGGTATCTGATCAACTAGACTGTTGAGGTCTCGGGTTTTGTCTTTCAATGATAGAATAGCGGAATTCTTAACTCTTGGATTGAAGTGTGTAGTTTCCATTCTTTCTTAAATTGTAAGACAACACCTTCGTATTTTGTTTAATGTCATCAGCAATTGTTGTGTTTATTGCAGAAAGAAGAGGAAGAGCTAAGCAAGATAGCCACAGGTATAGGCAAGGTGTTTCTGCAGAATGTGAAGGAGAGGGAGAAGCTGAGGCAGTACAAGAGAGAACACATCGACCCTCGCAACGCCTCGAGGACCCCGAATGCTGCTCGTGAGCCGACCTACAGACTGCGCTATCAGTCGCCTGTCAACGCATGTTAGTCCCATTACAAAACACTGCATTAATTTACCATGCATATTTTGTCATCTTTTTTCTTCAACTTATGTAGAAATGTGCGAATAGTGATATTTGGGTTAGAATCCAATATAACTGAATACTTCATAATATTTTCAAACAAATATTATTTTGTTATTACAGCCTCCAAAAGTTGTAGGTTTGGAATAACACTAAGAAGACAAATTCTCATGTATTGAAGTTAATCATAGATATATAATCAAAGTTAATCAAATATTTGCTACAATTGTTGAACTACTTTCCATGGATCTAATATACGATAGCATGAAGAAAGCATGAACCTAATTCCATCAAGAAGGGAAGCCACCAAAAAGGTAGTTTGTCCATCAACTAAAAGTTCAACATCTATATATGTGAAAAAAAGGAAAAAGCTACTACACAAATTAAAAACACACACATATAAAGGTTGTGCCAAAAAATTGTAGCAAAAATAGGAATTAACAAAAATACTCCGCAGTGCAAAATAGAAGTAGAGTAGAACCTTGCTAATCCGACCCCAGATGGGCCGACTCCTTGCTTGGTCCGACCGTGCCGCCGACACAATTGATTTCTGCTAACATAACCTCTTTGCCCAAGAAAAATATCTAGAAAGTTTTATAAAATGTGTACCGCATTGATTTATGCAGTGATTGCAGTTGTATGCAGTGATTTATAATTATACCTGATGTGTGTTGGAATGTGATAAACATTGATCATGATTGGTGATGCTTGCAGCTCCCTCACGTAACCTAGATGCACCGCGGGCTTGGGAAGAAGATGAATATTTTGACAGAAGCTCCAGCTATCGCTCCTCTATGGGAAGGTCCGTGGGTGCCATTCCAAGCTATAATGGTAAGTAATTCTCATCTGAACACTCTTTCCTTTAGTCAGCCTCAAATAAATAAAATGTTACAATATTTAGATTTTGTAATGATTGAAACAATGGTATGATAATTTTTATGAGTTTTAAGCATAGATATTATTGAAACAGCAACATGCTTGGTAAGAAATAATAAACAGCTTATATAATCCATATATAAATCCCAAAGTACCTATGGACTTTTGAGATTTAACTACAAGTCACACCCCCCCTAAACCATATACTTAAAATGTTCGTCATGACGAGAAACCTTGCGCAAAACTATCCATTATTTCATAAATTGATCTATGATCTATATTAAGGTTGTAATTAATTTCTAAAGGGAACTTTCCATACGGTATGCCTAATGTTAAAAATACCTCAGCTGTAGGCCTACTTATTTGTTTGTATTGCTGTATTCTATTTTGTTTATTTCAGCTTAACTTGACCAATCAATAGTTTATTAATACTTATGAAGTCAAACGGGGTGAAGCCTGTGGGTAACAACTAGTTAAAGCTAATGAGCAAATACTTTCTGTGTATAGTCAATGTTAAGATTTAAAATTAAGAATTAACAATTTGCTTGCATAGTGAAAAGAGAACAAACTGTTTCCCCATATCATTATAGTTATTAAGAAATAATGACCGATTTATACCAATCTGTTACAGTTAAAACAGTTTCATGTCATAAAATAATTTTTAGTGTTGTAATTAAAAACATAGTGGATTATTTATTACATTATTATATTATAATTGACTATCTACCTGACAGAAGGTTATATTTATCAAAGGCAATATATAACTTTTATTTTCTGTCACCTTTTTGCCAGAAAAGGTTTTTTAAGGAATTGTCAAATTACCTTGAACCTATAAACGAACAATATTATTATTTACATGTTTCCAATACTTGTGTCTATTTATTGCTCAGTTGTATTTATTTCATAGAAACTGTTCATCTGGAGGTAAGTGTTGCAAGCATTGTTGTTGTAACTTCAGCATAGATACTGAACACCTTGTAAATAACATTTAACGTCTTTCACCTCTTTTTACAAAACTTAAATTTGTATAGGTACACTTGAGTTTCACCAATCCAAATCCTGCTAACTCCATAGTCCTGAAAAATGTAATTTTCTTAAGGAGGGAGGAGAATTATACCCAACAGCAAAAATCCTCCATGCTTTTTTGCATATGGTTTGTTTTTGTTGTATTGTTTACTGTAGCTTTAAAATTACATGGTTTTTTAAAGAGTAACTCTATAAAAGCGACAAATATCATGTTATGATAGATTAATGACATCTATACAAACAAATTGTATTTTGCAGTCATAATTTATTTTTAGGTAAAATAAAAAGTGTGCTAAGTTATACAGAACCCTTTCTATCCACTGTTTCCTTGTTATATAGTTCCTCCAAATTTATAATTATAACTCACTTTGCCTTTATCTATCCTTAAAAATACATCTCTTATGAAAATTTACATAATATTCCTTGGTATTATTGAAAACACATGCTTTTAAAAGATTCTTTTAAAACTAGAATTTTTGTTATAAATTTCAAACTCACTGAGGTCCACTTAAGAAAAATGCAATTTTTTTGTATAGTCCATTTCAACTGATTCTTTCATTCCTCAGATTAGTGGCACTCCAGTGTACATCTTATTATTATACTTTAAATTTTCTTTTATGTTGCATATTGTTTTTGTTTTTACAATTTTACAAAGATTTTACAAAGAATCTTTATGAATAATTTTTGTTTGTTTGTTATTTGGATTTGGTAATTAACAACATCTCTCTCTCTAGTCATGACCAAGTAAGTATGAATAGTTAGTAACACTTTGCTTGCAACCGCTGCACATAAAGAGACAATGAGGTTTGGGTCAAATTCAATAAGCTGGTTTTTATATCCAAAACATCAACATAAACAAGTTACTACATAAATACAGTAATTTAAATTCATTAAGCATGAAACAGGTTTAATCCCATATACAAAATATTTTGATTTCAAGGTTACCTGGAAACACAGATTTAAAACCCTTGATCAGATAGATAGAGTGCATAGGGCTTGTAGTTTCAGGTTTTATAATGATTAAATGTGTTTACTCTTTTACATTTCTTAGTCTCAGTCAGTATGTATTTACTCATAGAAAACTATTTTATTTTGTGTAAAATAGTTACGAACTTAGTTTATATATTTTTTATATATTTGCCTTGTAGACGTTAATTTTAAATCTATAGGCCTAACTTATTGTTTTTACGATTTTTTTACATTTAGCCACATTGAGCAGACTAATATTTTTTAGTGTCCATTTGTATTTACTCATACTGCTTAATTTTGAGTAGACAAATTACATACTAATATTGGGTATTTTGTTATTATATGAAGGCCACATATTTTACAGGGCGCTGCGGCGGTTATGTTATGCTGGAGCTGGGTTATCATAAATATGTCTGTAGGACTTTCTTCGTTTTGTTATGAATCGAACGATACCAGATGAGTCTTACTTTCTATTTATGATAACCCCACGTAACATAACTGCCGCAGGGCGCTGTTTAAGGGTGGCCTCCGTTTAATACCAAAGTACCTAATATTGCTGTCTGTGATAGTAATATACTTAGTAGACGTTTAGTTTTTAAATATATAAGCTCTAATTTTAGGATATTTTAGCATTTAGCCACAATTAGCAGACTATTTTTTTATTTATAGACATTAAAACTTCATATTTTTACTCAGGTTACACATTGATCACCAACTAAATATAATAATAAATATTTTGTATTTTGTTATCTTCAATAAAACTTAGTTGTTATCATTATTTGTATGTTTAAATAAGAATGGATACCCTTAATTATTTTCTCATTAAAAATACAACAACAATCTGAAACTACGTTTAATCTGCTGTTGCTGCTAATTCTTTTATCAATAAAACGGTCATCATTTAGTTGATAAGCTCCCTAACAGCGACCTGTTATTTCCTTTCAATTAAAACCAGACAATTAAAAACATTTCAATTCCAAATCAATCATCCTTTTTCAGTCAGGTTTATGACAATGTGTTTCTTTAGTAATATGGTGAAAATTATTAATTGATTATCGCATACATAGGATGTTTGATGCTCTATTCCCAGTTAATAGTCCAAACAGTTCATAATAGCGTCAAATGGATACCCTAGAGTTGTACTTTAATTTATTACACAAATATATTGAAGGGTATCCATACATTTTGGACAACTTGTATGGTTTAAAAGTTATCTTGTATGATATTACCAAAATAATATAAATATTTGTTTAATCTATATAATCAAGCTTTAATTGAATACTCAGTTGGAATAAAATGAGCAACATCTAATACAAAATGATAAGTAACAAGCTGCGAGTTGCAAGGGTGTGTATTATTTTGTTGAGTTATTGCTTGTGTGGTAGTGCCTGGTAGTGTAGAGTGTAATGCCGCATGTGTGTTGTACAGTGGTCTCCTCACACAACGTGCCGCCTCGCCCTGGCTACGGACTGAAGGCCTCTACTCTCCCTGCATCCGCCCGCTACACATCTGTGAGTATCTTATCTGTGTACAGTCCACCACCCTAGTGCCACCCCTGTACAAGCACAGGTAAGAGTGCTGCAGGTGTAGGCAGCTGTTAACCTATGTTCATTTCCAGTGGTCAGTGCGCTAAGACATGTTCCTAAGCCAGGCTACGGCCTGGCTCCTCGCTCTCATACATTCAGCTCCACTGCCGGCACCGCCACTCCTGTAAGTCATTATTTAAAAGTTCACTGTTTTTTTTTTCTTTTTTTTTCTAAAGTTAGGCAAAATATATATTTATTGATATTTTACAATCACTTTTAATTGTTTTGTTCATTTTTCAATCACTTTCAATGTTTTGGAAAAAATTTGAATCTTGCTATGCACTTTTCACAATTTTATGACATACACGTTTCAAAATTCATAACTTTGTTTACTATTTTCGTACATTGCATATATGACAGATTTTAGGATGCTTGTCTTAGCTCATTTGTAATAAATTATACTTTAACTTACTGTAGTATACGTATAAACAGATATTACTAATTACAATGTTATTTTTCTTTAGCAGATTTGGATTTTGTCAAAAAGGTTATCTTACCACTGTCTGTTGTCCATAACTTCTATCGACAACTATTGACTAGTTGATAGTTAGATTAGTTTTGCAAGTGCAACATTGTCAAATTGTGCAACACATCAAAACATGTAAATAAATAAATACATAAAAGACTAGCCAAAACACACATTACTGTTATTTATTTGACTTTCACTTAGAGTAAGTCTCAAGGTTTATTTGACTGTGAAACAGTACGTGCTGTTGGACATGTTAAAATTCGCAATCATCTTTCAATGCTGTACAGGAAATACAGTATGTAGCGAATATAGATAAGTAAAAATTACTCAAAAAACTTTTGAAAGTCAATTATTAATTTTTATCCATGAATTCTAAGCCTGACAATAACTGCATGCTTATCAACAAATTGTTTTAGTAATTCTTTTAATTGGTTATTTGTGTATCTAGTGCGCAAAGTGACACTTTTCTGCACATGAGAGAAATGTTTCTTGAGTGCAGCAAAAGCACTTTGTGCTCACATTACATTTTATATTTTTCCTACAGTTACTATAAAGTATATAAATAATGATTCTTCAATCACTAAGCAAAACGTTTTAGGCTAGGTTAAATCCAACCGTTGAACGAAAATAGAATATTATCACGAAACAACCGGTTAAGTCATTGTATCAACAGTCAAAGGCTGTAGAAAAAATTATTTGTGATGATTCATAAATTTTGAAATGCCATATCGTTATAAAGTGAGTTTTATTGGTCTAATGGAGACGGCATTGGCGGTAGAAAAGTGAAGTGGAGTATTTCTAACATGTACATGTTTGTTCACTACAGGGCGATTTCTCATTTAGTGGCCTTGGGGAAAAGACACATAGTACTGACTTCAGCAGCGGCAAATCTGACAGTAAGTATTAGTGTTGTCCCTGTAATTGTTGGCAATGGATTTGTGGTCATGCTAGAGTAATGGGCTCCTTACATATGATTCTAAATAATTAAGATTTGCTTTACAACAAATTAAATGTTTTTAAAATATATAACATGTCTGTGTAATTGATGTCTATTTTTTGTTTTAACCTTATTTTTTTAAATTTTTAATTAAAAGTTCTCTAGACTCTCAAGTAATGAAGTTTATTTTGATAAATTTCATCAGGTATCAAAATGGTTTTAAAAATAAACGTATTGCTCTGGCGTGGCCTATTCATATTCATGCTTCTTTTAGTTTTGAATTTGTGTGTTTAGTATTTCCTTGCACTCCCATCCCTTCCAGTATCTTGTCAGCTTCTTTGCAGCTTTAATATGACAATTTGTGTCTTGTTATTCACAATTTTGTTTGTTAAGATAGTAAAATTGATTGACCTTGTTCACATAACACATTTAGTTCAGTTTTTATTTACACTTGGCTCATTAATACACTTTCATTTTGCAAAAACTCTTTACTCTTTTATTTGACTTGATTAAAAAAAGAACAAATTTGACTAAAAGATTGCTAATATTGTATTTACAGCCTGAAATAATATTGTTGTTGCTGTTTGGACTTACCTGTTTACTAACCTTGTGATGTCTAATATGTAAATACTGGTTGGTCCATGGGGTTGAGCTGTACGTTAAGATACATGCAAGTTTATTGACCTTTAAGTTTAATTCTACATTAAATAATGCTCAAATTTCAGTAATTAAGTTAATTTGTTTTATGAAAAACAAACTCATCAAATTCTGTCTTAGTTATTTCCAAACAATTTTCGAAATAATTTTTTCCAACAATTATTGACTTGAGAAAATAATTTTATTTGTTAGAAATATCTAGTAAATTGTTTAGGGTTGTTTGATGGACTTGAAACTTACTGTAATGTAGCATTTAGGAAGGAAACTAACCTCAAAATTGTGCTTGACGCCTTTTTTGTGGTGTTTTTTTATGGCGTATCAGGGGTTTTCGCACCTCTTTTTTCCCTCCATTTAGCAATACTGGGCCTGCTAGCAGTTTTGTTTAGTGCTGCTATCTGTTGGATTATTCTAAAACTATGTCCTCAACGACTGGAACACAGTACATGCTACAATATGCCTGTTTGGATTAAATTAAACTAACTTTAAACGTTTTCGCACGCTCACCGACACAGCGCATTAGCCACCGGCCGCGGCCGGCAATCGCGCAACCGCACTGAACGTCTTAAAAGCTTTTGCGAGTTAGATCTTTCTAAATGTGAATAATATTTTTTGTGAGTCACTCAAATCTTAATTAGCAGTAATATAATTTAGCCATTTAACACATAATGTTTAAAAAAACCAGTGAAGTTTAATAGATAGATTTCATTCAGTAAAAAAAAAAAACAAACTTATATCTAATATTAGAGTAAAACAGAATCAAAACAGTTCTTTTATCTTTGTATAAACATTCTTTGTAATAAACTCTCAATTCAATAGTAAAATCATAGATTTGTGTGTAGTTTATTTTCTAAACAATAAAGCATATCAATCATATAATATGCTTGGCAACTCTTCTTCCTTTATACCTTGCTCTGTTTATGTGTGCATAATTTGTGCATTGTTTGGTGGTTATTGTAACATTATGATTGTTTATTGTCTCTGGATTTGATGATTTTTCTATTACACGTTTTAACTAACATTTTCTTGAATAAATTTTAGTAGCCTACTTAAGTAATGTCCAGGATAAGAAAGTCCCAATAGGATATCATTTTGTTGTGGCTGAAGCATAGAAAATACAAAACTAATAAATTATAGTTTTGTAACCATAAACAAAAAATGTTGGTGATGTATGTAGTTTGTATTCAATTATAGTTTTTTTTTGTTTCATGTAAATTTTCTATCATCATAAATTAATAAAGAATAAACTATAAAGTTTATGAATGAGAATAAATATCATGTTTATTCCCATTAGAAAGTTTTTCTACAGTGCCAAATCTTACAGATATATTAAAACCTCACTAATGTAGACCCAGAGCTTGTCGAGTTTGGGGGTTGTCGAATAATCCAGTGGATTAAAGTTTTTAATGGTGTTTAATACACAGGGTGTTTGTGAACTCTCTCGAAAAAATTCACAGGATTATTCCTTGGGTTAATACATGAATATTTTACATTATAAATATGGGTCGCCGGAGCCTCGTTTTCTGTCTGTCTGTCTGTATGTATTTTTTATAAATAACTTTATAACTCGAGTTTGAATCGAGGTACAAACTTTAAATTTGACACACTTGTGTATTTTAACGTGTTACACAAACATGCAAAATTTTGTTTCATTGACTATAGCCGTTTCAAAATAGCGGCCATCTAAAATCTTTGACCTCAAATTACATGAAAACCACTAGAGTTACAAAAAAAACACAAGGATAACAAAATGTGGTAAATTTTATGCCAAATCAAATGACACCTAGACCTTAAAGATCGGACAAGAAACAGCCGAGTTATTAATTTTTTAAATAATTAATAATTTCTTTACTGGCTTTTAATTGTTATTGTTTATTCTTAAAAATCATCTGATCCTTTCTAAATTGTCACAACAATGTAAGACAGCTGGTTGGACAGATGATTTTGAGATGATGATCACATGATTATTTTGAGTTATTAATTTTTTTAACAATTAATAATTTCTTTTCTGGATTTTAATTGTTTTTGTCTATTCTTTAAAATCATCTGATCCTTTCTAAATTGTTACAACAATGTAAGACAGCTGATAACACCTAATAACAACATTTAGTTTTTTTACTAGATGGTAAATGTATTAAGTGTCCTATTTTTACCTTAACTATTGAGATCTGTTTAAGGTTACGTAATGTACTGTGTATCAGATGATTTTAAAGAATAAACAATAACAATTAAAAGCCAGTAAAGAAAGTATTAATTATTTAAAAAATGTATAACTCAGCTGTTTGTTGTCCGATTTTATAGATCTAGGTGTCATTTGATTTGGCATAAAATTTCCCACATTTTGTTATTCTTGTGTTTTTTTTTTTTTTTGTAACTCTAGTGGTTTTCATGTAATTTGAGGTCAAAGATTTTAGATGGCCGCCATTTTGAAACGGCTATAGTCATCGAAATGAAATTTTGCATGTTTGTGTACCATGTTAAAATACACAAGTGTGTCAAATTTAAAGTTTGTACCTTGATTCAAACTCGAGTTATAAGGTTATTTATAAAAAACACATACAGACAGAAAGACGGAAAACGAGGCTCCGGCGACCCATATTTATAATGTAAAATGTTCATGTATTATGTTCATGGTTGGGTTCATGTATTAACCCAAGGAATAATCCTGTGAATTTTTTCGAGAGAGTTCACAAACACCCTGTATAAATACATAACAGACTAATTTTTGCATATAAATGTATTACTCCCATGAGTATTAAGTTACAATATTAGTTCTACTGGATGTTGAGTTTGTGAGGTTCTACTGTAATTATTGAATTTATTTATCACATCCTCTAAGTTCAAACTATCATCTATAAAGGCAACAACATTTTTCATCACATTAAAACCTCTGCATTTTTTATTCGTCTTTAATTAAATTAAATAACTCAATGAATGATGTTTCTATGATTATATTTATTCTAAGAACAAGTTTTCAAACTAGTCTATACTAAATGTAATTTTTTAATTTAATGTGAGGGGGAAACATTGGTTACTCCTTTACTACAGTCTAACCTTGATATAACGAACCTCGATATAACGAATTCCTTGATATAACGAATTTTTTTAATCCCCTAGAACTCTCCATAAGACACAATGTATATTTTACCTCTACATAACGAACAAACCATAACAACGACCTTGATTTAACGATTTTTTTGTGATTTCGGCTTAAATAAGACACCTCAATATAACGAATTTGTCATTGTCAGAACCTCTACATTGCGAATTGTCTACGTTTTTCCCTCGATATAACAAATCCCCCACCCAATTATCATTTTGGGAAAATCTGTTTCTTTATCAAATTAAATGGAAAGGTCACGTCATCACTTGCGCTAACATTCGTCTGCTCCGTTTTACATCTTTGTCTGCTGTCGCTGCGCGCTCTATGTTGCAACTGAGAACTGATTTGATTTCATTCACTGAGGACCTATGACGACGTAATGTTTAGTAAGCTGTGATTGGGCAATATGGGATAACTGTGGTGAATTGTAAAATTTTTTGATAAAGAGAAAACTAAGAAAGAATATAAAAACAAAACCAAAGAGAAAGAATAGCAACATCGTTTTTAACATTCCTTTTACGAGTGTTTTATCATCCTTAAGTTGGCTATGATTATACACTTTTATAATGACTTATCTAATAATTTATTGTTTTCAATACGATTTGTTTCAACTAGCAACACCAATGCTATAGTTAATGGTTATTATTGACATTCCTCTGTTGTGATAAATCAGTGCTGTACTGTAAGTAGCCTACCGGCCTATCACGAGCAGTAGCTTACAAAACTTTCTACGGTTTTGTTTTGTTCTTTACATGGTTTATGATGACTACGCAATACAGTGTTTGGCTAGGTTTTAGGAGGGTTAGAACAAGCTGTGATTTTAAACTTACAGCTTTTAACTTATACCAAGCTCAATGCCATTGTCATTATTGCGCAATATTCAAGATCCCTCCCCTTTATTATGCCGGATAATGGGATAATTTAGGTTCTACTGTACAATGTAAACACTGTACTGTAAAGTATTGTAGCCTATGCTACTTTAATTGTATTTTAATGAGGTCAAATCCCGACCTATATTGACCGACGCTGGTTCTGAACCTCGACTTAGCGAAATTCCTGCACCTCTATATAACGAACCTCGTTTTAACGAAATCCTTGATATAACGAATATTCAGTTCGGCCCCTTCAGATTCGTTATACTGAGGTTGGACTGTATTAATGATTAGAATTAGTTCAATTAAATATTGTTTTGATTATTTTAGTGAAACATAAATGCAGAAATATTTGCACACCCTATCCATAAACCAGTCTAGTAAACATGTATTTTCTAGTACTGTATAATAGTTTTAGGTTAGCATTTAATGATTGGTAGATAAATTTACCTTGTATAGTTATCATAAAGTAAAATTGCAAAAGAGGCAAATATGGGATGTAGCCAATAGCTAATTTGGCTTACACTCGATAATATGGTTAAAAATATATTTATCTATATAGCTATCTTAGCGTAGCCTGTAAATAAATTAAACTGGTCATTTTGCTGTTGTATTGGCCCATCAATGCTTGAGCGTTGATTATACTAACCTTTGCTTTAAATTAAATGTGCATGTTGAATTTCTTGAATAAATTCAAGTTCAAAGTGCATGAATCAATTTTTACAAAAATTTCAGTGATCTAAAATTTGAAATTTAAGTTAAAATTATTGAAAGTTAATGTGCAAACCGCCTCGCGATGCTTGAGCCGGTGCCATATTTGCCTCGTCGCTCGTAGCTGCTTGTCTCACCCTATCTCTCTCTCCCTTCCACAGTTTCGGCAGGCTCCATATCAGAGGTGGACCGTGGACCATTGGTATGTATCTCATCAGTCCATCAAACAATGATACGATAGTTGTTTGTTACTTCTTACTACCCAGTAGAGTGTTCGTTGATTGTTTGTGAACTTCGCAGGTTTCAATTTAAACATTTTCTTCCATTCAATATACATAGTTATTTAAATCATTTGTTATTACAATAAACTGTTAGAGTACAATACAGAAAAGAATAACTTTTTAGCACATTGTAAGACAAAGAGAAATCTGTAAAAAATGGATGAGTTTAAATGCATGATAAGCTTGGGCGAAAAGTGTAATCAAATTGATGTAATCAATAGCTCTGTTACTCTGTATTTATGAAATATCTATATTCTATTTATTTTCATATCTCTAAATTAGCAGTGTCAAATACTTTGAACGAAGTTTGTAGGACTGCATTTAAGTTTATTATATATGTATATATATATAGGCACTTTTACCATTGATGCCTCGCTTCTGGAATTAATTATTATTTTTTGCATCTCTACTTATTACTTGAAAATTTTATGCTATATGGACCACATACCTACAGTTACTAATGAAAAATATGACTCTGTGTTATTAAGGTTTTTTTTTGTTGTTGAGCAAGTTGACGACATAAAACTCTGATATTGTGGTGTTGGTTGTTGACTAAACTAGATGAAAAAATGGAAAAAGGAAACTTACATGAATAATTAGCTCCATACAGTAGTTTGGTGTCGGTATGTGTATTTTCTTGACTAACCAAGGCTGTAAATAATTATTACAAGTGAGAGTTAAATCTGAAAGGCACATTTCATCAGAGAGGCTTGGATTATAATGTTCCAAAAAGTAGTGCTAGTGAAAATTTAGAGTTATTTTTCTCCTCATTTAAATTTTAAACCTAAAATTACTAGGTTCAATCAACGGACGTCAATTTTGTAAATTCGGTCAATTTATGGCTCCTATGACAATTTGTGTATATTGCAATGTAGGGGCCTGAACTGGCTACTTCATCAACGTATACGGGGTGTCTGGGGTACGCCCCCTCCTACAGCCCTCACTTGCGACGATCCTTGCCTAACATGGTCGCCCCTCACTCATCTGAGCCACCCAAGATATACCCGTACCACCTCCTCATCATCACCAACTACAGGCTACCAGCGGACGTGGACAGATGCAACCTTGAGGTAGGTGCTGCATAACTTCTCAACAATTCAAATATTTCTTTAGAATGGTACTCTAGTTTAAAAAAATAATAATTTTGCATTAACTACATTATACACTTGTCCAAATTATAACAACTTTGAACTATTTAAAGTCTGCTACAGAATGAATGGATGGATTTTAAAACAACATATTTTGTGTGCAAAGTTAACAAATATCCCACAAACATGTGTGACTTGTTTGTTTACAAAGTTATCAACAAAGCGGCGTGTGTGTGTGTGTAAGTGTGTGCACGCAAAATCAGTCATACGTAGCTGGCTGCTTGAAATTTCCACAGGCCCAACAAGAGTTGGAGAATCTATTGTTTTGGCGGATTTGATGTATAAAAAAATAGTTCAATCAAACTGATAAATTTGTTGTTTGGAAAATTTTAAGAAGTCAATCGATTATACATTATGCACATCCTTGTCAGCTAACCTTATATCAGTTGATAACCATCCTGAAATAAAAATAATTTAAGTTGAAAATATCCGATGTTTTATTTTTCTAAACGTAAATGTTTTTGTACACAGCGTCACTTGTCGGAGGCTGAGTTTGAAACTCTCTTCCAGTGCACTCGGCCAGAGTTCTACCGACTGCCCCAGTGGAAGAGGAACGAACTCAAGCGTCGCGCCAGACTCTTCTAACCACTTCTTCCTCTCTGGTTCTCCGCACAAAACCTTCAATTCTATCTCCTCTTACTTCTTCTGATATATGCTTACAGTGTCGCTGCATTTATGTTTCTGAGGTCGCTTTTCTCCATTGGTGCTGTATGCTACATTCGTATAGACTGATGATTACTTGCCTCAGGCAAACCGTTACGTTGATGACAGTTCATCAGAGCAAAGTATGCATTTGTTTCTGTTACAGTTAATGTCCTACGGATAGATCGAGCTAATTTAATATTCAAATATTTTGTATATTGGAAATATTTGTTTATTTAAGTGAATATTTTTAAAGAAACCTGATTGTAATTATTAGTGTTGGTGTACACTTTCTTTTAAATAATGCAATATCTGCCGATTTGTATTGAGCAAGGGTTTGTTTTAACAACTTCAAGTTACATTGACTTTTTATGTTTGGAAAGTCAGCCAAATTAATTTGACACATCATACTTTTTATTTTTTATTTGTAAATACATATTGCAGTACGGGGTATTTCTATATACAACTATACCTTTATGTTTATCTATATTTTCTCTATTAGTTTATGTACAGGGTTACATCTCATGGCTTTATTTATTGTTTAAATGTATATTATTATTATACTAGTTTTATTTGTTTGATGGACTAGCTTGTGCCCTTTTAATTTATAATCTACTTTACATCTGTATTTAGAGTAATTCTAATGCTGTACATTTCACCCAGACATAATTGAAATTAATTTCACGATGTAAAGAATTTAATCTTATAATATTCACTTGAGTGTGTGATGGTGTATTTTTCCTATCTGCCATTTGGTGGTTAGAACTAGGTATAGTAATTAGGTTCACTATTTTATACTCTGGCCTTTTAATTTGTCATTTGAGTTGTGATTTACTGAGTCACATGGTCATGTAATTTTCAGTTACCATTTATGTATCAAATAATTTATTTCCTTTCTAATTTTAATAATGTATCTATACATATATTAAAGTCGATCTTGGTGCACATTATCCATAGCTAATTTTGCCTAGTAGTCTACTTAGAATGTATTAAAATTGATTTGTTTGTGACTTATCTACTTAACACAGGTATTATATTATCTACCCATCTTTTAGGTATTCTAAACATTTAATAAACACTGCACAGCTTTTACTGTGATATACATCCAGCAGCCTAATATTCTGTGCTGCCTTTAAGCCTTGAGCTTTATTATTGTGTTATATGTTAATTATAATATTGTTAATAAATGACGAAATAATTAAACAAAACTATAGCAAAGCTGTATAACTCTGACCTGCAATATTTTAAATTCCAAATCATCCTATCTTCATCAGAAAAATTATATTAATTTTATTTTAAACATAATCAATTTTTGTTGATTTCCTCCCTGTTTTACTAGTTACGGTATTAAAAAAGTAATATTGTAGAAACAACATTTTCCAATCGGTAGGTTTGTGTTTTTCTATTTTAGGTATAGTCTCTATACAAACAGGTATACATTCCTAAAATTGATGAAAAACCCTTTTTATCAGAAGAAGTTTTGATTAATTTTCACAGAAACAAGAAGTTTGGTATGGGTTCTTTTGATAGTTTTAAAGTAACAAAAACTAAAGTAGGAGTATATGAACTTTCTACTTAAAAAATCAGTATCTAGTAAGCTAGCTAAACTGTGAAGTATTTAGTAGTGGTTATAACACTAGGAAATATTCTTTAAAAAGTAAAAAATTTGTTAATAATAATACATAATGGAGTACTGGTTTTAACAGGGATTCATTAAAATAGATAAAATATTTTATTTATTGAAAAGTCATATTGTTGTGAGAGATAGTTGCTGTGTGCTAGGACATATTGTATCTAAGCTTTGTAGTGTGCATTCATTAATAAAGGATGGACTAAGTTCCTAGTCTAATCTTGTAGTTTTATTTCACAGTCTCCTCTTTTTGCTACGACAATGCTAAGATAATGAAAGCTGTAAGGTAAAATATTATAACCAATAAATTGTTTAAAATCTTCATTCTTTATTACATTTTGCCGCAAGTCTGTGAATTGCCTAGGTATATATGCTGCCAATTATTGACGGATTTTATCTACCTGATAATAGTGATAATGCTGTAACTTTGCTCTTTGGAGTGTACCTATAACAAGAAGAAGTGCAAGAGGAAGTGCACTAGAAGCTGTCAATTTCACACTTAAAGATGTCAGAAACAATCAGGACTTAATGGGAGGGTTGGTTGTTTTGACTTGTTTTATTGGCTGGAGATTTCAGGCAAACCCTTCCAGTGATTCCTCAAGGAACACCCGCACATTAAATAAGTGCAGTTGCTGAGAATCATTTGTCCAGTGAATGGCTGTGTAATAGAGCTATACTTGCTCCCAAAAATGACACTGTTAATACTATCAACAGTAAGATACTTACAGGAATTCCAGGTGACACGTCAGAGTATCTGTCTATTTACACTTTGTTAGAAGAGGATGCAGCCGTTCAATATCCAGTAGAGTTTCTCAACACCTTGGAGTTTCCAGGTGTCCCTCCTCACAAAATTGAATTGAAAGTCCCGTACCTGTAATGCTACTGAAAATTTTGGAGCCTCCATGACTGCAATGGTACCCAACTTATCGTTACTTTGTTATTGAACAAAACGTTATTGAAGCCCAGGTCCTCACCGTATGTGCAAAAGGCGATACAGTTGTCATACCAATCATTCCAACAGACTTAACGTTTACATTTAAACGGCTTCAATTTCCACTGAAGATGGCCTTTGCCATGACAATAAATAAAGCACAAGGCCAAATTCTTCAAGTAGCTGGCTTACATCTAGAAAATCAATGTTTTTCTCGTGGCCAACTGTACGTGGCATGCTCACGTGTATCGCGCAGCAGAGATATGTACATATAAACACCAGACAACAAAGCTGCAAACATTGTTTATAAAAACGTTCTGTAATCGTTGCAAAGTAATCTTATGCCCATTGCAATCTGAAACTACACAAATTAAAAAGCTTTTTGAACCAATCACTCTTTCAACTAACTTTTAGCTACCCCAAAGTTTGATACATTTACCTCCGCACTTAAATATAATATCACCCGTAGCGAAACAAGGGTACATTAGCTAGTACATGTATAAAAATTTGAATGAATAGTGTTTTTTGCCTCTAGGGATATCAAAATGAAAAAGTACATCTGTCCCGGCTCCAGGTCTTACCGTGCCACCTACGGTAATAGCTACTTCCCCATAGGGAAATTCTCTAATACTTGTCAGTTTGTTGCATATCCTACATCAAATCTATGTAAAAAATAGTTGTTTACGCAACGATTGCGTAAAAATAGTGTTAACTAGAAAATTTAAGGTACGAGTGCCTTACAAACTTCCATGAGTGTCGTTAACACTATTTACGTGAGTTGCGTACACTACTTAATGTACGACAGTATTTAATTACTAAAATTCACTACTCATAACTTCTAAGACATGTTATGTTTTCGTTTATAACCTCTTATTGCTACTGACAGTGATGCAACGAAACATTGTACTAAACAGTAATTGCACCACTCAACAATTAAATTGGTGTGAACAGCTGATTAGTTAAAGTTTGAATCATTACAATTTTACTTCTTCTCTCTTAATCCTTGAACCTCATTGGTCCATTACCTGTGTTGTTATGAGTAAAACTATGCTGTTATGAAAGTAAACAATGCTGTTATGTGAAACATTTCAATTCTAAGAACTGTCGTAGGTAAAATACTTTACGCCACACTACATTATTTAGACGAACTTCCCACGCAAGGATTCAGTCCAGAAAACAGCTGTTTGCCGCCAGCTTATTCAAATGGGGTTTCATTGCGTGATACTGTTCTGCAATGAGTTTTACCGGACACCAATCAGCTGATTATACTGTATTTGCGTAGGTAGCAATAATTGGTTATAAGCAAAAACATAACCTCTCTTAGAGGTTATGACTAGTGATTTTTTGTCCTTTAGTTGGTGGAAATATATAAGGATTCGTACGGATTAAGTAGTATGGCGTAAAATATCGTACGTAACTCGTCCAAAATGTGTTTACCGGACTCGTATGGTAATCCCGTACTCGACTTCGTCTCGCACGGGAACGACCACACTCGTCCGGTAAACACTTACTTTCAGGACTAGTAACGTAATATACTATTACAAGGAAAAAGTTGAGTCACAGATTTTAATTTTGAATTTACAAAAATTACTCCTCCCAATAAATTGTCTCGGGGTATGAAAATGTCTCAAATCGAAATCAGCCATGGCTAACCCTTCTGTATGGGTTTCCCAAGTGGTGTCCTCATGGGTGCCAGTTGATGGTCTCATAGCTTGCATGTGATGTAATAAGTTTGTTTTCTGAATAAGGGTGTGTGGTGAACTGGTCGAGTAAAATTTATGAAACATAAACCATGACAAGTATCGTATGAGTGACATCCTCCGTTTCTTGGAAGTTATGTGGAAACTTTCTGCTGATTTTCAGCAGTTTTACAAATTGTCTTACTATTTTGAGAGAAAATAGTTTACTATAATTGTTAAATATTTGTGCAGAATACTTATTAGCCTACTATATTTTACATTAGAGTTTAAATGTTTTTTTTCCTAAAGAAAACAAAATGCATACAATTGATAATGGTTGATGATGGTTGTATTGCAGTAAAACTGCTGTTTTTGATATAAATTGTTGTTGGGCTAAAGAAGTTCTTTTACCTAACCCGCCATGTTAAACTTCCCTAACCCAAGCGTGATGTATACAACTTCCTTACTTCTCGAGTGATGTAAAGTATCAAAAACTAACTCGGTGATGTAAAGAAACCCATTTAAATAACATTGAGTGCTTAACTTAAAAAATATACCTCTATGGAGCCAACGACGTTCAACGCTAGAAATCAGCTGTGCGCTTGAATGTTATTGTTATGCTTTAAAGTATTTTCATAACCTAGCTTTTGTTTGTAAAAGAACGTTACTGATAGAAGATGAGTGAAATGGATAATGAAAAATATTGTATGTAAACCCATGTATATTGTCGGGTCAGGTAAAATCTTGTACGTTACACGTTACGCAAGAGCGTGTTTACATCACTTAGGTGAATTATGCAACTCGTTTCCGCTCGTTGCACAACATTCACCTGCGTGATGTAAAAACGCTCTTACTACACTTGTAATGTAAATAGCTATTACTCCCTAAGGCCAAACCATTCAGCTGGAGTCGAGGACATAATTCAACACTAAATTAATTCATATGACTTAAAAATTTGCATGGGCTCCCACAGGATTTGGAACAGGGAGGTGCAATAGATAGTGGGGGTCCGGAAAATTTGTGAAAACATGGTGTTTTAAAATGAGTAAAATGTTAAGCTATTTGGTAAAGCAAGAAGATGCCAAATAAATAATTGAATATTGTGCATCAAGGAGAGTAAGTCATCATTTTTATGCCAACGTTTAAAAATTAATATGCAATTTAAAGTTAAGTTACTATGTATAATTTAATTATTAAATCCACGAGCCAAACAATTGAAAAGAAACAAATTTACTGTTGAATGAAGCCTATAACAACCAAGAAAGCTGATGTTTTGTTCTCTGGATAGTGTTGTTAAAGGTACGTTTTGCTTGGAGCGGCTGTTGCGGGACACTGATCTTAGGGGTTTTGCATAGTCCTGTTTTGCTTGGAGCTACTGTCGCTAGAGCCGCGAGCTGCAGTCGCTGGGTACTGCTCCAAGACCAGTCAGGAGCGACAGTCGCTTAGCGACAGTTACATTTCTGATTGTTTTTATAGTGTATAACATTTTGACAAGTTCGACGACCTTTTATTTTTGCTATATGGTGTCGTCGGCTACCCGGACAACGCCTGGGATTAAGTTAAATTTTAGTGGTGAGGAAAACGACAGTTTATTAGAAGTAGTGGCAAAACACCCTGCGCTTTATGATTTAAAACATATCTCCTACAAAGAATAAAGGACAATGTCTGGTTGGCAATAGCTGGTTAAGTCGGAAGATCCGGTTAGTTTAATATTATGTTATTATATTACAAGTTATTTTAGTATAGGTATTTTTTAAATCTACAATACAATCAACAAAATATAATTTTCACTCTGTGAGGAGGTTGTTTATAACACTGATTTCCAATTCAAGTTATGCTTGTGTACTACAATTTATGGAGAAATTGAGTAATTTTATTACATTTTTTTTGGCTTGTGACATGGCAGTTTTGGAATGTTTCTCATAACAAATAACTAGGCCTATAAAGAATACTTTATTGTTAAGTTTTACCTGTTTTACTAAGTGAATTTATCGAATTTAATTAGTGACTTTATACTTAGTGCGCACTTTTGAGGTTAGGTGCACTGACGGTACCACGTCTCGTCACGCCAGGAAGATGTTGTCGCTACAAGCAAAATAGTCTACCACCCCGCAACTGCCGCTGCGACTGTCGCACCTGTCGCTCCAAGCAAAACGTACCTTATAGTGTAAGAATGGTACATCTGCGGCTCAACTACTTATTTGATTTAAACATTTAATTAATACAAATGTTTTTTTAAGGCCATAATGAAACGTACTTTTGTAAATTTATAATTAGTAGTATAAAAAGTAATTACAGTTCAATTCAAGGTATTTAATTTATTTCCTTTTTTCTTAGCCAGGGTGGTAGTACCAGTTGATACAAATGGTATTGCATTTTTACTTTTTCCCTCTATACCATGTATATGGACACAGAAAACGTACTACTATAACCCAGAATGCCAACCGCATGGTAAAAAGCATTAAGCGGTTTGAGAGAGCAATAGCATAGCAACGCTGGTGGCGCTGCCTACGGATTGACAGGCAAAGCTCTCTCAAACCGCTTAATGCTTTTTACCATGCGGTTGGCATTCTGGGTTATAGTAGTACGTTTTCTGTGATATGGAGAAAGTATTGTTTTCTTCAAAATTTTTGAGCGTGAGTTTTGAGTGGATATATCTGTTTTGGGTCCCCCTGGACCCAAAAAAGTGGTTTTCAAAGGGATGTCTGTGTGTCTGGATGTGTACAGAGCTAGGGACTACACCTGTGGTCCGATTTCAATGATATTTGGTGTGAAGGTTCTAATCCATGGTATATTTTTTTAAATTTTAATTTTTAATGTTGATTCTCCTATAAAACCCCATTAAATAACGGAAAAATCTGATTTTCTCAAAAATGGCCTGAACGATTTTGATAACAATTGAGTATGTTATAGTCCCTTAAATTCTAAGCAAAATGGTACAAATCCCATTACCGTAAAAATTACAGTTCAAAAGTTATTGTAACTTATGTTATTTTACCATTAAAAAACATAAAATCACAAAAAAATCAGATTTTTGGAGAAAAGCTGGTTTTGATCAAAATTAATATGTTATGGTCCATATAATTCTAAAAAAATAGTACAACACCCCATTGTAACAATTCCGGTTCAAAAGTTATTGCAACTTTTGTGATTTGTAACTATAAAATATATTTACTCTCACCGCTTGCCCATGATAAAGGTTGTTGACAAACTTATGGGAGAAAGTATGTGTCAGAATGCTGATACTGTTTATTATCAAATGTGTTTGTGTCTATTATAGTGTCACAATATATGTTTCACAACAATAACATCAACATTTACCATTTATTGACATTTAAGACAAATTTGAAGAAGCACACTTTATTATTCTGTTAGCTTAGTAATTGCGGTCTTTTCTTCTTAAATAACATTGACAGCTTTGTATGCAATAGCAAAACCAGGCAGATACAATTTTGGGAGCTAATTAATAATGGTAAACAAAGTACAAGATAATAGTTTTTTTTTTTTTTTTTTTTTTTTTTTTTGTTAGCATAGGTAGTGTAGTTTGAAACAAAATATAGTTTTGTACATCACATGTGCCAGAAGTTTTCTACACTCGCTTGTTTTAAAATTTTGGCCTTGTTTAAATTAAACATGAACCCATGTAGAAAAGAATCACTTTTGGCCCTATTCATGAAATACAATATTAAGAATAAGCGACTTCAGACAATTAGTATCATCAATTATCTCTCAATAGGTGTCATAACCATTAATTGTGTGGTAGTATGTTATACACCTGCTATTATTTGGAACATGGATGTCTTTCTTTTAATGATTTACCCTAATGAAAGTATGTTACCAGTGTTGGCATTAACATTTTGTTGATATAAAAAAATCAATATGACAATTTGTTCCTTACCAAAGACAGAATTATTTTTGTATTTTTCATTTTTGATTGGGTGTTTTGTGTACTCTACATATCAGGTTTATTTGGCTGGAGAAAGTAAGTATTCATATTACTTTTTCAGATAATAACGCCTATTATTAGTATACAAATACATAAAATATTTATTGTTGCTGGATTTAGTATCTTTAGAATAGTATCACATTTAAAATCTTAAGTTATACAAATAAGTTATTCTAAGTGATATTCGTTGAAATCAGATAAATGAGGCTGAGATAAGGTTGTTATTTACAATGTTTACTGGTTTTCTACCCAGTTTTAGTTTTGAACCAGTCCGATACGGAGAGTTACCTAGCTGAGGGCTGGTTTGGGTATAAGAAGGACGTGTCTCACCGCAGGTGGGATGACTGGATCAACATGACGGTGTTCACATTGTCCAAGTGGGTGGCAACTCACTTAGTGCTGACTCAACTCACTCGCTGGATATGTCCCAAGGTACTTTACAGGTCTAACTTGTTTTAGGAATAAAAAAAATAATAAATAGGCTAAAAAATAAGTAAACTAATAAAAAATAACTAACATATTAGAACACTTATTACAGGAGCTTTGCTCCTTTAGTAGGGGCTGAGAGAATTAAGACGTATTAATTGTTACGTTATTAATTGTCCTCCTCAAGTATAGGAGTTAGTAGATCGGCGTCGTCTTCGTCGTCGAGGGTGACTTCATTCCTGTTGTTGCATTCTTGGCTACTATACACTTTGCAAAGGGTGGAACAACTTAGGCCCGCCTTTCTACAGCCACACGCCCCCATACAGCCTGTTGTGCATCTGCATGAGATGGGGTTTAGCAGGTTTGGGGAGCATCGTCTATACTCATTCTGATGGATTCGAGTAGAAAAGTTTGATTTGTTATTGTAAAAGATTGAATATTTTTGTATCCATAAGTCCTAGAAACAAATTATTATACATATATTATAGGAAATTTAACCGTCTACAACCTTAGTATTACATATTTTTCTTATTTTGTTTAGATAAATGAATCTTTAGAAATGCATGGATAGACAAACTTTTTATAAAGAATTAAAATTCCATCCCATTGGGCAACAACTTTAGGCAACTGATTTTGCTGTACGTGAAGACTTTGCTTATAGTACAGAATGAAAGTGATTTTGCGATCTAATGAAATGAAATTTTATTAATGAGCGATGAAGCTCATATCCACTTAAATAGGACCCTGAATAAGTAAAACCTACGTTACTGGGCTCCAGAGCATCTACACCTTATCAACCAGCGTCCTCTACACACTAAAAGTAACAGTCTGGTGTGGCTCTGTTGGAATTATTGGGCCTTAGTTTTCGAAGAGAACGTAGCCACAGTTATTGTTAATTCGGCTCGATACATTCGTATGCTTCAAATCAGAACTAAGAAGACGAGGAATAAACTTAAAACGGGTTTGGTTCCAACAGGATGGGGCAACATCACACACCGCAAAAAATGCAATGACTGTTCTTAAACTTATGTTTCCTGCACGGATTATCTTACGTTTTGGCAATGTTCCTTGGCCTCCTAGGTCTCCAGACATATCAGTGTGCAACTTTTTTCTGTGGGGTTATCTTCAGAGCTGTGTCTAAAACCACAAACGACAACATTTGGACAAGAAGAAAGCAATCATTCAAGAGATTGCTGCCATAGGTTAGATATAATAAAAATTTTCAATTTTGTTTTTCTCATTGGGTTTGTTATTGACTATGATAAAATTTTGTACATTTTTCATGTTTTACAGATGTGTTTTATTATAAAATTTTATAAATCCTGTTATTTCGTTTTAAACTTGACATTATCGTTATTCAACACTTTTTATTATAACAGGTTATTTACCTTGACGTCCACAATTCCTCAGTCAAACTTACATCACAGAATATTCAAAGGCTAGACTGAACTGCAAGCGTTGATAAGAACTGGAGATATAAGAAAAATTATCTTTAAAAATCATGAAAGTTCGAAACGTCCATAAGAAATGTATGGGGGAGAGTTTTCGTTTGAATATATCTTCAAAACATAAACAGATATTTAAAAACCGATTTTGGCATTGAAATCTGCGTGAAAATCTAGTTTATAATGATGTGTCACAACATTATCATTACATTTAACTTTTAGCGAATTTCCCATATTATAGGGAATAAGCTATTACCGTAGTACTCATGGTAAGACCTGGACCAGGGACCGATTTATTTTTTTGTTTTGAGGTCCCTTGAGGCCAAAAACACCATCCGTTCAAATTCATATATATATATATTTATCTCTATATATATATATATATATATATATATATATATATGTGTGTGTGTGTGTCCGTTAGCACGATAACTCGAGCAAAAATGATCCGATTTTGATGAAATTTGGTACAAACGTGTAAACCTACATTTATTCGAACGAGTTCGCGAACCAGCATGATCGGACTATGGGAACGTGGGTTTATGGGGGGTTTTATGGGGTAAAAATAGGGTTTTCCCATTTTTGACCCTAAAAACACAAAATTTTACAATTTCTTTCCAAACCATTTTGTAGAGCTTAAAAAAACAAATAATTTAGTATGTTGAAGCGTGATTATGCGCCTAATGGTCTAATGGAGAAAATTCCAAAAAATTGTAAATTTAAAATCCCCATGTTATTCTTAAGGAGAATAAGTAAACTGTTGTAGTTTACTTGTTTATGAACATATTTTGATCAAATTTGGAAAATACATTCATTTCTTACTAAACTATTAACATAAAAAAAAACACCTTTTTACCCTCCTTGTTGCAGCAAAGCTAAGTACTCGTTAAACTAATTCTATTTAAATAGGAATAAATAAAATATTTTTAAGGAGGCATTTTAAAAATGCAAAATCCTATCAGGCTAATGGAAATTCGCTTAGTCTGCAGGTTTGCTGCGGCGGGGGTATTTTTATTTATATCCAATATGGCGGCCAAAAATGAGTTCCCTATCGAAATTAAGTACTTACCACCCAATAAACATCGGTGGTCGTCCCAAGTCAATATCTCAAAAAATTTTGAATAAAATATGCATGTGGTATATTTTTCAAATTTCTCCATTGTCGGGAAAAGCCACTATTTTTAATCGTGATTTTAGGAGGTTTCCTGTTGACCGATTTTTGGCACCTTTTAGTATGTCACTCTGCGGACCCAACACTACAAAATAAAACCGTAAAACGTTTTATAGCAATTTTTTAATGGTCCCTGTGTCCATTTTTTTTAGTTTGCTTGGACTATCAGTAAAGACATCAGATAAACCCGCCGATCGCCCTATAAGCGTACAGCGACTTAGATTAATGAAAATCAGAATTTTATTAAATCATTCCGGATTGTATCAAAGTATGAGAAAAAAAACTTTGTTCTTTTCCCTTCAATTTGACGTTTGAATCATTGATTGATTGATTCTGTAGGGGCGGACCTTGTCCTGTTGCACGTCAGCCACTGATGGGCTTTTTGCGCTCCCCTTATGGTACATTCAGAGTCCGTCAAACCTGAGTTGCTTAATGAACTCCAGCATCCTGTCTATGAGCGCCTCCTGAGGGAGGTGTCTACCCCTTGTCATTGCACCAAGAGTACTGTCCCTTACCTCATTCAGAGCTGTGCAGTCGTAGAGTAGGTGATCAGCAGTCTCCTCTGATTGCCCACATTTCCTACACGCAGTGTCACCATTGTGGATCCTCAAGCGATGCAGGTGCAATTTCAGGAAGCCATGTCCAGTGACCTTTCCTGTGATCCGTCTGAGTTGCCTCCTGTCTAAACGTAGAACATTGGAGGCGACCGTCTGGGAAGGGGAGAAGAGGGTGAGCTTAATTACCCTATGGTGCTGAAGCCTAACCCATCTTTTCCTGTGTTCCTCCTGAGCCCATGCCATGACTGAGTGACATGCATGCCCACGAGAGATTCCACAGAAAGGCTGTGGTCCCACGAAGTCTGAGGCTGACGCGACATTTGCTAGCCTGTCAGCCACCTCATTCCCTTCTATCCCTGAGTGCCCAGGAACCCAACGGAGTGTTACCTTGTTGCGTCTGCCCAGGTCACATACCGCAGAAAGGCAGTCCCAGACCACCTTAGAATTGAATTCATAGGAGTCGAGCGCTTTGAGCGCAGCCTAGCTGTCTGTAAAAATGGAAATGTTGATGTCCCTGAAGCCTTGTGGAAGAGGATTCCCACCGGACATCCACTCATCCCTGGACAGTGAATGGTCTGGCGAAGAAGAATCGAGTCGGCATTGGTCCGAGGGCATGTCCATTACCTCCCCTCTTACCTGCTGAGTGATCCGAGAGTGACCTCGGGATCCTCCAACATCCAACCAAAGGTTTTCACACTGGAGTCTGTAGGCAGTCCTCCTCGCAGTGACCTTGACATGCAGGTCAATCGGAGTGAGGTTGAGAAGGCAGTCCAGTGAGGCTCCCGGACAGCTGCTCATTGCGCCCGTTTAATTATCTTGAATAGATAATTAATATAAAAGGTCCCCCAGCAACGACCTTTGAAAATCCCGGCATTCTTTTATAAACACCCTGTATTATATTTAATTCTTTTTGTGAGGATTTTATGTTAATTTATAGGTAAGCAATGTGGACTGTATTAAAGTTATTTTAAAGTTGGACACTAACCTTTTTACATAAAACTGATGTGTGGACTTGGGGCCCCTTTGATAATTCCTGAAATGCTTATAATGTTGATAAGTTCATTTTTTTCACACAATATAATGTTAAGAATCACTTTAATTGTCTTTGTATAATTAATTATAAGCCAGCGATAGTTATTTATGATGGTAAAGAGGGGTTTATGGTATTTGAAAAAGTATTAATATGAGAGAAAGCATGTTAAGTCCTCATAGCAACAGGACTTGCCCAAGAATGTCACTACACTACTGAAGGAAGGAGTTGGTCATGTGATACATCAGTGACCAATCAGAGAGTCTTGAAACTATTGGGATTTGAAGATACTGATGCACTATGTGAGGAAAACATTTAACTATTTGAAATGATATTTAAATGGAGATTGTGGTGAAATTAGTTACATTTTATTAGAGTGCATTAAAATTAAAATTATTATAAGAATACTTAGAAGGGAATAGTGTATATATTTGACAGTTTTCTACGGTAAAAATTTGTGTTTTCAGGAAATGTCAAATGCTTAACCCCAATACGGTAATAATTACTACGTGTATAAATCTGTTTTGTTATAAAATATTCTGTTTGGTATCTAAATTTTATTTTATGCTTTGAAACTTTAAACACATTTTAGTGAAACATTTTTTGAGCAAACCATCATGAATTGTTTACGCTCAAAGTCGGACTCAGGTAGTGTGAGGCCCTGTGCTAACATTCAGAGCAGGGCCCCTTATTACTAAAAAGTTCTCCAACCCCAAATTGCCATGTTGTTGCTCATGCTCATAGAATGAAAAATTTCTGCTATTGGGGCAACACCTGTCATCATCTCTCACGACAGCGGAAACAATAGTGATGTTTTTTACAATCAAAGCGACTCCCGTGAGTAGGGCACCTCCCATGATCTTATTCAGTGTTCAAGTTTTGTAATTTGACATAAAAACTCAAAAATAGGCCATACGATTTTGCCAAGACTTTAAATATTTGTTATGGGTTTTGCCTAAAACGGGGGACCCCAAGAAATGCGGGGCCCATTGGAGCCGCACCTTTTGCACATTCCTAAGCCCGGCTCTGATTAAGCTTCAAGTTGTTTTCATATCAATAAGACGTAGAGTGTTTATTGATCATTACCTCAACTTTTTAGTGATTATTGAAATAGTCTATAGTACTTTATTTTATATACTATACAATCTATTTTACATAGATACTATACAAAATATTTAATAACTTTTAACCAGTGCGGAAAGTAATTTTGAATTTTACCTTAGAGCTATGCTTCTTAGATCTATAAAGCTACTAATTTAGTTTACAGAACTGCTGTTCTGAATATAATAAGGTTTCAACTGACAACAAGATCCCCGTCCGTAGAACGGGTACACTGCTATTATGAAGATATTTGATTGTGTGAGAAAGTATATGAAAAATGTATCATTCATCATGAGTTGTAATGAAGTTTTCTTAACAGGGCATACCAGCTGTTCACAGTCTGATTACACTGTCTATGATTTGTGTTCACTTTGGTCCTGAAGCTGCCTCATTCATGTTTATACATGTCTGTTTCTACTTTTTTACTCTACAACTCAATTCTGTTACCAAGACTTGGCTCTTGGGACTTCCTTTTACTACTGTTCTTACAGTCGTGCTTCACACTTTATGGGTAAGACAAAAACTGTGATACTCTATTTTCCTTATAATCTGTGTTGTAGTTTTAAATATCTTTCTGTATGTTATTTTATAATTTAAATTGGAATAAAGGATGCTAAGGATTTATCTTTTTATATACTTATTTATATAGATACAGAATGATAATTACATCATAAAATCATAAAATTACCAGACATTAGTCAGTACAGTATTAAAAATGCTTAAACCTAAACAGCCATATTTAATAAAGAAATAACAAGTCTTTATTGAGCAAGCGGTTTTTTAGATACAATTCTGTTTTCAAAACAACCTTCTTCATTATTTTACTTACTTAAACTATACAGGGTGTCCTTTAACAACCTTTACCCCTTTTGTGGGATTGTCCCATGCATAGAGACAAAACGATTTTATTCATGGGTCTCCCATGCCTAGGTTTCCCTCTATTGCCCATGTTAAAAATTCAGCCTGAGTTTTTTTAATTTTGACAAGTTGCCGTGGCAACTGCTCGGTAGGAAAGACGCTGGTATCGGAATCCCACAGCAGTATGAGTGAGACGGATAATTGGCGTAGAGAGAGAGAATTATAAGGTTTGTATTCATTGGTTTGAATTAGCTGTTGTCATAAATTTAAAGACAATTTTATTGTTAGTTCTGTTTGGTACACTGTAGAGGTTTTGTTTACAATTTGTTTCTTGTCATTTCAGTCATTTTAAACCTTGTTTATCCAAATAAAACAATCTAATGATAAATATACCCCCGCCGTAGCAAACCTGCAGACTAAGCGAATTTCCATTTGCCTGATTTGATTTTCAATTAACTTAAATCTATTCAAATAACATTAGGTTTAACGAGTACCTAGGTTTGCTGCCTACAGGGTAATAAAGTGTGTTTTATTTAGTAAAATATTAATAGCTTAGTATTAAATAAATAGATTGTCCATGTTTAATCCAAATATATGCATAAACGAGCAAACTACAACAGTTTACTTATTCTCCATAAGAATAACTTGGGAATTTTTAATTTACAATTTTCTCCGTAACCAATAACCATACAAAAACACTTCAATATACTGAATTATTTGTTTTTTTAAGATCTTCAAAATGGTCTAGAGGAAGTTTGGGGAATTTAATGTTTTGAGGGTCAAAAATGAGAAAAACCAATTTTAACCCCATAAATCACCCCATAAAACCCCGTTCCCATGGTCCGATCATGCTGGTTCGCGAACTCGTTCGAATAAACGTAGGTTTACACGTTTGTACCAATTTTCATCGAAATTGGATCATTATTGCTCGAGTTATCGTGCTAACGGACACACACACATATATATATATATATATATAAATTTTTTGATAGTTCTGTTCACTTTTTAGGGCTACTTTTTCAATTAATAAGCGAAATAATAAAAACCAGAGTACCCTGAAATTCATTTTTATTTAAACTGATACGTATTTCGGCACTAAGGCCATGATCACAGTATGAGCTATATAAAAGTATGTAAACAAATAAAATAAATAAATAGTTAATAACATATGTTTTGAATTCATATTAAATTTTGATTAAATGGTTAGGTGTATTTTTTAACATGTAAATGTGCAAGATTCTTCCCTGATTTGTCTGATTTTTTCATGTATTGGATTTTGCTTTTGTTTTTGCATTACATTGAGGATTTGGTCGCCGTATTCTTTTGAGTGGAGGTATATTTGTAGCTCTTCTTTTATGTCCATTTTTTCACCCTTTTTTTCATAATTTAGAATTTTGACACATTCTTCTAATTTGCCATAATTGTGATTATTTTCTAATATGTGTTCTGCATACATTGAGCGTTGGGATGTTTTATTGTTTGATTTTACGGCTTGGATATGTTCTTTGAATCTGCATGAAAATGTTCTTCCAGTCTGGCCAATGTAGAATTTGGGACAATTTAGACATTTAATTTTGTAAATTCCAGATTTTTCATATTTGTTAATTGTTTGTGGGTTCTTGTTTGATAGTTTATTAATTAAATTGAATGCGTTGTTTCTAGATCTATAGCTAATTTTGAATTTAGATGTTTGAAATGTTTTCCTGATTGGTTTGTTTAATACCGAACTGTACGGAAGACAAATAAACTCCTTCTTCTCTTCTATGTTTAAATTTTGGGTTTTCTTATTTTTGATCTTCTTGATTAATTTGTCTATTAAACTATCCTTGTATCCATTTTTTGTAGCTATGTCTTTTATAATAGATTTTTCCAAATTGTAATCATCTTCATTTAAAGGTACTCTTAACATTCTGTGTACCATAGAGTTGAAGCTTGCCATTTTATGTTGCCACGGTGAATTTGAGTTAGCAGGAATAACAAGATCTGTTTGTGTGGCTTTTCTATAAATTTTAAAATAATGTTTCTCATTGTTTTTTCCAATTGTTAAGTCGAGAAAATTGATTTCATCTTTTTGTATTTCCATTGTGAATTTTATTTTCTTAGATATTGTGTTTAAATAAGATAAAAAGTCAGTGCACGATTTTTCATTTCCTTTGAACAGACATAATATGTCATCTACATATCTGTGCCAATATATTATGTTTTCCTTATGAGGGTTATTTTCGTTCATTATCTTATTTTCTTCTAATTCATTCAAATATATGTCAGCTAATAAGCCAGAAAGTGGTGATCCCATCGCTAAACCATCACATTGTTTGTACATTTTAGATTCATATTGAAAGTAATTTTGATTAGTTACATTTTTCGTTAATTTAATTATGTCATCAATTTTGTGATAACTAGGGAACGAGTTGTTTTTAGCGAATTTCCCTATAGGGAATAAGCTATTACCGTAGGTCTCATGGTAAGACTTAGTCACGGGACCGATTTACTTTTTCATTTTGATGTCCCCAGAAGCCAAAAACACCATCCGTTCAAATTCATATATATATATATATATATTTTTATTATATAAAAATAATAATTAAATTGAAAAATTTAAAAACCAAAAACTAACCCAGAAATGACTGATGATTATTGTTTTAAAACAAAATTAGAGAATTTGACAGATATTGATTTCAATGAGGATGAATGTGAAATGCTCCAAAAATCCTTAAAATACAATGTGAACCTAGACTACAAAACACAAGAAATTGAAGATGAACTTATTGAAATAGATGCAGCACTAAGACTTAAAGATAAGGAAATACAAGATCCAATCAAATGTAACTTTATTCACGAACTAAACAAAACAGACTATAAATTCAAACAAAAGAAAGTTAAAGAAAAATCAATTAAAGAATTGAAAACCATCCATTCAATATCAGAAAAACTTCATGAAAACAATTCAACCATAACAAAGGCGGATAAAAGTAATACAGTCGTCGTAATGAAAAAAGAAGACTACCACAAGAAAGTAACAGAATTTATTGATAATAATCAATTTAAAGAATTGCAAAAAGATCCAACACAAGAATATAACAAAACCCTCAATAGTACAATTACAACATGCAAAACACTTACAAAAGCTGAAAAACAAAGATTGAAAACTATTAACCCTACAGCACAAAATTTAAGAGGTCAGCCCAAAATGCACAAACCAAACAACCCAATAAGGCCAATCGTAAATTACCAAAACGCTCCAGGATATAAAATTTGTAAGTATCTTAACAAACAAATTAGTGAATGTTTAACAATTACAACCAATTATAATGTGAAAAATTCTGAAGACCTTATAACAAAAATCAAAGATATCAAAATACCAACAGATACTATTTTTGTATCATTTGACATAACCAACATGTACACTAACATTCCAGTACAAGATACAATCAAAATTCTTAAAAATAATTTAAACCAAAATCAATTGATTTCAAATCACAAAATTGATGACATAATTAAATTAACGAAAAATGTAACTAATCAAAATTACTTTCAATATGAATCTAAAATGTACAAACAATGTGATGGTTTAGCGATGGGATCACCACTTTCTGGCTTATTAGCTGACATTTATTTGAATGAATTAGAAGAAAATAAGATAATGAACGAAAATAACCCTCATAAGGAAAACATAATATATTGGCACAGATATGTAGATGACATATTATGTCTGTTCAAAGGAAATGAAAAATCGTGCACTGACTTTTTATCTTATTTAAACACAATATCTAAGAAAATAAAATTCACAATGGAAATACAAAAAGATGAAATCAATTTTCTCGACTTAACAATTGGAAAAAACAATGAGAAACATTATTTTAAAATTTATAGAAAAGCCACACAAACAGATCTTGTTATTCCTGCTAACTCAAATTCACCGTGGCAACATAAAATGGCAAGCTTCAACTCTATGGTACACAGAATGTTAAGAGTACCTTTAAATGAAGATGATTACAATTTGGAAAAATCTATTATAAAAGACATAGCTACAAAAAATGGATACAAGGATAGTTTAATAGACAAATTAATCAAGAAGATCAAAAATAAGAAAACCCAAAATTTAAACATAGAAGAGAAGAAGGAGTTTATTTGTCTTCCGTACAGTTCGGTATTAAACAAACCAATCAGGAAAACATTTCAAACATCTAAATTCAAAATTAGCTATAGATCTAGAAACAACGCATTCAATTTAATTAATAAACTATCAAACAAGAACCCACAAACAATTAACAAATATGAAAAATCTGGAATTTACAAAATTAAATGTCTAAATTGTCCCAAATTCTACATTGGCCAGACTGGAAGAACATTTTCATGCAGATTCAAAGAACATATCCAAGCCGTAAAATCAAACAATAAAACATCCCAACGCTCAATGTATGCAGAACACATATTAGAAAATAATCACAATTATGGCAAATTAGAAGAATGTGTCAAAATTCTAAATTATGAAAAAAAGGGTGAAAAAATGGACATAAAAGAAGAGCTACAAATATACCTCCACTCAAAAGAATACGGCGACCAAATCCTCAATGTAATGCAAAAACAAAAGCAAAATCCAATACATGAAAAAATCAGACAAATCAGGGAAGAATCTTGCACATTTACATGTTAAAAAATACACCTAACCATTTAATCAAAATTTAATATGAATTCAAAACATATGTTATTAACTATTTATTTATTTTATTTGTTTACATACTTTTATATAGCTCATACTGTGATCATGGCCTTAGTGCCAAAATACGTATCAGTTTGGATGGTGTTTTTGGCTTCTGGGGACATCAAAATGAAAAAGTAAATCGGTCCCGTGACTAAGTCTTACCATGAGACCTACGGTAATAGCTTATTCCCTATAGGGAAATTCGCTAAAAACAACTCGTTCCCTAGTTATATAACCAACCAGTAAAGCAAATACCCCCGCCGCAGCAAACCTGCAGACTAAGCGAATTTCCATTTGCCTGATAGGATTTACACTAAAATGTCTCCTTAAAAATATCACATTTATTTCCTATTTAAATAGCATTAGTTTAATGAGTACTTAGGTTTGCTGCAACAGGGAGGGTAAACAGTTTTTTTTTAATGTTAATAGTTTAGTATGGAATTAATGCATTTTCCAAATTTGATCAAAATATGTTCATAAACAAGCAAACGACAACAGTTTATTTATTCTCCATAAGAATAACAAGAGAATTTTAAATTTGCAGTTTTTTTTAATTTTCTCCGTAACCATTAGGCGCATAACAACGCTTCAATATACTAAATCATTTGTTTTTTTAAGCTCTACAAAATGGTTTGGAAAGAAATTGCTATATTTTAAGTTTTTAGGGTAAAAAATGGGAAAACCCCATTTTTATCCCATAGACTCCTGTTCCCATAGTCCGATCATGCTGGTTCGCGAACTCGTTCGAATAAACGTAGGTTTACACGTTTGTACCGAATTTCATCAAAATCAAATGACTTTTGCTCGAGTTATTGTGCTAACGGACACATATATAAATATATACGAGTATATATATATATATATATATGAATTTGAACGGATGGTGTTTTTGGTCTCTAGGGACCTCAAAACAAAAAAGTAAATCGGTCCCGGGTCCAGGTCTTACCATGAGTACTACGGTAATAGCTTATTCCCTATAGGGGAAATTCGCTAAAATCATAAAATTAACCCAAAAATAATAGAAAGAAAATTTTGTTGACACTAGCGATCAGTGTCACCGAACATGAACTAGAGACGAAAACCGAGATTCAAAATTTACAATGGGATGAGAAGTCTACTTGTGTTGGTTAGCCTATGATACGTTTAACAAGTATCTAGGTTTGCTGCTACAAGGAGGGTAATAAAGTGTGTTTTTAGTAAAATATAAATAGCTTAGTATAAAATAAATAAATTTTCCTAAGTTTGATCAAAATATATCCATAAATAACAGAACTATAACAGAACTATCCATAGTAGTAATAAACTATAATAATTTACTCATTCCTCATAATATACTGTATATTATATCCCCACATGGGAATTATAAATTTACATTTTTTTAATTTTCTCCGTAGCCAAACACATAAGCCAGGGGTCTTGGTCTACACAACCTTCAAAAACACGTTCATTTAAGTTTATAAATTATTTGTTTTTTTAAGCTTTACAAACATATACAAAAGAGAACATACATATATATTGTGAAAATAAAATAGTTGTAGTTTTATAACCATTCATTGCCAAAACTATCTGACCTTTTTAATAATTTTGGAATTGATTTACAGAAAATAAAAGGACGAGAAATGAGCTTATTTACTCGACTCGTAGTCAGTACAATGTGGCAACATATGAGATGCACCAGTTTTGTCTTTGATCATCTGAACCCAGAAAATAAATTAACAAAAAGCAGGCTGATAACTTTCTACAATCTGATTGGTTACTGCTTCTATCTTCCTACCTACTTTATCGGACCACTCATACTCTACTCTGATTTTGGACCTTATGTAAGTATGCTTTGGGTTAAAAGGGCAGAGTCATTTATGAGTATGGTTTAAGGATAGGCCTACGAAAAAGTTTACATCGTGAGTGTTCTTATCGGGCTGAATATAATAATACAACGGTTAAAGCTCACTTCTTATTCCTAATATAGAAAAAGTAGATATTATAGTGACTTGATAAGCTTTCTCAGTTTTTTAAAAACAACTACCGGCACATGAATCTGACATAGCTGGGCCTATTCACAAATTAAAGGGAACTAAAATATAATAATACTTATAACATTTTCATATATGTTTCTGACTTTCCAGATGTATCATTCATTCAAGAAACTAACATTGCGAAGGATTGGATTATTGGTCTTGAATTCGCTAAGATTCTTATTCTGGGCTGCAGTGTTAGAGATTTCCCTTCATTTCCTCTACATTCATGCTTTGAAGCATCGTATTTCGGTAAGTGGTTTTTTTTATTTAAGAGGATTTTTTTAAGTTGAATACTGTATTATGCTTTTCTTGACCAGCTACATGTAGTGTTCAGTAAAAACCAGTACTTGTTGTAACTATGAAATTATTAAATCAACTTTTACACACATCTGAACATCTAAGCCAACGTTTATGATAAGTCAAGAGAAATTATTTTTTTTCAAATCTGATCCAATTTACAAATTTAAGTCTAATTATTTAGGTTTGTTTTCATTTGAAGTCTTAGAGTTATATTGTTGGTATCCTTTAAAAACAAAATTGTACTTTTTTTAGCTTGCCCATTAACATTTAAAAAAGGAAATCCCCATGAATATTTTTTCCAGGAAGTTGCTCTGCTTGGGATTTGGACTTTTGATGGTCTTGGAGTTTTACTTGGGATTTTCTTCAATTTGTTTCTGATTGTATTTTATGGCTTGGGAAATACATTTGCCAGTTTTGATGGCTACAACCCTCCTCCACCCCCAAAGTGTATGCTTCATTACCATCTGTATACAGACATCTGGAGGAGATTGGATGTCGGTTTTTATAAATACATGCAAAAGTAAGTAAGCCAACCTTATTTATCATAACTACAGTTAGAAATCCCTTAGTTTCTCGTGTGTCATAAATTTTTCAATCTTCAGATAAGAATCTGAAGAAAACTGCCCTTCTTTGTAAACTAGTTTTTCTACAAATGAAAAAATAGCCTATACAGTATTGCTAAGAGGTGTAGTTCAGGGGTATTTAGTTTATACTAGTGGTCGTCCAGTGGTAGAAAACTCAACCAAAAATGTGTAATGTACACGCATTGACTATTGGAAACTGAAGTGGACAGCCGATCTATATGGACCAGCTGCCCTAATTTTTTATCATAAAACGTTGTAATTGTGCGAGCCATACAGAATGCGTGTCTAAAATTCTATTTTCTACCTTATTTTGTTTCTAAAAAAGTTGATGGGTCATAACAATTGCTTTAGGTCATAATAAGTCATTCCAAAAGTTGACTTGGTAAAAAACATTGTTTATTTGACAGAAATTAGTAATTTAGATCAGCGCAATCTGCTGGTGGCTCCCATCAACTACGACGAATTTAATTAAAAACTGGTGATTACTTTAACATGGGGATGGAATGTCTATAGTTCGGCCGCTTAGAAAACGACCTGCGCGCTAAAGCTAAACCAATGCTGGAGGAGGTCGCTTTCTAAGCGGCCGAATTATAGTTGTAAGTCTAAGGTACCGGCTTCTCTATTTTCACCCCAAGCTGTAAATAAAACATGTAATTGGAATTGCTTCCATTTGTTTTGATTTTATGTTTATATTTTGTTGTTTTTCGTCACCATCATGGCAAACCAAAAGACCCATGTTAATTTTTTTATTTTGAATTCATTTTTTGTGCTTCTGTATGAGCCTATTTTAATTTATAATTAAAGGGATTCTACACACCTACAGAAAAATATCTTTCTAAAAGTTTGCGTAGATTTTCCCTACGATGCACACAAGCTGAGAAAAAAGGTTTTAAAGAAACATGCTTGCCTATTAATATATAGATAGATAGATTATATTAGCCTATAGTTTATTAATTATAATATCTTAATTTTATATTTATAGTTTACTATAATATATTATATTTTATCTTATGTAAGTAATTCATTTTCTGAAAATCTTTATTGCAAGTCTGTGTAGACCTAGGTACATTGGTAAAGCGGGTGTTTTGGCTCTTGTTGCTTGCTTTGTAGCAGGAGCTAGAAAGCAATAACTTTAAAATGTTTGTCGGAGCCCACTTTATTGTATGTATGGTTTGGTCACTGGTATGGCCACCACTATATTCTACCAATGATTTGTCTCAGGTATGTGTATTTGCCTCTGAGTAGAGGTAGTGCAGACTGGAGGAGACGTATATTAGCCTCAGCAGCCTGCTTTTCCTTTGTCATCTTCTGGCACGGCATGGCTCCCATCATTCTCATATGGTGCTTTCTCAACTGGCTCGTGGTGTTACTGGTTACTGTGGCTTCTGCCTTCAACAAATCTGTTGTCTACCAGGACTGGGAGGTCAGTAAGTGTATTTAGGAAATAAGCTACTGTATTACCTGTATACTGTATATCATGGTAAGACCTGGACCGGGACCGATTTACCTTATCATTATGATGTCCTCAGATGCCAAAAACACCCTCCGTTCAAAATCATATATCTGTTAGCACAATAACTCTAGTAAAAATCATCCAATTTCGATGAAAGTTACTACACTCAAGTAAACCTATGTTTACTCTAACGAGTTTGCAAATCAGCATGTTTTAGACTTTGGTAATGGGGTTATATATTTATGAGGGGTTTTACAGGTTAGTCAACGTTCAACCATCAAAACAAAGAATTTTCCAATTTATCTCTAAACGATAATTTATCCCATTTGGAAGTATTTTTGTATGGTTATTTATAACTGTAATTACAGTGTAATTACAAAGAAAATTCTAAAAATTACAATTTAAAATAGGAACTAAATCTGAATGTTTAAGGAACAATTTTAGTTGAAATCGGGATCAGACAAATGAAAATTTGCTTAGTCTGCAGGTTTGCTGAAGGAGAGGGGTAATTAGTTTATGTAATATCTAATACATTTAAATGTTGGTACTGCAATAACTTGTCTACGGCTGTTTATTATTAAGTTCCTGTTTTAATAGTTTCCATGTCGTTACATTTTTTGTAAGAGAGCAGTCTAGTCTTTTGTGTTAATTGTTTTTGTCTGATTTTCAGTTTGTGGTTATTGTATTTCAGAGGCACATGTTCAGTGGGACAAACATTCGCAGACTCAAAGCGTTGCTTGCAGCTCCAGTTTTACTGATGGGCTCTATAAGTTCATCATTCTTCGTTTGTGATGTTCAATTTGGAAGTTTTCTTATCAAGGAAATATTCTTCAATGGTGAGATTATTAACTATTAGACGTTGAGTTATGTCTAAGACTGACAAAGGTCCAAATGGTTATTATATTCAACATGTTTGCTTATACAGTATAATGATACTGAGCTTGGCAAGGTCTACCTGAGAGGGAAGTACTATGCTGGATTCACAGCCCCAGTTTGTGAAAGAAGGTTGGTTAATTGATTTGATACTACATGGTCCCTACGGTGGTTTACATTTATTTGCTAAACTTGCTTTGTGGAGTAAAGTAGAGAAATTGTTAGTATCAAAAGTAGAGTTATCGTAACAAAAGTATTGTCGCTATCCTGAATAATGTTTTATGTGTGTTTAATAGTAATCTCAGATGTGAGAAGTTATCAGTTTTTAAAACAAAGGGTTGTCACGTGAAAAAATATCGAGGCCGACCAGGGGAGACACTTTGAATTTCCCAACTATATGAGACAGATTTCCCAACTATATTACTTGAATTTCCCAACTATATTACTCAGATTTACTGACTAATTAATAATAAATTTTTGTAGTAAAAGTCTCTCTGTAAAAAGCCTCTTTATAGCTAACATAAAAGTAACAAGACATTTTAGTTTCTCGCACATTATTGAAATGACTGTCACTACACTGCACTGATCAATTGTATACATTAAGGTTTACAGCCTCTTCAAATAGATTTTAAAATAAACACTCAGTGTCTACGGCTCTCTTCAAAGAAAGGAATTGCTCTAAAAAGCCTTGAATTACTTTCTACTACCGGTATGGTTACATTACTTAACGTACTCAACCTATGAAATGTCCAACATTTTTTACCTTAATTATTAATTTATACAAAAGGGTAGATGTCAGCTTAGTTAGAGAAAAAATCGTTTAAGTAAACAGTTTAAAGACAGTTTCAAACTTCCCAAACTCCAGCTTCAAATACCCCAAAATTCCCAACTTTTACACTTTTTCAAATATGATTTGGAGGGGGGGTGGCTCCCCCCCTAGCCCCCTTGGATGGCGCCCCTGTATACTGTATATAATACAGTGTAGTTACTTGTTTCATGTTAAAATACATTTATTTTTACAGGTTCATGGTCAGCTTTTGCTGTTATAATATTCATCTGCTACTCCTTTTGTCAAATTTCTGTCGAAACAAAACAGTGGGAGTCAAAACAAATTTCCAAATAACAACGAACAACAACAATATACTAATAGCCCAGTTAAATTAGAATAATCGGGTGAAATAATTCCCGGAGAGTTTTGAAATTTGTTTAAACGTTCCTTTTGTTCATTAGATTAAAGTAAATAAAAAGTCCTGATGGGTGGGGGTCGAGCTTGACTAAGGGAAGGGCTCTGAATATGACTTCTTTTAGTTTTTCGCTTATATATCGGAATCTGTAAGTCATATTGAAAAGTGTTAAATACAAAAGTTATAGCTGACAAAAAGCCCTACAAAAATGACAATATGCATTTCGTACGACTTAACCATTTAAAGCTAACTGGTAAAGAAAGTAACAGTATATTAAAATCTTGTTTTCTTTGCATTTCTGTTTTTAAAGTTAATATTACCAAAAATAATTTTAATGATTACATACATGGGTCATGTCGTTTAAACTAGGGGATACAGGGATTCTTCAGTGTCATACACGTTTTTGACACTTCGTACAACTAAGGGGTAAATAAAATAACAGTATATTAAAATGGTGTTTTATTTGCATGGAATATAAAACAGGTTCGAAAAGACAAAGTCTTATCATTGGTCTCAATGAGCAGCACTATCAAAATTAATAACGTAGTGCATGTGGTGGATCCACTACTCGTATTACAACGAGTTGCAATTTTCAAAGAAAAACAACGAGGATCTAGAGGACTTCTGCGCCACGAGCTGCGCCTTTCCCCTTATAGCTCTGTTTGATGAAAGAGATATGAGAAAGACACAAGTCTTCTTTATATGATTTTTTCAATGTTCACTAGTTAGCTCCAATAACTAATGTAATCAACCAATATGTGACGTACAAAGAAACACTATGGTGACTTCTGCACTGTTGTGTTTAATGGTTACTCAGAAAATGATCTCCGAGGGTATAGAAGTCAGACGTTCTGAAGCTGATGCTGATACAACGATTGTGCGTTGTGGAGTGAAAAAAGCAGCATTCAGTGGTCATGTTGCTATCGTTGAAGAGCATATAAATTTGCTGGTCCTGCTGATTGCTCCACACGATCAAGAAATTATCTTCTTCAAACAAGAAAAAATGTAGCCTAAGGTAGAACATAGAAGTTATTACTCCGATGAATTACAGAAATGTTACTTTGTCAGAAGCATATTGTTCATTCACGGGCTTAGTGGGTGTGATACCACCTCGTCATTTTTCAGAAAAGGCAATTCATTAATTGTGAAATCATCTCGATACCATTACCAACGTATTTTAAGGCCCGACTTTGGCCCAAAAGGAAGTCTTGATAGCCGGTAAGCGGATGATCCTACTGATGTACAACATCAGTACATACCAATACATCGCATTCATCAATTCTACCACTAGGCTGAAAGCAGACCTCCCTCTTTGCCACCAACAAAAGGTTCTGCCCAGCAGCATTCTTTTAGAATATGTGCAAGGGCAAGAATGGCTGGGAAATAAACTACCACTAACTGATTGGGGTTGGACAACGGGCACCGAAGGACAACTAAAAACCCTTACTATCCTAGATCTTGATACTCCGGCCGCTATCCTCACAACAATATTTAGCAATTTTGGATGTGGAACACAATATGCGTAAAGCGGGGGTCTACTGCTCAACAATGTGCGGAACTGAGAGGGAGTGTGCACCAATGGCCCTCCGGTAGACGACGATTCTGTGAGACTGAAGAATCCCTCGATCCCCTAGTTTAAACGACATGACCCATGTTTGTAATCATTAAAATTATTTTTAGTAATATTAACTTTAACAACAGAAATGCAAATAAAACACAATTTTAATATACTGTTATTTTCTTTACCCTTTAGCTTAAAACGGTTAAGTCGTACAAAAAAAAATGCATAGTGTAATTTTTGTAGGAAATTTTGTTAGCTATAACTTTTGTATTTAACACTTTTCAATATGACTTACAGATTCCGATACATAGCGAAAAACGTTAAAACGTCACATCCAGAGCCCTTCCCTTAGTCAAGCTCGACCCCCACCCCACCCATCAGGACTTTTTATTCAATCTAATGAGCAAGAGGAACGTTTAAACAATCTTCCAACTCTCCAGGAATTTTTTCACCCGAATGGCAATTTTTTGTTTTATTTGACTGGGCTATAATTAATATAAGACAATAAACTATCTCTTGCATTCGTGGCAATTTACTGAACTTCCCCCACAATCACTGAAACACCATCATCGTCCCCGGTGATCATGGCAAAACATTATCATCTTCCGCAATCACGCGGGATCAGTAAATCTCAGGTAAGCAATAAATTTGGTCATTTAATATGCCCCATGGATAATCCGACCTTTTCACTGTTTCGACCATGGTCTCGGTCTTGTGAGTAACAGTTTGGGGGAATTGTATTATAAATAAAACTACTTCATATTATTTTTCAATTCAATACAATGCATGTATTTTTAAATTTTCCCTACACATTTGTACGAATGGCTCTGAGCATAACCATGGGACAGGGAATTTCATGGTTGAACTTAAAACATGCATGTGGAGAACACTCGATTTACAACTGTAATTGGATTGGTACCTAACAACATATTTTTATGTTCCTCATTTGTATGTAGCAATGTAGCATTGTTTAATAGTGTGTGTAATGTTCATCAAGAGTGACTTTGATTTTAAGATTTTTAAATCAATAATGTGCAATAGTGTATTATACAAAATTTTGCCAAAGTAGTAGGATTTTTGTTCTAATCCTGTTAATTCTCCCGAGAGTTGATGACTTTGCAGGAAGGTATATGATTTTGTCTTCCTAAGAATAGACTCCAGAATCCCTAAAAACCTCTGGCAAGGTTGTGCTTTCTACTAGAGAGGATATGATATTATGTATTTGTGCTCTGAAAATCTATCTTTGTGAATCATAGTAAGGTGTTAGTGAAATAATTATCAGGGTTGTCCAGATGAAACATTTTTATAAGAAACACTTTTGATTGAACATTTTCTGACATATACTAATAACTGTTAAATATTTATTATTTATTATTCAGCCCATTAATCACTCTCATCATCAGGATTAAAGAATCTTTCATACTTGTTCCTAGAGACCTTACTCTCCTCATTAGTCTTGTAGTTGACCTGGTAACTTTCTGTGATTGCAGCAGTCTGAAACCATAACACCACTCACTCAAGTATTACGACAACATATTTATGATTATGATACTTGGAACTTGGAATGGTGGTTCAAGTTGTGCAATGAGGGATTTTAAGAAGAGTGTCATGTTTATGAAAATTAAAATTGTAAAATTAAAATAAGATTTTACCAAAAAGCCCAAGAAAGTGAAAGGTGGGGCCTAAAGTTGCCTTTATATGTTCTAGGATAGGATTTTGGCCATTAGAATCCACAATGAAAAATGAATTGTATCACCACAAAAATTGTGCTTTTTTATGAAAATATGTAGCTCAAAAACATTCAAATCTTTAAATCTTAAATTTTTAAATCTTTAAAACAACTGTAAGAAATGGCGAGATGGTGGATGGCAATAGTACCGTAATCTTATTGACCAAAATCTGTTAGTTTTATGATCAGTAAAGTATATTTTGAGAATACCTGTGACGTTGATGAGGCTTGGCGACTTAGCAGAATCAACAGAGGACAATAAACAATGTTGATGATTCCCACAGCTCTGAGCAACCAAGGGAACCCTATCAGGTGGACCACTTCTCCACCTATCATTGGACCTAAGGCACAGATAAACACTACTGGTGTACATCTGTTATGTGATATGATATTGTTAACATTAAAAAGCTTAAAATTAAATTATTCAAACATAAATCCTAACAAATAACTCTGGTTTATCGAAGCAAAATTAACTTAGACAAAAGAAAAGTCTTTGTTTCAATCACCATTTCTACATACATAACTTTACAACTCATCTGTAAATTTATTTTTATAATGTACTAGCTGGCCCGACAGACGTCATCCTGTCCTAATGTGGTTTTATGTCAAATGCTCGTTCATTTTCAAGATGAGCACGTTCGCATGACTCAATCACGTCTTGGTTGAAGTTAGTTCGCTACGCTCACTCACCTTTAGGTTGGAGCTCGTTCGCTACGCTCACTTGCCTTCAGGTTAGCTCGTTTGCTACGCTAACTCACTTCCAGGTTGAAGTTCGTTCGCTACGCTCACTCACCTTTTGGTAGCAAATTAGCTGTTGTCATGAATGAAAAAAATAATAGTGCTGCACCCTGTTGGTAAACCTATTAACTTTTTAATGATATTAAACATCACAGAATTAAATTATTTAGTTGAACCAGCTGTTAAGAATCTTTAATTCCATTTAAATATGAGTACTCATTAGGTTAACATGGGAAACTCCAGAGCCACTGGGGCCCTTTGACGGATCTGCACCAAACTTCACACAAACCATCCTTGAATAATGCTTAATAATACCTGAAAATTTCATTACAATCTGTCGAGCGGTTTCGGAGTCCATAAAGGACAAACATACATACATACAAACAAACATACATTGGACTTAAATATATAGATTTGACATAACATCTTCAATATTATCTTTCTATATCTATAATATTAAAACGAAACAGTGTTTTTTTATTTCACGATTCTGAATCAACCACTCGACAGATTTTCATGATTTTTGTATTGAAAGAAAGATAATTTTGAGAACTAGGGAATGTCGAAGCCATAATTTTAGTTTAGGGTCCCAGTTTTTTATAAATTAGGTTTTAATTTTTAAAAAGTCTAGCAGCCGACGCTAAGATTCTAAACTAGCTTTTGGCATAAAATAATTTGCTTTACATAACAGCTGTAAACATTCAGCTTTTGGGTAAAAATGTAAAGACATACATAGGGTTGACTTATTTATACTATGTGTAATGCTAATCATTGATACGTTCAATTCTTCTGTAAGAGGATGACAGATTAATTAAATATACATAGTAAAATACTAGGATGTTCAAATTATTTTTTAAAGCAATCTTTGTAATCTTCGATTTGTTTTAGAGCAATATAATTTGTTTTAACTAACAGCTGGTTAAATATAAACTATGGAACTATGAGGTTATTTTATTTACTCTTATTTTGTCATTGATTATAGGAAATAAGTAAGATTAGTAGAGATAATTAGACCACAGTTTAAAATAGTTTAGACCAAAATTAATTAAACCACAGTACAAATCGAGGCTCTGTACACGAGTCTAATTAAAAAAGGATAAATGCAAATTATATTACTGCTCCACTTTTCAAGGAAAGATTAGAAAAATGACAATGTTTACATGTTTTAATTCTTCATGGTAGCCTTTTGTTTACAATTAATGTTTGTCTGCTTTAACTTTGTTTGGATTAGGCCCGGAAATATTGATGTCATAAAAAGAAGATCAAGAATAATCAGGAATCACGATTTTAAATTACCACCACAACCTAAGGCCCCCCATACACGTAACGATCGGCCGGCCGGCCCGGCCTGAACAGTCCACACCGGCCGGCCGATCGTTACGTGTATGGGGTCGTCGTCCGGCCGCCGGACGACCAAATTGGCCGGTTGACGACTGATGGGATTCCCATCAGTCGTCGTCCGGCCAACCCCCGCCTTCAGGCCGATCGTTACGTGTATGGGGTCGCCGGCAGGCCGCCGGAAGGCCGACAGTACAGTAGTAGCATTATTTTTTTTATTTACGTTCATTTTTAAGGTCATTGACATAACCTAACTTTATTTTCTGTTCAGTCTTTGTACTAATATGGCTACGTGGACTAATCAGCATGTGCTAGCCTTTATAGAAGAATACAGAAAGCATGAATGTCGGCGGAGGGTCAAAACAAAGGCATACCACAACAGGGACTTAAAAGATCCAGCTTATAGCAAGTTAACAAAAACGTTTTTGCCGTACAAAACTGAGTGCATACTTGCCACTAGGCGGAGAAATTTCAGTCCGGCCGGCAGGCGAATCGTTGCGTGTGGCCTTCCGGCTCTCGCCGGCCGGCCGATCGTTACGTGTATGGGGGGCCTAAGCCGGGTTTTATACAAAGATAAACAGAAGGATGACATAGATTGAACACAACGTCAACATTGACCTAGGATACTGCAATTAGACAAACCATCCTTTTATGAAATCGTGTTCAGTTGTGGTTACGTTTGGGGGTGCCTATATCAGCACCCCCAAACGTGAAAATAATTCTTTTATTTCAATTATGAATATATTGTAGTTTAAATTAACTAATATGGGAAATTACGATGTATATTTATTCAATGAGGGTGGGTAATTGTCAAGGATAGAACCATAGACTAAGCAACACAACAAACTAAACAAACACTTGGGGGAGTATGTTTTATCTATGATAGAACTGATAACGGCATGGATAATAAACATTGACAATTACGTCATTAGCTTTACTAGCGTGTTTACTTTTTATATTCCTGCTACATGTGACCAGTTCTTTTTTTCAAATGAATGTTATTTGAACCAAACAGCTGTTCCAAAACAAACTGTTATTGTTTTTCCTTTTCTTTGTTTACACTTATTTATTTAGCAACTAATGCAGTGAAATAATTGATATAAATATAAAGGATAGGTGTGACGATTAGTTTTGATGTTAGGACACCAAACTTAAATTATGTGTACTGTGAATTTTATTGGATATTATCGTTTTATTTTAGGTCGTTTCTATTCAGACCTACTGGCAATTGTGTATAGTTGTATTGTGGTGATAATAATTATGAAAGAGGCAGGTATGCGATGGAAGGTGGTATCGTTGACTAGGTCTATACACTTCTCAATTGACTATTACCATAGATAAAACATACTCCTCAAGCTATTACTCTCTCTACTGTAGGCTACTTATAATCAGTGTGCGTCTGTGCGAATCGGCTGCAAATCTCACTTCAACGCTTTTCACATCGTAAAAATTGCAGAATTGCTGTTTTATTGTAAAATTATCAGATTTAAAATGCATATCGTATAGGCCTATGATGGAATAAAAACACATTTGGTCACACAACATTTGTTTACAAGATGATTTTTCACATTAAAACTGCAAAAAACTTTGTCTTTAGCCTATGTGTAAACTAGCTGATCTGATTTGTACACGGTTTTAACTGACAACTGAATTCCCGTACGTAGGACGGGCTAACACCTCGTACTTATTTAATACGCAAGCAGGATTTTTGTGACAATTACTCCCCCGAAACTACTGAACCGATTGACATGTTTTTGGTGTCATTGGAAATAGCGTAACGTAAAGTTGTGCAGTAAACTTTCTTTTTAGGGAAATAATTAGAGAGTGAGGCCCTAGGGCCCTTTAAAGTTTCGTACTTCTCCATAAGATTAACATGGGAAATAAACATTGTTATGAAACTCCAGCTGTTGTCAGAAATGCTGTTCTACTATTTAATTTAATTTGTTTACAAGGAGAATAATTGTTTCTTGTGCCATGTGGTCAATGAATTATACTTTTGCATATATTTTAAATGCAATACACTATATACAATGATAGTGATACATTAAGAGATCTTCATTTAAATAATCAATAAGAACGATTGAGCCTATATGTTTCCTGGTAAGTGTGTTTCTTATAGTATCTTATTGTAAAACCGAATTATTCTTTTCTTCATTCTCACCCCATAGCGAAGCACGGGCAGAGCAACTAGTATAATAAATTATTTCTATTAAAAATTTATAAAAAACCTTAAATCAATTAATACAAACCCTTTAAGAAGCGAAATGCTTATGGAAAATAGTCAGACTGGGATTTTGATTCCAAAATGAGCTTCGGAATACGTTTGCTCATGTGGCGGCCGCGCTACTCTCTCACTCTCTCTCTCTCTAAACCGATTCTTTGTCTCACTTTCTCTTACTCAATCAGCCGACTTGGCCGTGCGCTCGTGATAGTCCACCTAGCGACCGCCGAAGAAACTATCCAACAATCAAATATAATCAGACTGAATTTTTAACAAAGATATTGCGCTTCTTATAGGTTTTTATTCATTGCTTAAATCAAGCTCAATAAGAATTGTTTACATCCACACAATTTACATTATTAACTTAATTTTAAATTTTAGACAAGGTATGTAAAAAGTAATGTTTTAAAGCAATATCTTAATTTTTATTATTACAGTTAACTAGTTTAGTTATCATTTGGGATAGGCTAATTTTATCCAGACTTAGTAAAATAACTCAAAAGAACAAAGCACAGGAAACAGTTGAGTAGTTACCAAGACAGTAAGCCAGGCTGACAGCCATCTGCTGCAAAGCGTAGACGACGCCGTAGTGAGCGCAGTGTCTGGCGTCGACCAGTGTAGCTAGCAGAGGTACTAGAGCTGAGTCTACTACTCCGATACCCAGACCCAAGCCAAGGTGAGGTAGAGTCAGCTGAGCCATGGTCTTGGCACTGGGGACCTATAACTTGATAATCAGTCAAGTAGACTTGAAGGAACACAATATATGGTGTCGAACAGTGTAGCTAGTAGAGGTACTAGACCTGAGTCTACTACTCCTATACCCAGACCCAAGCCAAGGTGAGTTAGAGTCAGCTGAGCCATGGTCTTGGCACTGGGGACCTATAACTTCATAATCAGTCAAGTAGACTTGAAGGAACACAATATATGGTGTCGAACAGTGTAGCTAGTAGAGGTACTAGAGCTGAGTCTACTACTCCTATACCCAGACCCAAGCCGAGGTGAGTTAGAGTCAGCTGAGCTATGGTCTTGGCACTGGGGACCTATAACTTGATAATCAGTCAAGTAGACTTGATGGAACACAATGTATGGTGTCGACCAGTGTAGCTATAGTAGAGGTACTAGAGCTGAGTCTACTACTCCTATACCCAGACTCAAGCCGAGGTGAGGTAGAGTCAGCTGAGCAATGTTCTTGGCACTGAGGACCTATAACTTGATAATCAGTCAAGTAGACTTGAAGGAACACAATGTATGGTGTCGAACAGTGTAGCTAGTAGAGGTACTAGAGCTGAGTCTACTACTCCTATACCCAGACCCAACCCGATGTGAGGTAGAGTCAGCTGAGTCTTGGCACTGGGGACCTACAACTTGATAATCATTCAAGTAGGATTGAAGGAACACAATGTCTGGTGTAGACCAGTGGGTACCTGCCTTTGAGGGGCTCACTCTAAGTCTGGCTGTTAATTTTTTTCACAACTTAGATTGCAATCTTATCTTAGTGGTCCTTTATGGCTTAGACAATGTTCCGAACAAAGTGCAACCAGCAGTTCCAGTTGACTTTATACCCTCCATCAAGCTCTTAAAAACCTATTCAACGATAGGTAGCACCTTAAGATTTTGAGTGGCCTCCAGGGGAAAAGATCCCAATTTGGACAGCGGGAGGGTTTTCTGCCTAGTTGTTAACAAGCAGGCAGCAAATGCAGTCGGATGAACTGAACTTTTTTCATCAATCATACTATTTATTTAACACAATCATTTCCATCGAGTAAGGTATGACTGAAAATAACCATTAATGATAAGAACTGCAGGATGTAATAGTCTACCTCATTGTTTAAAGAATTTAGATAGATGGATAAACTTAGATTAAACTGTAGATGAAGATAGATAAATTGAGAAAAAAACTAGATAATGTTTCTAGTGGACTGTATTTCTTCAACTGAACAAAAGTAAACAAGATATAAAATAGTTAATATGAGAACAGCTGTTAGAAACAGTAAATTAGCAAAATAACTTTAAACACCCCAAGCAACCCCAAATTTCAATCCCGCCAATTCGTAAACCGGATGGAAGCTGGGCTAAGAGTGACATAGAAAAATCTGAAGCTTTCGGGGATTACTTTTCCAATGTATTCAAGCCAAATGTAGGTGTGGTCAATAATGAAGAAGAAATAATAGAATTCTTGGACTCTCCACTTCAACTTGACTTTCCTCTCGAAAAATTCAGACCTACAGAAATTAAGGCAACCATTGACAAATCGCTAAATCCGAAAAAATCTCCTGGTTACGATTCTATCACTGGGAAAATGTTAAAAGAACTGCCAAGGAAAGGAATTATTTTTATTGCATTTCTCTTTAATTTTATATTGAGACTAGACCACATACCAACTCAATTTAAGAAAGTCCAATTAATTGTTATACCAAAACACATTTGTGTTTTAAAACCAATTTGGACTTATGGTATTCAGCTCTGGGGATCAGCAAGTACCTCAAACATTGAAATTATTCAACGTTACCAATCAAAATTATTACGTAAAATTGTCAACGCTCCTTGGTTTGTTACCAACAGAACACACTTCACAATGATCTTCAAATTCGAACAGTAAAAGAAGAAATTACAAAATCTAGTGAAAAATACATTATAAAATTGGAAAATCATTCAAATCATCTTGCACTTAATTTATTGGACAATCACAACACCATTTACAGACTGAAGCGACATACGATATTGGACCTACCATTCAGATTCGGCTAAGTGTTATCAAAATTCTCTTTGTTTGCTAGTGTTGACGGTGGTCAATCACTAGCTCATGTTCTTCAAGTTATTTTTGTATTACTATTTATATCATTTGCTTATTGTTCAACTTGAACGGATTGTAAATTAAATAAAGTAAAAAAAAAAAACTTTAAACACTCATCATGTCACCATTATTTCATTTCTAAGTTGTTCTGGTAGGTTGTTGAATACAGGGCCCCTTTGTAGGATGGCTTCTTTTCAAAGAGACTTAGATGGTGAGGTGGTATTGCAAAGCTTGAGGCGTTACCTGTATTGCGATGGTGAATGTCTCTGTTTTTTGTTTGATTTGTGGAGATGGCATGGAGAATTGCCTCACGGATGTAAAGTGATGTCAGTGTGAGGATTTTTAGTTCCTTAAATGCATCACGACTGCTTTCTTGATATTGAAGGCCTGCTAGACATCTTATAGCTCTTTTTTGGTGGATAAGGACTCTTTTTAGATAGTTGTTGGATGTACTTCCCCAGACCACCAGACCATACCTGAGGTGTAACTCGACCAGGGCATGTTAGGCTGTTTTTGCGGTGTCCAGACCACCAACCTGCTTCACTCGCCTGGATTAATACGTTTGTGTCTTTATTTTTAGTAGGGTAGTTCAGCTGAACAGTTTTCTTTTCATTTAGAGCCAATTTGTTTACTGTGCAATATTGTTTAGTCATATTGAAGGTTATATTGATGTTTCGGTTTAAAGTTTCTGTTGATTTGTCAGTAAAGCCTGGTTTACACGGGTCGAGTATATCAGACGAGTTATTCGGCCCAGTTACTAGGCCCAGTTGTTGATTTGTTCAACTCGCTCGGTACTTGACTGGACTGTCTACACGCATTCCTATTTCAAACAGGGACAGTGTAGGCACAAGAAGTAATTTTTATTATTTCTCTATGATGAAGGTTATTCCGTATACCGTAGCATTCGTGTTAAATGTTACTTGAGTTTAAAATGGCCCTTCACAGTTTAATACTGAATCTATACAGTAACTTAACAATAAATAAGAACCGGTAAAGGTTAACTTAATTAAATCACTGAATTAGATATAAAACTGAATCACCACTTAAATTCAGAGGTTGCTTAAAAGCTTATTTGCAAATAACTTTTAAACGGTGAGGAAATAGACCAAAGTGAAAAGTGATATTCTGAAAGAGAATAAGATTTGTTACAAATTACTAAACTGCATTTCTTTACAAAATCACTTGTACTGTTCAAATAAACCATTGAGCATTGAGGGTGAGTATGCCTACACTACTCACTGAACTAACCTCAATACTGATCGTTGTGTGTGATCAATTCACTCAGCGACCACAAAAAAAAATTAAAAAAATAATTCTGTGGTCGCTGGACTCCTTCGTTCGTTCGTTCTTCGTTACGTTCCAATCCAGAGAGCTGAACCCCTACTGGACTGAGGCTGTTTTAGGACTTGGTCCTCTTCAGCCAGCTGGACTCCTTGGTAAACAGATGTTTCGCGGGCAAATCGTGGTGGTGGCTGCAGCTACTGGGCCGAGCAACTCGGTTTTCAACTAAATCACTCGACTCGCTCTCAACTGACCTCTTTTTATCAACTCGCCCGTTGCTCGACTCGCCTGCATGTCTACACCATGCGAGTTAGAGAGCGAGTGGCAACTCGTACACTGACTCGCCCGCCGTACTCGACCCGTGTAAACCAGGCTTAAGTGTGATGACAGTGTCATCTGCATACATTGTGGTTTGGCAGTATTCTTGTAGCTGGTCTGGTAGGTCATTTGTGAGGAGGAGGAACAGGACTGGTCCGAGAACTGATCCCTGTGGTAGTCCAGAAACAGACTTGTGACTAAGAAGCCATCTTCTAGTTGTTCTATTATATGCTCGGTGAGCTTTATTAAGGCAGTGGAAGTGGATATTCCTTTAAGGAAGCCATGTTGCTGGCTGGTGAGCAGCAGATTTTGGTCTAGATGGGATATTAGTCTGTTAAGGACGATTTTTTCAAAGATTTTAGAGAAGGTCGGTATAAGTGAAATAGGTCTGTAACTTTTAGCATCTGTGTTTGGTCCACTTTTATATTTAGGGTTTACCCTGGCAGTTTTCAGCTGTGTTGGGAAGACCCCTTGTTTGAGAGACTTATTTATGAGTGCTGTTAGTGGGTTAATCAGTTAATTTTTGCATGTTTTGACCAGTTTGGCTGATATTTCATCAGTGCCAGATGAAGTTTTTGGTTTAAGTGAGTCTATTGCTTTTAGTTCTTTGTTACGTGTTGCAAGATGAAATTTTATTTTGTTATCTGTTAAAGGAGGAATTTCGGGGGTTCTGGTGTGTGTATTGGTGTTGTTGGCCTGAAGTGTCCCTTCCGCAGCTGTAGCAAAAAAAAAAACTGTTGAGGTGGTTTGCTATTTTGATTGGGTCCTGTAATGTCTCTCCATCTACTAGGAGTTCCCACTCATTTGCTATACTGGTACTTGATTTTCTCTTATTATTTATAACTTGCCAGAGTGCCTTAGACTTGTTGTCGGCATTGCTTATATAGTCAGATGTTTGAGTTTTCCTCAAAGTCTTTAGTCTTAGGTCATAGTCCCTTTTTCTTGCTGCGGTTTCTGCTTTATCTTCAGGTAGACCTGTGCAGTTTTATTTTTCCAGGGCATTTATATATAGATTTTTTTAGTCTAGAGCATTCAGCATCCCAGCAGTTTTTTTGGTTGTGTTGTTTTTCCTTGTCATTTTTACTGGGCAGGTCCCATTTAGTATTCCTTGGATAGCCCAGTGAAAGTTGTTATAAGATTCATCAACATCTTCTATGTGGTAGACACAGTCCCAGGGTTGTTCATGGCGCCTGGTTTTAAATAGATTTGTGGTGTTTTTGTTGAGAGTTCTTCTTTTCTCCTTAATTGACTTTATGATTTTTCTGGTGGCAGTTGGAGAGTGGCAATTTGGGCAGTGTGGTCTGAGAGTCCAGACAGGATAATGGATGTCTGGATATGTTTGGGTCTATGCTTGTACAGATCCAGTCTATTGAGGTTTTAGTTTCATGTGTAATTCTAGTAGGTGGCAGATTTAGTCTAACAATGTCAAAAGGTAGAAGGTCTTCAACTTGGATGTTATCTGTGTCGTTTGCATGTTCACCAAGGTTGTTTACATTTATGTCGCCCATGATGACAGTTTTCTCCTTTGTGCGGAGATGAGCATATTCCAGCTGGCTGGCTTTCTAAGATATCTAGCGCTTGTTTCAAATTGTCCCTTGGAGGCCTGTATACTCCCATGACCTGGACTATTTTCTTTTTCAGTTTTATTTAGAAAAGAGCAGTTTCACATACTAGTTCTGAGTCGTCATCACTTATCTTAAGTACTTTCATATACTTTTCCAGGCCATGTTTGGCATATCCTGCAACTCCCCTTTCGTATGATTTCTTCTTGTGTAGCCTCCAATTAGGGTGTAGCCAGCTAGCTGTGTGTTTTCTAAGTTTTCTCGGGAGAGGCCATGCTCTGTAACAACTATGAAGTCTGGTTGTTCATTATTAAGGAAGTGTGATAGTCTTTCTGTTTTATTAGACAGCCAGTCTATATTTTGGTGGGCAAGGGTGAGTTGATGTCTGCGAACTAGTGGGTGTTTTGATTGGTTGTCAACACTGTTTTTAGATTTTGTTATGTTGTTGCCGAATACACCAAACACCTCGGAGACATGAAGGAGTATGAACGGGACTGCAGAGACAAAGAGTCCTCTCCACTGGACTGAGGACCCCCTCTGGTGTTTGGAAGATCTGGACTCTCCAGTTCAATTTGTTGTCCACTGCGACACTGTAATCGTAAAAACTAAGGGAATTTCCGTTTGCCTGATTGGATTTTCAATGAAATCTATTTAAATTACATATTAGGTTTAAAGTGTATTTTTAGTAAAATACCAAAACTTAAATTTAGATTTGTTAGGGTGTTTTTAACTTAGTATAAAATTTAAAAAATTGCCAAGTTTGATCAAAATACATACATTAAACAAGCAAACTACAACAGTTTACTTATTCTCCATATGAGTAAAATGGGAAATCAAAATTTACAGTTTTTAGCGAATTTCAAATAGGGAAAACCTAGCATTTACCGTAGGTGGCATGAAAAGACCTGGAGCCGGGACCAATGTATTTTTTTGGTTTGAAGGTGTAAGGCGGGATAAACTTAAATGAGTTCGCAAACCAGCATGATTGGACCATGAGAATAGAGTTTTATGGGGTAAAAATTGAGTTTTCTAATTTTTGGCCCTCAAAACACAAAATTTCCCAATTTCTCTCTAGACCACTTTAAACAGCTTGAAAAAACAAATAATTAAGTATACCAGAGTATTTTTTTATGGTTATTGGTTACAGAGAAAATTCAAAAAATTGCAAATTAAAAATTCCCATATGTTTTTCTTATGGAGAATATTGTAAAATGTTGTAGTTTGCTTGTTTATGGAAAAATTTTGATCAAACTTGGCAAATATTTTATTTTTTGGACAGAATCAAGGTAACTTAACCTCTTGTATACAATTCGTGAAGTAATCCGGAAGGCAATACACAAGATGAAGTTTATGATTGCTTGTTCTTTACAACTCACCATAAATGCTGATACTCCAACCAGTAACATAGCAGCCACAGCTACTCTCCACCGACCCAACCTCAGAGCTATGAGACCAAAACAGTTTGTGCCGAGAAGATAGCCAATGCTGTCTGGTATAAACACTGTTCCGAGCTGCCACTTCTAGAAACACAATAATTATAACATTCATTACGTATTCTAGATACAGATTTTTTTCTGGATCATTAATTCTATTTCTGGTTTTACCCACCCAGCATTGATTTTTCTTTGTGCCCAAGCATCAAAATCATCTAATTGTTTGCCGATTGCCCCATCTTATTTGTTTGATAATATTTATTTCTTTATATTGGTATGGTTGTTCCAATTCCAGATTGATCAGATTAGGATTTGTTATGCATTGGTGCATTGATTTAATCTTTTTTCCAAGGTCATTGTAACTTTGAGAAACATAAAATTGGTATGAGAAACATAAGGTCAACTAGTGTCCTGTTTTATTATTTGAACTCTCTTGTTAATTGTTTGGAAATATAATCTGGTGAATAGTAGATTATGTAACAAATAAGCCGAAAGTGCCCCAGATAAAAAAAAACTTTCGAAACTTTGGGTTTTTAGGTAGAGCAAGCCTGAAACAATAATTACATTGACTACAATGACCGTACAAAGGCAATTTTTGTACAACTTTGGGTAGTAAAGGTAATTATTTTAGTGTTACACTAAGGTCCCTACAATTAATTCTCAATTCCTGGGATTGGTTCTGTGACCCCAAAATTATGCCTTTCACACAAAAACTGCTGGCAATGGAAAAACACCTAAGACTAAACTGCTAGCTGCACTCTATAATACTTGAATAAAGAAGAGAAATAATAAAAAGATGTCATATACAAAATGTCATAATTTAGTAGGCCTAGTAAAGATGTCATTTGCTTTGGTTAAAAGTATTTTTCTACTGGATTTTTGAAGCAAAAGAAGTAGGAGATCTTTGTCACTACACTACTTATACTCCTGTATGGCAAAACCTATTGGTTTTTGCTTATGCTGGTTACACAACTATCAAATTACCCATCAGAATAAAATTACTTAAACATGTTTGGCTGCAAGTTTATATTTTACCTGTGGCTTAATATTAGCCATAAGCCAAAGAGGTAGACACGGCTCTAGAATAGCCATGGCTGAAGAGGAGAGCCAAATAGCGGCAGTGCATAGGACAATATAGCCATCTGTGAGAAGACTCAACCAACCATCCTGAACCACAGCTCCCTGTATAAACATAAGGAGACTTTACTGTTTCACAAGTGACCAATGGGAGCAAAGCAATATTAATAAAGGAACAATATTTGTTTAACCTTATGGGATAAAATTTTAATTTTTGGGCCAACCAAATCATATGGCTATGTTGTTATGTGGGCAAATACACCAAATCTCTGCAAAAAAAAAAAAAAAAAACTCTACCAAAGTAGTTTTAAAGATTACTAGCTGTTACCCACGGGCTTCACCCTGTTTGACTTCACAAGTATTAATAAAACTATAGCCCAGGAATTTTAGAAAAAATAATGCCCTAAAATAGAACAAATTAATAACTAGCTGATTTTTGGTGTGGTGTTAGTATGTCATTAGGTAAGTATTTTCTGAAAGTTCCCCTCACTTCCTCCGCTTGCTTCACCCAGTAAAGGGCTAGAAAGGGTTTAAGTGACGTAAAAATACAAAAATATTTATTGAGTGACACCAATGTCACCAATTTTAGTGGTTTTAGTCTTAAATCATTCAGAATGAAAGTAGTCATGCTAAATAATCATCGCAACAATGATTCATAGCACTTTAGGGCGTTTTATTTTATATATTTTAATTTTATAGTAAATTTTAGGTTATTTAAAGCGTTTTTACTGAGAATTTCCGTTTTTGACAGCTACTACCCCAACTTATTATTTGTTATTTGTCCTAAAATATATTCAAGAAAATTTTAAAATCAATGAAACAATTATATAAATCATTAGTGTGATTTTGGATGGGCATAGTTAGACCAAAATATAGATGTAAAGTTAAGAGCACCGAACCGCAGCGTATGAATCCTTCGCGCATTTTTGACGATTTAATTTCTCATTTATTAACTTAAAATGGTCTAATTATTAAATAAACTCACATAAAGAATGCTAGTAAATAATAATATTAAAAACCCTAATATCCATGGATACGAAAAAATAAATCATAAAAACTACAGGGTGTTGAGAAATTTAAGTTTGGATATTTTGGGTTGGCAGCTCTGAAAAAAAATGTTTGCCTAACAATGCTTTCACACCTGTTATTTTGTACGTACACAGCTTTATACGTAAAATACCCCCGCCGAAGCAAACCTGCAGACTAAGCAAATTTCCATTTGCCTGATTTGGATTTACACTAAAATGTCTCCTTAAAAATATCACAATTATTCCTTATTTAAATAACATGGTACTTAGGTTTGCTGCATCAGGGAGGGTAAGAAGGTGTTTTTTTTTGTAAAATGTTAATAGTTTAGTATGAAATGAATCCATTTTCCAAATTTGATCAAAATATGATCATAAACAAGCAAACTACAACAGTTTTATTCTCCATAAGAATAACATGGGAATTTTAAATTTACAGTTTTTTGAAATTTTCTCCGTAACCATTAGGCGCATAATCACGCTTCAATATACTAAATTATTTGTTATTTTAAGCTCTACAAAATGTTATGGAAAAGAAAATGCTAAATTTTAAGTTTTTAGGGTCAAAAATGGGAAAACCCAATTTTTGCCCATGTTTTTGCTTACCATGAGTACTACGTTAATAGCTTATTCCCTATAGGGGAAATTCCTAAAAACATAATTATGTTTGAAGTTGTTTTAGAAGACTCCTGGTACAATTGTTTTTTTACAATATGTGATGTGAATAAGTAAGTAATAGAAGAATTTTGCTTTATATAGGTGTTGTGATTGTTGACAAGTGGAAAATGGCGTGTATCATCTCTTAAGTCAATTTTTTCACACAAACTTCATAATAAATGGACTTGAATTAAAATACAGTTTTTAAGCTACGCAATTTTCGCTTGGTGTCATGGAAAGCTGCAGCTTGTGTGGAGAGAGCCTTCTCGAAGCAGGGAACCTGACAAAATGTCGTCACCCGAGATATTCCTGATCTTTTACATGCCAGTGAAGAGCGTGGGGACAACGTTCGACATATTTAGGAAGGTAAAACATCCTTAAAGGTCCGTGGAAAGTGTCAAACGTATGTCATACACGACCATCATCCATTGCTGCAGCTAATTGCGTAGCAGTGTCAGTCATCTGATTCGTCCTGTTCGGACGCAGAGGGGTCCCCAGTCGTCTCTCTCTCTCGTTCAAGCATCGATTCGGTGTTTGACATTAAAGTTCACTGTTTGTTTTGTGGCAAAGATGCCTTGAACTGTGCCAGTACAAAACTCCCAAAAAAATATAGAAAGGTTGTGCATGAAGTGCGTACCCTACCAACATTTAACTCCGTCAAGAAACGTGCTATAGAACGTAAAGATGAATAGGGTCAGTTGATTTTATCCCGAAAAGCCGGTGTTGGAGATTAAAAGCCCTACAAGCAAAGTATTGCCGTGACTGTTATTCAACATTTTTTAGAAACCCATCAGAAAAAGGTGTAGGTAGATCGGAAAACGTCATAACAAGAGATGCGTTTTTCAAATTATGTTGTTACATTGAAAATAACGACGAATCCCAGTTTAGCGTCATGAGCCATGGGACCTCCCACATCTCTGTAGGATGATGAAGATGTTGATGCGGGATTGTAGTTACAAGAAAGATTGTATGTAGGTAAAGAAGATGCTTTATTTTGGACGGGTTGAAATTCGCACCAAGAAACTGATCCGTACTTTTCTGAAATGTGCAGGAAAAATTGTAAACTTATCTTAGCTATTTTTTTATTTGTTGATATGTGAGTATTAGTTGTATATAAGATTTAAAAAAATTAAGGTAAAGAAAGTCCAATATTACATATCTCACAAATTATGCAAGAGTTTTATTTATTTTTTTATATATATATTTTTTTTACAAAAAATAAAATATATCAAATAAAACGCTTTAAAGTGCTATGAATTGTTTATGCGGCAATTCTTTAGCATATGACCACTTTCATTCCGAATGATTTAAGACTAAAATCACTTAAGTTAATAAATGAGAAATTAAATCGTCAAAAATGCGCGAAGGATTCATACGCTGCGGTTCGGTGCTCTTAACTTTACATCTATATTTTGGTCTAACTATGCCCATCCAAAATCACACTAATGATTTACCGGTATATAATTGTTTCATTGATTTTAAAATTTTCTTGAATATATTTTAGGACAAATAACAAATAATAAGTTGGGGTAGTAGCTGTCAAAAACTGAAATTCTCAGCAAAAACGCTTTAAATAACCTAAAATTTACTATACAAATTAGAATATATAAAATAAAACGCCCTACAGTGCTATGAATTACTGTTGCGATGATTATTTAGCATGACTACTTTCATTCTGAATGATTTAAGACTAAAACCACTAAAATTGGTGACACTGGTGTCACTCAATAAAGATTTTGGTATTTTTACGTCACTTAGACCCTTTCTAGCCCTTTACTGGGTGAAGCAAGCGGAGGAAGTGAAGGGAATTTTCAGAAAATACTTACCTAATGACATACTAACACCACACCAAAAATCAGCTAGTTATTAATTTGTTCTATTTTTTTACCTAAAGTGCCTGGGCTACTATTGATTGGTTTAGTTAAGCTGAAATAAACTAAACAGAATATTGTCATGGTGGAAGGAAAATACACAGGTGTGCTATTCCCGTCACATTCTGACGTCACTCAGATTGCAAACAAAAGATCACCTGATTGTAACTGTCAAATTAGTATTTGTTTTGATTTGATTGTTATTGTTTTTATAATGTTTTCAAAATAGTTGAATGTGTTCATTAAAAACAATAACAACCAAATCAAAACAAATACTAATTTGACAGTTACAATCAGGTGATCTTTTGTTTGCAATCTGAGTGATATCAGAATATGACGGGAATAGCACACCTATGTATTTTCCTTCCACCATGGAATACAGTAATACAAACAAATAATCACACCTCATTTTAATAAGGTAGTAAATTAAAAGAACAAATACATTATAAATATTGTATTATATATATACAAATACAAATAAGTACACAGAGTATTTTTAACATGAGGTATATGGAAATGTTCCCTTTAGAACGACCTTAAAGGGCAGTTTATGAATTAATGGATAGTTTTGTGCAAGGTTTCTCGTCATTACAAACATTTTAAGTATTTAAGATATAATAAACAGCTTATTGAGCGGAGCGAGTTAAGCGAGCGAAGCTCTTATACGTCGACTCTTATGCATTTCGTAATACGCAAACTCCTCCTAAACGGCTGAATCAATCGTTTTCAAATTTTGCATGGTGATAAAGACCATATCGGAGAGTGCCAACATCTATATGACTTTAAAAAAGTCTCTCAGGAATCCGCCCCACTGGGTCTCAAAGTTTCCATGTAATCCTTATGGAAGCAGTATTTGACACATAAACAAAGACATATGATCAGCTGTTGACTATTGAATGCAGTAGATAAAGAAATAGCTGATAGCATTATTCCACAGATATAAGAACAGAAACGGTATGGATCATAAATATAATCAAATGACGACACTAGCTTGAGGTCCGTGACGTGTGAAGTGGTGAAGGAAGTAGTAAAGGTGAGCAGTCCGGAGTGTGGGAACTGTTTATGACGATTAGATTAAGGTATCTGCAATCTTAAAATGCTATTAGAAGGGAAGGAAACAGGTCCGCGACGTAGAAAGTGGAGCAGGAAGTAGTAAAGGCGAGCTGTTCGGGGTGTGGGATCTGTTTGTGACCATTAGATTAAGGTATTTGCAATCCTATGATGCTATGGGAAGGGAGGGAAACAGGTCCGTGACGTAGAAAGTGGTGAAGGAAGTAGTCAAGGCGACTTGTCCGGAGTTTGGGATCTTTATGACGATTAGATTTAGGTATCTGCAATCTTAATATGCTATGAGAAGGAAGGGAAACCGGTCCGTGACGTAGGAAGTGGTGAAGGAAGTAGTAAAGGCAAGCAGTACGGACTGTGGGAACTGTTTGTGACGATTAGATTAAGGTATCTGCAATCCTAAAATGGTATGGGAAGGGAGAAAAACATGTCCGCGACATAGGAAGTGGTGAAGGAAGTAGTCAAGGCGAGCTGTCCGGAGTGTGGGAACTGTTTATGACGATTACATTAAGGTATCTGCAATCCTAAAATGCTATGGAAAGGGAGGGAAACGGGTCCGCGATGTAGGAAGTGATGAAGGAAGTAGTAAAGGCGAGTTGTTCGGAGTGTGGGATCTGTTCATGACGATTAGATTAAGGTATCTACAATCTTAAAATGCTATGCGAAGAGAGGGAAATAGGTCCGCGACGTAGGAAGAGGTGAAAGAAGTAGTAAGGTGAGCAGTGTGGAGTGTGGGAACTGGAAACCGTTTGTAGCAGTTTTAATGTATCTGCAATGCTGAAATGATATGCGAAGGGATGGAAGCATGCTCACGACATAGGTAATGGTGAAGGAAGTAGTAAAGGCTAGCAAAACGTGGGAATGTTTGTGGCAATTAGATTAACGTATCTAAAATACTAAAATGCTATGGAAAGTGATGAATACAGGTCCACGACGTAGGAAGTGGCTTAGGAAGTAGTAAAGTATAAGCATAGTGTGAGATCCGTCTGCGGCAGTGAGATTAATGTACCTTCAATCCTAAAATGCTATGAGAAGGGAAGGAAACAGGCCCACACGACGTAGGCAGTGGTGAAGGAAGTAGTAAAGGTGAGCAGTGTTGAGTGTGGGAATTGATTAATTTATCTGCAGTGCTAAAATGCTACGGGAAGAGACTGTATGTTAAAATGATTACGAAGCACGAATCGATACATATTTTCTATACATGCAATCGTTTACAATCGAAATTTACTGAGTTGACATCTTAAGATACTCAACATATTTTACTCCTTAGAGGCTATAAACGATTTTTACTCAATAAATATTAAAAATGCTACTTTAGACCCGCAACGCATGCATTAAAAACTACTGTTTTACTGCAGTATGACAAAAACAATATAATATGAACCCTTAATGACTCCGCTCAATTTTGTGGATGCCTCTGCGAACGCCACCTAGTATAACGGATTTTAAAGAGTATAATTGCCTAAAGCATGTTCTTTAGTTTAAAAAATAACATTGAATTGTACAATGTAATAAACAACAATACAATTTTGACAATTTTGCCTCTGAACTGTGTTTAAATGTACATTGTCACAAGATCATATGTTTTACTTTTTACACTTTGTTGTGTTTATGTTTTGAGTGATCTAAGAAAATAAAATAAATGTGGATTCCTTTCTTTAATATAATGGTTTCTCACTAATTTAAAAGATTATTCTCATAAGTCACCTAGAGAGATCATGCCTTGGATAATGCGTATCAATAGGTCTATTCCACAAACAAGGTATCTATATATTAATTACGTAAGGCGATTCTTTGCGTCAAAATTGTCGGCGACTGGGGTGTCGTAAAACGACAGGAGAGGGCTCAAATTAAAGATCTATATCCCGTGACGGCGGGAAAAATATTGGAATTCCCAAAATGTTAACAGAAATTTAGATATAAAGTAAAATGTTCTCCATAAGAATACCATTGGAAGCCATACACAGCTGATTTTTGTTTACTTTAATATAGTTGATCGCACTATACTTCCAAGCCAGTATTAATACATGCAGTTGGTTGACTTCATAGCCAATTAACTCTGCAACGCACTGCACTGTATACTATACTAAAACCAGGGATAGCGTTATCTATAATTGAGACTTTTTTAAACCCAAAAACCAAACCAAAGATTTTTGTTTAAACTGGCCAATATTGGCTTTGACAACTAGGAAATGCTCCCCAAAACCATAAAATATTACTCAATGTGGCTAATAAAACTGTTCATTATGTATAGTACTTATTAACCTCCCGCCTAAAGTTTCATCACGATCGGATGGTCGTTTAATAACGTGTGAAGGACAAACATTGGATTTCATATATAACAACAACCAAAAGCAAACATAGGCCTATTACATAGAGACTTTTTTTAGACAAAGATATGGTGTATAGACATAAAATAAATAATTTGATTCTTAGTTTGTTTAAATATTAAAATAGGCGGTTGTTTTACAATTTGAGATTTTTTTGGGACTTGTCCCTACATGCCCCTAGTTTCATTATTACTTTTAAAGAAGCTATATACTATTTTCTTCATTGTTTTGCCATTGTAACTGTTGATTTTTTTTTCTTGAAGCAAGTATAAAATTGGTTAGACAATATGGCAGATGCTAATTAAAAGATATCTATAGAGAAACTTTTGGGTGCAAGTAATTGAACTAAATGGAAGATGCTTATCCAGTTGTTGAAGACAACAAGGATTGTTAAATTTTGTAATGGGATCTGAAGTAAGAAATTATTTGTTTAGATACATGTACAGTAATAATAAAATCTCTATGTTGTAGTTTTAGAGTTCACTTAAATACAGTGTAATGTATAATAATAAAATATACTGCATTCACAGCACTTACCTCATAAGTTGGCTTTAGATCCAAAAATGAGAGCTGGAGTACTGAAGAAAGAAACTTTTATTTATATATTTATTATTAATACATGGTGTATATAAAGTCCCGCACGGGCTTTTTCTAAATGACAACAGATAAATCAATAAGATTTGGTATGGTACATCAACACAACACCTAAAAATCTACTTTTTGAAGGAACTAGGTATCAGTTTTCTGTAATATCATGGGAACGTGCAAGGAGTCAGAAGGAAATCTTAAATGGAAGCATAGGTTGATATATGTACATCAAAATAAAGGCCTTTGCCTTTACAAGCAGAGTATAATGCCACAAATTTGATCTAAAACGGACAACCAAGTCAAAAATGACAGCAGTTCAAAGATTCATTGAATTTGCAATGCTACTCAGGGGGCCAGCCGCTAGGAATTGGAAGAAAATCTTAAACGTAAGCATAGGTCCGGATAATTAAAGAAGAGAAAAGAAAAGCATGGGAAAAGTTTACCAGCAGGCTGGATACAGATATGGAAGGTAACAGGAAGATGTTTTATAAATTGATGAAAATCCAGAAGAGATCGACAGAAAGTGCTCAACATATGGAAGATGAGAATGGAAGACTGGTTGAAAATGGAGAGAATATTAGAAACCTTTGGAGAGACTATTTTAAAGACCTACTAAACTCGGAACTAGAAAGAGATGAGATTGTGGAATCACGAAACGGGAACAAGTTGATGAAATTAGAAGAGATAACATGGAGAAATCAAAAATGCAGTGAAGGGGATGAAGAATAATAAATCAGCCGGACCAGATGAAGTTACAGTTGATATGATTAAAGCATTGGGCCCTGTAGGGTTACATTTTTTGAAAAGGTTGTTTATGTGTGTTTTGAAGGAGGGAAAAACACCAGAAGAATGGGGAAGGGGAGACATAGTGACATTGTTTAAGAAAGGTAGTAAAAGAAGATGTAAGAATTACAGAGGAATAACATTAATTTCCCAAGTGGCAAACATTTTTGAAAAGGTGATTTGAAATAGAATAGGAAATTATGCTGAAGATTAGTTAAGTGAGGAACAACATGGTTTTCGGAGAAATATATACAATATATCTTTGGGGTAAGACAGCTGATAGAGAAGCATTGGGATTCAATCTATAAAAGGCAAAGCCCTCACTGACTGTCTGACTCACTCACTCACTCATCACTAATTCTCCCACTTCCCATTTACCTAGGAGGCTGAAATTTGGAACACTGATTCTTTAGGCATTAAATAGGAAAACTAAGTTGTTTTTATTCTGATCGGACTCTCGGGCTCCGCCCCAGTGGCTCTGGAGATTCCCAACCAAAAGGTGAGTGAGCGTAGCGAACGAACTTCAACCAGGACGTGATTGAGCCATGCGAACGAGCTCACTTATGAAGTAAAACGGGGCAAAGCCCGCGGGTAAAGCTAGTCAGAAAATAAAATGTGTTTTTATAGATATTGAAAAAGCATATGAGTCCGTGAAGAGAAGTGCCATCTGGGATAGCTTAAAAGGTATTGGAATAGAAGAAAAGTACATTGAGTGGATTAAAGAATTGTATAGGATCACAAGTGTCGTGTCACGACAGTTGCAGGGTAAACCAGTTGGTTTGGTGTAAGGAAGGGACTGAAACAGGGAAGTATTTTGACACCGATTTTGTTTAATGTGGTAATGGAAATAATGTGGAGAGAAGTCAGAAACTTTAGGGGAAATGTGGGAACTATGATGTTTGCAGATGATATAGTGATATAGTGTGGGGAAGAAATGAAGGAGAGTTACAAAGACAACTGGATAAATAAGCAGAGGTTATGAGAGAGAGGGGACTAAGACTAAGTAAGGAAAAGAGTGAAGTTATGGTGATCGGAAGAGATAGGGTGTTGGAACAATCGTTAAAAGTAGGAGGAAAACCACTTAAGTTGGTTGAAAAATTTACATATTTAGGCACGGTTATTTCGAACGATGGATGGATGGCGCAAGAGGTGACGGCGAGACCGGGGAAAGGTGCATGATTTTACCAAAGTATTAGACATCTAGTCTGGGATAAGGATATACCAAAGAAAGTTTAAGTTACCATGTACAAAACATAATATATACCGATAGTTACCTATGGTGCTGAATTTTGGAACATAACAGAGAAGAGAGGGAATGGAGTAAGGTTCATGCAGGTGAGATGAAGTTTATAAGAGGAATAAAAGGTAAAACAAGATTCGACGGAATGAGGAATGAAGAGCTGAGAAGAGGAATAGTTGAAGAAAGTTTGAGAGAACGAGTAGAGAAGACGTGATTGAGATGGTTTGGCCACGTAAGAAGAATGGAGAATGAAAGAATCGCGAAAAGAATGAGTGAACTTCGAATGAATGGAAGAAGACCAAGAGGAAGACCCATAAGAAGGTGGTTCGACGAGGTGAAACTTGATGTGGAAGCAAGAGGAGTGCAATGGCAGTATGTGGAGGAAGTGGAATTGTGGAATGATAGACGAAGATGGAGAGGCCTAGTGAACACCCAGACCCGAAGATAATCGGAACAGGAGAGGATATGTATGTATGTATGTATGTATGTATGTAAGCATAGGTTGATATGCACATCAAACTAAAGGTCTTTTTAGTAGATTACAATGCCGCAAATTCAAGCTCAAAAGAACAACTGAGTAAAAATTGGCAGCAGTTCAAAGATTCAAAATTAAAGATTCAAGATATCTTTGAAAGGCTACCATTTTTGACTCAGTTGTATGTTTGAGTTCAAATTTGCAGCATTGTATTCTGCTAATAAAACCCTTTAATTTGATGTACATATCAACCTATGCTCCTATTTAAGATTTCTATCTGACTCCTCGTGGGACGGCCATCATATGACAGAAAACTGACAGTTCCTTCAAAAAGTAGATTTTTAGGTGCCGTTTTGATTTACCAACTCTCATCGATTCATCTGTTAATGTTTGAAAAATATTGAGCCCGTGCGTGACTTTATATACACTCTGTATATTGTGAGTTTTGTATATGCTGTAAAATTACTGTGTGCCCTGCTGTTGCTGGAATATCTTTTCTGTATAGCAGAATTTATAAAAATCAGCATTATTATTAATTAGAGGACATCGCTTTTACCATACCATACCATAGTTACCATACTGGCTCCATCACCAACGTGTGTCCACTCATCTGTCCAGTCTTACATCAATCAGAATGCCATTAAAGTGATTATAGTGGCTTTTGCTATTTTGTAGAAGCGAATAGTTAGATATAAATGCATCTTAGGTACCCATATCTTAAATGTGAGCCTTTACATTAAATGTAAAGACAAATTTTGTCTTTCTTAACTGTGTACAGCCACCAAGGAATTATGAGATTTCAATAAATATATGAGTAAGTGTGTGTGGTTTTTTAAGAAGGAGGGAGAAAGAAATCATAGTAGATAAATTATTTATAAAGTATTTGGAAAAGAGTCTTCTTCTACTTTCAAGTTAAATCTCAATGATAAAAAATTACAGTAATGGATAGGTATGATTACAACAACTATAAATATCTGCTGCATTAGAAATGAGAGAGGGGGAGAGAGAGATTAACATTTACGATCTCGAAGATTGAAATTTTGTCAAAATAGATGAAGATCTAAATTAAGTCAGTAGCAGAAAGAAGCTCTAAACTACACAGAAAAACTCCCTCTTGCTCATAACTACTAATTATGGCTAATGGCTATACTAAAGCCAAAAAAACAACTAACCAGCCAAAATACCAATCTAGCTATCTCGATAAAAAGCTTAATTGTACAGAAGTACCTAAGTAAAATGTACTCCACAAGGTCATACTAGCACAGTGTCGCAACCCGCATAGCAACAAATTAAATTATGTGTTTCCACTTCTTGTATTGACATACTGTACTCTACTACTACGTGACTGTGTGTACTACTGAACAGACTAAAGATCTGTTTAAACATTCTGTAGGTTAGTTCCTATGTTTAATATCACTACCTAGATTATTTAACTTTCCAATAATTTTGCATGCCTCCTTTTAGTTTTTTGTGATAACATTTACTGTCTTGGATGAAAAGAAAAGTGTGCATCTGGATTTTTATTTACTTTTTGCATTTTTACATTTCTTAGGAAAGCACAATGCTGTAAATCTCTCACTCATCATTCATAATAAAAAATAACCACTTACAGATTTGAATCTCATTTTCAATCAATTATCTACATACCTAGGTCAGTCAACACAAAAAATGCAATAAACAAAAATGGAATTGTTTTTCCGAAGAAGTCGTATAGAAACCCTCCGAAGGGGTAGCCCAGTAGTACACCGAGGGCGACACTGCCCAGTATGAAGCCCATGACTCTGCTGCGACTAGTCTCCGTGGGGAAGTATTCAGCAATCAGACACATACCTGGGCAAACAATCACTATACACAACAGTATAAATATGTATCAATGAATCTGTTTACATACTTTATACAGTAAACCTTCGATAGTTCCACACACCTTTGTAGTTCGACACAGCTGAGCTATTATGTTAAGTGATATTTAATGGTTACTATTGTGATGTAAGCTGATTTGAACATTAATTTGTCATTCATTGTTGACTTGAGACTTAACTAATGAACAGTGAAATTAATTGTTAGGCTTTTTAGTATTTAACAAAAATTTGGGTGCTTTCTATAGACTTGTGTTTTTACTTTCCTGTATATTAAACTCCATTTATTCCCTATAGTTCGACATTTTGATACTTCAACATCCCTTAAGTCCACAAAGTGTCGAACAATCGAGGTTCTAATACTTAACTATATTTCTAATATAATAACTAACATTTAGGGAAAATAAAGTAGTTTTAAGTCTTTCAAAGTAATGCAGGTTAGTGTTCGACTTATATTTTTAACTATATGATAATGTGATTCAATATCAAATAAATAGTAAAGTCTTACCTTAACAATATCTCAGGTTCAGCAAACATTCTTTTTGTAATGTTTTTTTTTTTATAAATGAAAATTGTAATTCCACACATGGTAAATTCAATTTGGATTGGAAACATCAATTCTGCGCACAGATATGTATCAGGCTATAATGCTCGTCAAGCATGACGTCACGATAGAAGAGGGCAATGACGTAGGTATTTATTTTCCTAGGAAAGATTAAAACAAACAGCTGATCACAAACCGCAAACATTACGTCATTGCCGTCTTCTATCGTGATGTCATGCTTGACGAGCATTACGGCCTGTTTTTTTTATGTGGCCTTGCATGTATGTGTCTCTATGTAAATAACATTAGTTTTAATGACTTCTTAGGTTAGCTGCTACAGTACAGGAATGGTAATAAAGTGTGTTTTAGTAAAATCTCAATAGCTTAGTATGAAATAAATAAAGTTGCCAAATTGCATCAAAATATGATCCATAAACAAGCAAAGTACAACAGTTTAACTTTTCTCATAAGAATAGCATAGAAATTTAACATTTTATAATTTTATAAATTTTTAGGGGCGGCTCAAGGAATAATTTTTTGGGTAGGCCTGACAAGGATCAAGAAAGATTTTGATCTGGGGTCGAGAGGTTTGAAGAGCTTCCCCGCAAAAAGGGGGGAATTAAAAAATTCAAATGCAAAATAATTAGTTTGAATGCTTTCCCTTTATATGAATATAATTAAATTTATTTATAATTTTGAAATATCTACCAAAATTTTGGGTAGGCCCGGGCCTATCTGGCCTGCTCTCTGGAGCCGCTCCTGGAAATTTTCTCTGCGATCATTATCACGCACTATAATACTATACTCTGGTATTATTTATTTTTCAAGCTATAAAAAATGGTTTAGAAAGATATACAAAATTATATATGTTGGAATTAAAAATGGGAAAACCCTATTTTAAGCCCATAAAACCGCTTTCATTTGCCCTTTTTTTGTCCATAGTCTGATCATGCTAGTTCACAAACATGCCCACTTTAGTTGGGCCCAGGGGCGCAAGAGGAAGAGGTTAGGTTTGTTTGGAGGCGCAAAGAGAATAGATCTCCACAATTAATGGGCACCGGGGTGTTGCAAATATTATATACATACAAAAATATAAACATGTTTAAATGTATTTATTTAATTAATAATTATTATAAAATATGTTTTGTTTGCATATATAATATGTATAATTGCATTAATGCAAAATAAAACTCCGTATGCGCCCTCTCTCGTAACACTGACAGTGATACCTTTAAATAAGTTACTGTAATAGAAAAAAACTCAATATGCGAATTTGAAATATTACTCACATTTAGTTGAACAAATGTTATTAACAATGAAATTTGGTTCCTAACTAACACGCTGACTGCGGCATACATCAAACAGGCGATCGCCACCAAATCAAATCAGTGAACGCAATTAATTGGCATTCAAATATTTCAGTCTGACCAAACACAAAAGAGCAGCGGTGATTGTGCTGTGTTATCCCGAGAGTGGACGTAGTTCACTGGACTGAATCACTAAAATACCCAAGGGTAGCAGCACTGACTGGATCCGTAGCCAGTGTCTTTGTAGTGTGGCTCGAAGAGAGAAAATGCCCGAAACTGGGACAAAAGGTATTGCCAGACGGGATTTTACGGGTAATTTTAGTACCAACCTACACCAAAATAAAGCTCGCATTTTAAGCTACAGGCTGGCAACGATTATAACGTTTCGCATCAATGGCTTAGCTTACACTGACTGTTCGAAGTTAAATAACGGGAACGGCCGATTACAACCGCAGAGCACCTGATGCTGCGTTGCCGGCACCGGCCAGTTTTGACCGCTCAGCAGCGAACGTGTTAAGTTATTCAACATTTAAATACAATGGCATTATAACAACAAGTAAAATGGGTTAAGTTTGTACTATTTAGTGTTGCGGAATAAAACTCTACATGTCCGCTCCTGTTTTACTGGTGAAGCGCCTGCTCGAAAGTTAATGAAAATACCTCTTACATGTCCTGCATATAGTTTTTAAGATTAACGGTTTTCATGGAATTTGGCATCAAATACATTAAAAAGCTGCCATTTCAGTTCAAGAGTTTTTATTCATATTTAGCTCAAGAGTAGTGGTCAATAAGATACGCGTTTTTACAGAATTTCAACGCTGTAGCTCAAACAGTTAAGGAGTAATGGATGTTTTTTTTTAATCACATACAGACAGATATACCGAAAACAGAATGAGATAGGAAACATGTTATAGGTATTACATTTTTTGTTTCTTTTGACATGCTGAATAACGTGACAAAGTTTGTTCATGTGGTTGCAAGTTACACTGTATATATTAATTTGAACGGATGCGGTTTTTGGCCTTTGGGGACATAAAAAAATAAAAAGTAAATGGTCCCCAGGCCTTGCTCTTACTATGATATCTACGCTAATAGCTTGTTATCTTAATGGGCAATTCGCTAAAACAGGATAATCTGACATAAGGAGAGGATTGTTAGGCCTTTTATTTCCTCTGTTTTTACAGAAAATAAGAACCTTAGTTGCGGATTCATAAAACATAGAATTTTGAAACTATTAAGTCTAAAAGAGTACCTTTAAGAGTGGAAATTTCACTTAATTTACGAGATAACCATTGGAGTAGTTACCTGACACTCCAATACAAGCTGAAGCGATCCCTTGCAGACTCCTGGCAATAAACAGTCCAAGGTAGCTCTCACTGAATGCAAATACTAGCAACAAACACAGCATTATTGCTTTTGTAAAGTACAATACTCTCTAATTAGCTGGAAACTAAGCAAGGAACAATAAAATGACAGCAACTGATGCCACCGACTTTGATAGATCTACCGTGCTGTAATGAATTAATGCTGTTGGAAATATGGTAGGGATACAAATAGACACATAGCTAGCATTAAAGGCCCGGTTAAAGCTTTGACTATTAATAAAACTACAGTACGGTCCACAAGAGTCTGCATCAGTTGAGGGAGGAGCCTATTTTAACCACCTGACTTCATAGCCAATGAGGGTTGCGCGTATTTGCCAAATCTAATAATACCAGATAATTTTAAAATATTGTTTAGTTTATTTTTAATTAGTGTCAACGTCTCAATAGCCTTGGCTTGTGATTGGCTGCTGCAACTGCAGACTCTCGTGCACCCCACTTTAGACATTCCATCCCCATGTTAAATGTGTAGCCAAATTTTTTTGCAAAATCGTCGTAGTCGATGTGAGCCACCGACTGATTGTGCGTATCCAGCAAATCAAGGGGTGAGCCGGTACAGTACAAAGGTGAACTGTGTACTGATAAAATGATGATGAACGATGATAAAATTATGAGAGTGATGATGATGAGTATTGATTTTACCAAAAGTTAAACTTAGGAATTGACTTATAGTGAGCTATACCAACTGTTATGGGTTATGCTGACCCATCAACCTGGTCAGCAACAAAAAAAAGTTATAAAATATAATTTTATACACTAGCGCATTCTGTGACTGGCTCACACAACTAGGTAAGTTCTTTATTGATAAAAAAAATTTTCAATAAAATTGGCGACAGCTGGTCCATATAAATAGGAGGTCTACTTCAGTATCCAATAGTCAATGGTTAAAGTTTTAAAATATCACTTTTTGGAAATTTTACTGATAATTTAAGATCACGTTCTGGGACGGTGGCGTTGTCCCAGCCACTTCCAGCTACTTGGAGGTCACGAATTGTGGATATTTATAGGCATACACTGAGGATGTGACACTCCCTGGTGTGGATTAATGTCTGCAATACTACGATGATCCGCGGTACTATCCTGATAATTAGACCAATTCGTTAATTACAAGGAAAAAATGAGGTTCGGATTCCACTATAAACTTTAAGTCCCTTAGTTGCCATTGGCTGTATGGGATTTATTAATAGCTGTGTCCAAGGAACATGTCGGCCTTAGTCACTGACTGGGACGGGTGGCGTCGTCCTGTAATCCAGCTACTAGGAGGTCACGAATTGTGGATATTTATAGGCATGCACTGTGGATGCGATACTCCCTGGTGTGGATTAACGTCCGCACGAGTGAGTACTACGACTATCCGCAGTACTATCCTGATAATTAGACCAATTCGTATATACCAAGGAAAAATGTGGTTCGGATTCCACTATAAACTGTAGGTCCCTTAGTTGCCATTAGCTGTATGGGCTATTAATTAACAGCTGTGTCTAAGGAATGTCGGCCTTAGTCACTAACAAGACTACAAGATCGCGCCACTCATCCTACACTCATCTCCATTCATACTTGGCTTAAAATACATACTATGTATGGTCGCCATTTCATTGAACAGTATTAACTACAAGATCGTGCCACTCGTCTCCATTCATACTTGGCTTAAAATACCTACATTTGTATGGTCGCCATTTCAGAATAAAGTATTGAAGTAAGTACATTCGTGTTAGATTTTAAGTCTCATTCCATCTCGTTTATAAAGGGTTAAAATCATCATACAAAAGTCAGTAACATTCTATTTTATTTTCCTGAAGAATAACATGGGGCTTTGGGGGGAGTTAATAGCTATTTACCTTACAAGTGTAGTAAGAGCGTTTTTACATCACGCAGGTGAATGTTGTGCAACGAGCGGAAGCGAGTTGCATAATTTACCTAAGTGATGTAAACACGCTCTTGCGTAACGTGTAACGTACAAGATTTTACCTGACCCAACAATATACAGGAGGTTACGAACAATATTTTTCATTATCAATTTCACTCATCTTCTAACAGTAACGTTAATGTACAAACAAAAGCTAGGTTAGGAAAATTCTTCAAAACATAACAATAAAATTCAAGCCCACAGCTGATTTCTAGCGTTGAACGTCGTTGGCTCCATAGAGGAATATTTTTTAAGCTAAGCACTCAATGTTATTTAAATGGATTTCATTACCTCACCGAGTGAGTTTTTTTCAACTTTACATAACTGAGAAGTAAAGAAGTTGTATACATCACGCTTGGGATAGGTAAGTTTAACATGGTGGGTTAGGTAAACATTTTAATATGTAACTTTTTAGAATGTTCCCGAGGTGTCAGGCCCAAAACCAAAGAGCCGTACTAAATTTCAAGTCTCTTATACATCTAGTACTGGAGAATTTTTATTCCCAAGTGAATGAGTTACACAAGCTGTTGTATATTTTTTTTCAACTTTGCTCCCCTTTCATATCTCTATAAGTAATAATCTTAGCAAAAAGGTGCTTAGGACATTTCTTGTAGATAATTTCACGTAGACATCATTCTTATTTATGGCAAACTCTTTTGCTGGAGGCCATAGTTTTTGAGTTATTAACGAAAAAACCTAAAAAAGGGACCTTTAAAGCCCCCCACCCCCCCTAGCCCCACCCCCAATGGTCAGTACTTTTGGTTAATAGTTTAAGGACCCTTCCTCTACAACAGTACCAAATTTGGCTTATACATGAGTTTTTCCCCTATTTGGTCTTTTTTTGTCTTTGTTGCCTGGACTTAAGTTAATTAACAAATAATATAACAAGATTTATAGGAGATAAAACATGACAACTCACATAATGCTGCTAGTAGCAGGTGAAGAGAGCCTATGAAGAGAGGGAGTTGGTAACCACAGTGACTCGTCAAAGCTCCTACCACAGGATTCATAACTAGCTGAACCTGCACAAAAACTCTTACAATAACAATAAAAAAAGTAATCTAATTTTTTAACTTCAACCAAAGTCCTTGAAACTTTGGTTTTGTTCTGGGAAGGGAGCAGGTGGCTAAGTTTGGGTGGGTTAAGAAAGGGGTAGTATGTAATCGTGGCAATTTGTGCTCCTGGTTGAGGGGGTTGGACAGCTCTGATTACAGGCCTAAAATCATGCAGATCTTCTAACTTTAAAAATTCTCTAAATATTTAAAAAGTTAATTATTAAATAGTTGTCATAAAGTTTTTATTTCACTGGAAGGAGAGATATTGTCCTATAGTTTGACAATATTTTGTTTCTAAGTAATCTCTTTTAGCAAATCTATATCTATAAAAGAGGAACTATGTATGTATGTATGTACCTTATGGACTCAGAAACCACTCGACAGATTGTAATGAAACTTTCAGGCATTATTAAGCATTATTCAAGGATGGTTTGTGTGAAGTTTGGTGCAGATCTGTCAAAAGGGCTCCGCCCCAGAGGGTTTTAAGTGGGCCAATGTCAGACTTTTTGAAATACAATGTGGTACTTTCCTGTTAAAGGGAACATTCATTATTATCGATGATTTTTTTCTCGATATATCGATATTTTTGTTTTCCGATTGTCACAAGTTCAAGTTGACAACTGATCTTGTTTAGGCTAAAATAGTCTATTATATGGATTACTAGCTGTAACCCGCGGGCTTTGCCCCGTTTAACTTCTTAATTTTCAAGATTATCTCGTTCGCATGGCTCAATCACGTCCTGGTTGAAGTTTGTTCGCTACGCTCACTCACCTTTAGGTTGGAGCTCGTTCGCTGCGCTCACTTGCCTTCAGGTTAGCTCGTTCGCTACGCTAACTCGCCTCCAGGTTGAAGTTCGTTCGCTACGCTCACTCACCTTTTGGTTGCAAATTAGCTGTTGTCATAAATGTAAAAGAAATAATAGTGCTGCACCCTGTTGGTAATCCTTGTAACTTTAATGCTATTGAACATCATAGAACAGAACCAACTTGTTTAATTGAAACAGCTGTTAAGATTCAATAATTCAATTTCTCATAAGGTTAACATGGGAAACTCCAGAGCCACTGGGGCGGAGCCCGAAAGGATTTTTGAAATAATAATATGCCTATATGTTAATCGGGAATGTGAGCTATCATCATGCCAAATTTCAGCCCAATCCGACCAGTATTTTTCGCGTTCACTTGTCACAAACATACATCCATACATCCATACATCCATCCATCCAAACTTTCTCATTTATAATATTAGTAGGAAGAAATGAAACTGTTCTAAGCTAACCTAACATAACAAACAAACTTGCTGTAGGTACCAATTAAAAATTCCGTTTGATAACAGAATAGGCAAGTTAAACACGGATTTAAATGTTACACAGCAAGTTTGGTTAGTTATGTTAGGTTATTTTTTTATAACAGTTTCATTTCATTATTGTTTGTTGATACTGAACAATATTTATCGTAGTTGTCAGCTGATATGTTTCAATTTGTTAAAATCGATATATCGAGAAAAAATCATCAATAATAATGAATGTTCCCTTTAACAGGAAAGTACCTACAATGTTTACAAATAAATATAACTAGCTGTTACCCGGCAACTGTTTTGTAGGATGAATAATCACAACATGCTGTATTAGTCATTATTTGAAATAGTGCCACAATGTTTCCACAGAGTGCAGCACAGAAAACTATTTTAGTCTTTGAATAAGTCCAAATATATTAAACGCCAATCGCAGCACACCTGTGCACTCAACAACGTTTCAATACTCCAATGTTAAATATGTAAACATAAAAACCTTTATCAAAGTATTATAAACGATAAAAGGGATGGCAATGCCTTAATATTTTTATCTTTTGTTCTACACACACAATCTAACATAAATTATTAAGTAAATTATAATTGTGCGTGCTATCTCAGGTATTCAAATGCCTCTCAATTTGTCATTAACCCACCTCATTACTGTCATTAAAAGTAGGAAGTCCAATAATAATTGAGTGGAGCGAGTGAAGCTCTTATACGTCGACTCTTATTCATTTCGTAATACGCCAACTCCTCCTAGACGGCTGAATCAATCGTTTTCAAATTTTGCATGGTGATAAAGACCATATCGGTGAGTGCCAACATCTATATTGCGTTTAAAAAGTCTTTCAGAAATCCGCCCCACTTGGTCTCAAAGTTTCAATGTAATCCTTAATTATGGAAGCAGTATTTGACACATAAACAAAGACATATGATCAGCTGTTGACTTTTGAATGCAGTAGATAAAAAAATAGCTGATAGCATTATTCCACAGATATTAGAACAGAAACGGTAGGGATCATAAATATAATCAAATGACGACATTAGCTTGAGGTCCGTGACGTACGAAGTGGTGAAGGAAGTAGTCAAGGCAAGCTGTCCGGAGTGTGCAAACTGTTTATGACGATTAGATTAAGGTATCTGCATTCCTAAAATTCTATGGGAAGGGAGGAAAACGGGTCCGTGACGTAGGAAGTGGTGAAGGAAGTAGTCAAGGCGAGCTGTCCGGAGTGTGGGAACTGTTTATGACGATTAGATTAAGGTATCTGTAATCCTAAAATTCTATTGGAAGGGAAGGAAACAGGTCGGCGACGTAGGAAGTGGTGAAGGAAGTAGTAAAGGCGAGCTGTTCGAGGTATGGGATCTGTTTTTGACCATTAGATTAAGGTATTTGCAATCCTAAAATGCTATGGGAAGGGAGGAAAACAGGTCCGCGACGTAGGAAGTGGTGAAGGAAGTATTATATCCTGTACATACAATCAGCTGATAATATTAAATTAAATGTTCTTTGTTTATTATGAATGCAAAAACAAACAAAGTAAGACTTAGTTAGAGTTACTTCATCTTTACATTATGAATCCTTGTTAAACTTGTTAATAAATAACTGTTATTAAAGTTGGTGTTTAATATACAATAATGGCGACGAGTCAAAGAGAAATAAATCAAGCATTACTGTTATTTCTACAAGAGAAGTTTAGTGAAGAAAAGAAACAAAAGATTCGTCTCCCACTTCAAAAGTTGGAACCTTATGATGAAGGTAATGAAACATTTACAACCTACTTACTTAGGCTCACTAACTATCTTGAATTGAATGGATTAGGGGGAGAGGATGATGACAAAACACGCGTGCAGGTGTTAATTAGCTGCCTTAGTCCAAAGAATTTTCAACTCTTAAATGATTTATGCGCCCCAGACTTACCACATACTAAATCGTATAATGAACTGGTCAAGCTACTCAAAGATTACCTTTGTCCAACTCCAAATGAAGTTGCTGAACAACATAAGTTTTACACGCGTTCACAACAATCGGGTGAATCTATTTCCACATACATGAAAGAACTTCGTAGCATGACTCTACACTGTAATTTTTCCTGTTCAAAATGCAAATCCAGTACGATTGACACCCACTTACGCACCCAGTTCATTAGAGGTTTATACAGCAAAGAGATAAGAGAAAGGCTTCTTCAAGAAGATTCCTTGACTTTACAAAGGGCGTATGAGTTAGCCTTATCTTTCGAGATATCGAAACAAGGTAACAATGAAATGTCATCACCAGCTATTGTAAATAAAATTAGTAAAACCATAAAAAAACAACCAAAATCTGACAGCTTTGTATCAATAGATGATTTGAAAGGCAAGTGTTTTAGGTGTGGTAAATCTAACCATAAAGCAAATGAATGCAAGCTACGTAATGCCACTTGTTTTACATGCAATGGTAAGGGTCATACTGCTGCTGTTTGTTTGAAGGCGAGTAAAATGAACAAAGGTAAAGCATTTCAAAAACAAATGGACTCTACGGAAAAAGATTATTCCAGTGAAAATGAAGAATTAGATGGTACAAGTAATTCTTTCACTATCACTGAAGAGCTACAACTCAATTCTTTGTCATCCAAATTCAATGACAAATACTTAGTAACACCGCTTCTAGATGGAGTACAATGCTCAATGGAGTATGATACAGGAGCTGCTGTATCATCTATGTCATTAAGTACCTTCAAACGATTATTCCCACACAAGAAAATTACAGAAGTCCCAAATGTTAAGCTAAAAACCTACACAGGGGAATCGATTAAGTTAAGTGGAACAAGTGAAGTTAAAGTTCAGTTAGGTTCAAAAACAATGGTAGGTAGAATTTTTGTTGTACAAAATAATGTTGATAATATATTTGGGCGCGAATGGATTCGTAACTTTGACATATCTATTCATGACGTAAATCACATGGCGAGTCCTAGTTCTTACAAGCAAAACATCCTACAGGAAAATAATATAAAACAAGACATTTTTGACACATATGAATCCCTATTTACAAAAGAAGTAGGAATTGCACCAGATAAACAAGTCAATCTTCCATTAAAGCCTGATTCAAGACCCATTTTTATTAAATACCGTGTCCCTCCTGTTGCATTAAAAACTAAAATAGAAGACGAATTGTGCTTACTGGAAGAAAAGGGCATCATTTCAAAGGTAACCAATTCAGAATGGGGAACACCCATAGTACCTATATTGAAAGAAGATGGAACAGTAAGAATATGTGCTGATTATAAGGTAACTGTAAATTCCCAACTGCAAAATGATCACTATCCTATTCCCAAGATTGAAGAGATATTTGACAAGTTAAATGGAGGACAATACTTTACAACTTTGGACTTACATAAGGCGTATTTACACCTTCAAATGGACTATGATAGTGCCAACCTTCAAGCCATAAGTACTCATATGGGAGTTTTTAAGGTAAATAACTTATGTTTGGAATAAAAACAGCTCCAAACATATGGCAACGCTACATGGACTCAGTTTTAACTGGACTGGAAGGTACTGCTGTTTTCTTTGATGATATAATAGTTCAAGGAAGGACTATTGAAGAAACAAAACTACGCACGATCAAGGTTTTGGAACGTTTGAAGGAAAACAACTTGCACATAAACAAGAATAAAAGTAAGTTTTTTTCAAGAGTCTGT